CCCGAAATCCCGAGTTTATTTTCATCTAATCCCGATTTCCTGGACATTTTTTGACAATATCCCGAAATCTTGATAAAATAACATATGCATTTTGGCACAATACATTAATTAAGGATTGCATGTATACTGTTCAATTAACATGATTAAAGCAATCAGTCAGTCTGTTGTGCAGATTCCCTGTATCTTATTGATATAATCTATAAGCTAAGTTTAAAACAGATTATATATACATGGAGACTGCGACATTCCAAAACTTATATGAAACATAAAAAAGTTGGCTAATTTGAGCTCAATAAAAGAAGGTAAGAAATTTTCGTCAGTTACTTGGAGTATGATAGTACATTGTATACGTCATCACTCTTCTTTACTCTGTAACTTTTTTGTGGGCTAGTCCGAAGCCAGGATACAGTGTCAAGTAGTTGTGCGTATACAATTAATTCGATGTTGTTTTTTCGGGTAATTCTTAATGTGTGTCTTGCCATTTAATATTGGCAGTGGCTATTTTGCCGGCTCAAGCAAAATAGCCTCTTGGGTGTTAGTTTACCGGCTCCGGCAACATAGCCTCCTTAGCGCTATTTTGCCGGCTCCGGCAAAATAGCGATTTATATAGAGTCAAGCTATTTTGCCGGTCTTATTTCAGATTTTTCTTCAGATTATATGAAATTAAATTTTTATTGAAACTTAAGTCAGCGGTTGATGACAGTCTGGTGATAGAGGAGGAACACATAGAAACCGCCCTGAAATGGTTTCAAGTACATGTTCAGACAAACTAGTGGATATAAAATTAAAAAAGAAATACCGATATTGTAATGACGATGCATGGAAATCTATAGACAGCATTTATTCTATGATAGTGGAATATAATGTATATATCTGCAATTTTTGTAAAAGTGATGCAGACGTAAAAAAACATACCCAATCTCCTTATTTTTATATAAGTGTTATGCGCAGTTCATGTCTGCATTGGCAGAATCTTCCTTTAGCAAGACTAAAAAATGCATCAAAAGGAAGGCACTGGTTTTGTAAAACGTGTAAAGCATTTTAAGGTGGTTGGATGTTACTTTTGATTTAAAAACTTATAGGATATTTTTATTGATTTTTTTTAGTTATAATGACGATTTTAGTATGCATGCTTTGCTTAATGTGTATTATATTTAAAAGAGACACATTTATTTAGAAATTTCTAATAAAAGTAAAGAATATCAATTTTAATATGCATGCTTTGCTTAATGTGTATTAGATTTTAAAACAAGAATGTGTCCATAGTACACGGATGCCCCACTTGCACTATCACTTTCTATGTTCAGTGGACCGTGGAATTGGGGTCAAAACTCTAATTTGGCATTAAAATTAGAAAGATCATATCATAGGGAACATGTGTACTAAGTGATTGGACTTCAACTTCATAAAAAACTACCTTGACCAAAAACTTTAACCTGAAGCGGGACAGACAGACGAACGGACGGACAAACGAACGAACTAGCGCACATATCGAAAAAAATAATGCCCCTAGGTGGGGCATAAAAAGATATATAATTTGTTTAGAGACTTCTTATAAAAGTAAAGCATATCAATTTTAATATGCATGCTTTGCTTATGTATACATGTTTAAAAGAAGGCATATTTTTAGAGATTTTTATATATTAAACTGGCTTTACTGAATTTTGTCCGACATCTTTTTTTTTTAAATTTATTATGGGCCCTATTTAGCTCTGTGGTATGGGTGATCACTGGCACTGACTGACATTATTCTGTAAATAACTTTGTAGAGTGCTTCGAAACAATGAATTGTGTAACACGAAACTCAAACCGTATTTTTTGGGGGGGTCAAAATTAGACGCTTTGGAACTGGCATGTGGAAGGGTTACTTTTTCTTTGAATACTCATCTTGTGCTGACGCAAATGGTTTAAATCCTGTTTTGTTTCTCTGTGTAATCGTGTCCTCTGGTTTATTAATTTTTAGTACTCTTACATTTATAACTTTGACCAAGATGAACAAAATTATCTTCGGATAAATCCAAAGACTTAAAACCATAGAACAAACAATGTGCAAATATATCCAAGTAGTAATAAAAAAACAAACCTAAACCGTTGAACAAATAAACGCGGGTACAAAAGGAACAATCACAAACAAAACACCGAACACTAAAAAAACATGCAGGAACTCCTACAAAAACTAGGAGTAAACCCAGGTGCTCCGGAAGGGTAAGCTAATGCTATTTTTTTCACTGAATAAGAGTCCCGATAGATAAAAATCCCGAATTCCAGGACGTAACTATACGTCCAGTGTCTCGATTAAACAAAATCCCGAAATCCCGATGATGACATAGCTCGTTCCCGAAATTCCAAACTTAAAAATGGACATAATCCCGGAGTCCCGATAAAGGTCCAACCCCCCCCCCCCCCCCCCCCCCTCCCGCCCCCCTCTTACATGGAATAGTGTCAGTGGCGGATCCAGAAACTTTCATAAGGGGTCCCACTGACTGCCTAATTTCGTCCGCTCCAGTCATGCTAAAGCCGAGTGATTCCCTAATTAATCAACCAAATTTTTCCCACAAAAAGGGGGGGGGCCTGGAAAACCCTCTAAATCCGCCTCTGAGTGCGACCGATTTTTTATTTTTTGCTTTACGTTCATACTTGTCCCCTACTGTACATAAAATAGCATAGTCATTGCAAACCGTAAAAAAACAATAGTCGTATCAAAATATGTACTCGAGAAATACATGAAAAAGTAAAATCACAAAAATAAAGTCACTAATCAAATAGCAAGATTTTCCATTTAATCAAAGATATGTAAACATGTGTTAAATATTCAATTAAACTAGATTCCGGACTAACTGATTCCATACTCTCAAATGTTGGTGTAAAACAAGGGTGTATACTGAGTCCCCTTCTTTTCAATTTATTTATGAATGACTTTCCAGGATATCTTGATAAGAAATGTGATCCAGTAGATATAGGGAATACAAGCTTAAATTGTTTAATGTATGCAGATGACATAATTTTAATGTCTCAAACCAAAGAAGGGCTACAAAACTGTTTATCCTCATTGGAACTTTATTGTCAAAAATGGCAATTATCATTGAATATAGAAAAAACTCAAATAATAGTATTTAATAAATCAGGTAAATTATTGAAAGACTGTAATTTTTATTTTGAGCAAAATCTTATCAAAAGTGTTCAAGAGTATAAATACCTAGGTATTGTAATGAGAGCATCAGGTTCTTTCAGTACTGCAGTTGAAGATCTCAGTAAGAAAGCTCTTTAAGTAATTTTCATGATTAAACGTAAATTTCATTGTACACATAATAATACACCTTTGCTTTTAAAACTTTTTGACTCCTGTGTTAAACCAGTCCTTCTTTATGGAAGTGAATTGTGGGGTCCGTACATTCTTAACCTGGACAAAAGATTAACACCAGGTTCAAATGATGATTTAGAAAAAACTTTTTTAAATTTTGCACCTGAAAAGGTTCACATTCGATATTGTAAATTTGCACTTGGTGCCACTAAATATGCTTCTAATATTGCCAGTATGGCAGAACTTGGTCGTTATCCAATCTCTATATTTGTTATTTTGCAATCTCTTAAATACTGGATATATTTGTATAAAGACCCTCTTTTGAATTCAGTTTCAAAATTAGCATATAAGTCAATCGAAAATGTTGATTGTACCTTTCCATGTACCTTCAATAAACACATTTTTCAGTTTCTAAAATTCATTGGTTTTGACCATGTCTGGAATAATAAAGGAACTCTGTCAGAAGGAAAACTCATATCTGCAGTGAAAAAGATATTACAAGAAAGATATGGAAAATATTTTTTTTCATGTTTGTCAGGCGAAAACCAAAACAAATTACGCAAAAAAAGGAATATAAACCTGAGACTTATACAAAGTTGAATATCTCAAAACAATATATTAGACAGTTATGTAAATTAAGAATTTCTAACCACAATTTACACATTGAAAAAGGCAGATATAATAATACGCCTTTGGATGAAAGAATATGTAAACATTGTATTGATAACAAAATTGAAGATGAGTTTCATTTTATATGTGAATGTAACCTCTATCAAGACGAGAGGAAAAAGTTTAATGATGACATTGTTAATATTATACCATGTATACCGTGTTTTTGTAATTTAGATAATTTTGATAAATTTAGATATTTAATGAACTGTTCGGAGACTGATGTTCCCAACAGATTTCTTTTATATATATATAGACAAATGTATTTTGATAAGAAATTCATCAGTGGGAATAATTGCATAATATTGAAGTGGTTGTTTTGTCTATTGTTTGTTAAAAGTGTCACAATTGTTGTCTCTTTATGTTTTATTTTTCTTTTGTTTTTCTATGTTTTCATGTATTTCAGCGATGATCCTTTTGTACTGGATTTTATACTGAATAAAATTAGTTAGTTAGTTAGTTAGTTAGTTAGTTATAGTTAGCAAAATCAAAAGCTCAAACACATCAAACGAATGGACAACAACTGTCATATTCCTGGCTTGGTACAGGCATTTTCTTATGTAGAAAATGGTGGCTTGAACCTGGTTTTATAGCGTTAAACCTCTCACTTCAGTGGCGGATCCAGAACTTTTTATTCGCATAGCGTGTACATAATTTTAATTGTAAATTGGCGAACGTTTTAAATGTAAATAACCTTGAGAAGACTTGTTGCCTTGCCCGGCACTGCGCTAAGTTTTCGCGGGACCATACACATTCAAAATGAATTCGGTTCCTTACTTGGAAGAAGAAGAAGAAGAAGGGGGGGCCGCTGACTGACCTAAAGGGGGGCGCTCCAGTCATGCTCCAGTGATTCCCTATATAATCAACAAAATTTTTCCCACGAAAGGGGGGCCCGGGCCCCCCAGGGCCCCCCTCTTGGATCCGCCTATGCACTTGTACGACAGTCGCACCAAATTCAAACCGTTACGTGAAATTGGTAGAAATTCAGGGGCGATAATCCGACTCTAGTGACGTAGTCGCCTTGGTGATATCTAAATATTTCAAGATGGCAGACAAGTGTAAATAAAGCCAAAACAATATCGTTTTAACAAGTTTTGTCCTTCAAAGTGCGATATATCTTATAATTTATTTTTTGCATGGTACCATAAATTCGACAGTCCGAGTAAGTAAGACAAAGTATCCGAAATTGAACAAGTTTACCGCTCTGACCTCTGTTGTAGCAGGTGCTTGTACAGCTGATCATCGACATCGTCCTGTCGCGCTATAATGTTTTCAAATCTTACAAGTTTATAGAGACACATTATTTGTTTGCTTGAATAGTTTTATTTAAAACCAGGTCCACCCCATACACTTACTTACTTTAATTGCGCTTATAATGTAAAGGTTCATCACAACAAAAATGGACGTGTCTACACTGTCACTGGTGTCTTCTGTCCTGTCTCCTGAGCCTGAGGAATTACCTCTTCTGAGACTGACAAACCTGTGCAGCTTTCTTCTACCCGTTCATCAGTCACAATCATCTGTCTGATTATTCTGCAATGTGTTGCGCATGAAGTTACAAATTTTAAATGAAATATATACATTTCTTTGTTAGTTAAAATCCTAACCCTATTCTGATCCTGATCCTAAGGTCAATATATAGTTTGACACAATTGGTCTGTTTATGCTAGCTTGTTTCAGCTTGGTACTGTAGTTTCTCTAAGTAATGTCACATTGTATACTCGGGTTAAATTGTTAAGGTGCAGGATCAGAATTCTTCAGGGCTAAGTGTATCTATTGGGATGTTATGTATCTCCAGCTGTCTTTTCATTTCTTCTCCTTTCTGGTGGTATCTTGTAAGTTAAGTAGAAAGTGTTCTGTGCTTTCTTCTTCACCACATTCGCAGTATGGCCTGAGGGATTGGCCTATCTGATGGCGGTATTTATTTAGTCTATTGTAGCCTGTTCTAAATTCTGACATGATTCTCCCTATAACCAGGTTCGGATAATCAAGTGGATGGGTCTTACCTACAATAGGAACTAATGCATGTAGTTGTCTCCCAGTTTCACTTCTAGTCCATCTATTTTGTCATTTAAGTTTTGTTGACATCTTGACTGCACTTTTCACATCTGACATTGTTATGACGTTGTACTGGTCATTTAGACTTGAGGCCTCCTGTGCTGCATCTTTTGCTAACTGGTCTGCTATCTCGTTCCCGGCTATATTAGTATGGTCTGGGATCCAAGATAGGGTAGTTTATATGCCACCTCTCAGGAGGGTCCAAATGCTTTCTTTAATGTCTGTGATAGTGTCGATGTAGTTAGTTGACTTCCAGTTGAGAGTCAAGATGCCAACAGCTGTCTGGCTATCTGATAGAATCTTTACCTCAGTAAACTGTTCTCTAAGTGTGTAAATGCAGTGTTCCAAGACCATAAGGATAGCTACTAGGTCCACTAAAAGTATGGAGCCTCTGCTAGCTACTGGTCTTTTTAAGCTTGGTTCTCAGTATATATTACTGCTCCTGCTCCACATGGTCCTGGATTTCCCTGACAGGAGCCATCTGTAAATGCGATAGCTGTTGAATCAGAGCTTTCTCCTATTCTTGTACAATTTGTTTGCTTTGGGTAGTTTGTTCTGCGGTTCTGTTTTTCGAGCTTCCCAATCGGCTCCAGTAGCTTGGTGCTCCAATCAGCATAAAATCCGCTCCTGTCTTGTAGGTAAACTCTGGCTCTATAAGTTTTATATCTACTTTTGTTGCTTTTTGCATGTCGATGGCTTGATTTATAGCCTTACCAAATGGAGATTCTTGTCATTCATATGTATCATTGTTGGTAAGATACTCCTCCATCTGTTGTTTTTTTATGAGTTTTTCATCCAACGTTACGCCAAATAGTTTGGGTGTGGGACTGTATTTGAAGTTGAACAAATTGACAGAGTTTTTTGTGTTATATCTAGATCTTTGTTTGAGAAAAGACATACTTCACATTTTCCCATGTTGACATTGATCCTCCATTGTTCAGTCCATTTTAAGACTGTGCTAACGTCTCTTGGTGTTTTTTCTTTTAGTTCTTTGATGTCTTGTCCCTTGTACCACAATGTGCCATCGTCAGCAAATTTGCAGTTTTGTCCTGTGGTGTTATCCATAATGTCTGCTATAAAAATGTTGGAAGAGGGTAGGTGACAGAACTGACCCTTGTGGTAAGCCAATTTTTGTTTCAAATTGATTCCCAAAGAAATTATTCAACATGCATCTGGCTGTTCTATTAGTGAGGAAGCTATTTATCCATATCCAGATTTTTCCTTTTATACCTAATTTATGCAGTTTAACCATCTGATCCCTCACACCATATTGAATCATACGCCTTTTCAAAATCTACTGACCAAGCCAAAACCAATTCATTCCTGTTCAGAGCATCACCTATTGTTTGAACCAGTCTAAGAAGGGCATTTGTTGTCGAATGATTTTTTCTGAACCCTTCTTGGTTTAAGTCAATCAGTCTGTGTCCCTCAATATATGCAACTATTCGTTCTAATATTACTCTTTCCATACATGTATACATTGTAATGCATGTAAGACTAATTGGTCTGTAGGAAGAGGTGGAGAAGTACATGTAGCTTTTTTTGTACATGATATAATAATGGGCCTTTTAAAAATCTTTTGACATCTGGAAAATGAAAAAAAAAATGGTTGAGAAATAAGTGATTTAATCATAATCATGTCAATACTTTAACATCAGTATAAAATATGCAACCTAGCTTAAACTGAATGGTAAATTGATAACAACTCAGTAAAAGTGAACATGGTGTACCAAAATGTCCCCTTTGCAACGATTTTTAAGGCTCTACCAAACTATAAAATTAGAATTTATTTTTCTCTAAGAATCTGACAAAATAAGTGATTTTATACACGGCTTAGCCACAATCAGATGTACATTTTGTGTTTCACATGAAGTCAAAAATGAAGATCACATCAGGAAAAAACCCTTTTGATATTTTGGTACAGAAATGGTTTAAATTATGAAAAATGGCTGTCATAAGACTAACACTTGAAGCATTTATATAATTACATGCAGTTTTGGGAAGAAATATTTAATATTTTTATTAAATAAATGGTGTTTTAAAACTGTCTAATTTTCTTTAATGGTTGCCTTCAAGACATGGTCACCAGTTTCAAATTTTTGGCCAATCACAAAGACAACAAAATATGTTTAAATTATTGAATATCAAACATTTTAATCGAAAAAAAAATTGACAAGAACATGTTTAACTCACAATTATTTCAAACAACAGTAGCTTTCTTTGATCATTACTATGATCTGATCAAACTATTTCTAAAATAATCTATTAAAAACAAAACTTCAAAAAAAACCCTTTCTTTTGGTGTATAGAACATTAAAATAACTTGATGCATATTCTTACAATAAACAATCAAAGTTAGCAATACAATTCATATGTTTTGTCTACGGACAAGACATTTTATTGATATATAATTAAATGCATTATTAAAACTTAATTTTGACATAGCTGAATATGTTCTCTTGACAAAATAACATACATTTTATCATGTTTATCTATCAAATGCTGCTGAACCTCTAGGAAATTGGAAACAAATACATTGTGATAATGTCTACGGACAAGACATTTTATTGATATTTAATTAAATGCATTAAAAAGATAATTGTTAAAATTAAGATTAAGTTACCCATTTAATTTTAAGCTGTGTTTTTTAATTTTTGGAAAATATAAAAATGTACCCATGATTCTTTACATATCTCAAAATTTTATTGATTAAGCAAAAAAGAAGACACATTCTTTCAACTGAAATCCATAAGTCTGACTGTTTAACAATTAAACTTTTATTAAAACTCAATTTTGACATAGATGAAAGTGTTCTCTTGAAAAAATAACATACATTTTATCTGTCAAATGAGGCAGAACTCAAGGAAATTGGAAACAAATATAGATTGTGGTAATGTCTACGGACAAGACAATTTCAGTTGAATAAACAATCTGTTAGAAATAATTGTGATTATATTTATGTTGAAAATATTGAGTTTTAATGTGTTCAAAGAACTTTCATCACCTATAAATTAGAATTAAGTTCCAAAGTAGACAAATAATTGAATTTAATACTTGTTCTGTACAGGTGTCTTGTCCGTAGACACTTCCTCATCTGTTGGTAATCCTAAAATGCAAAAGATAAAGTCAGAGAGAGAGAAATACAATTTCTTCATTTGATTAAGTTTATCTTTTAAGTTATGAAGAAACTGGAATAATGATATTGAAGTAAAATAAGGTATGCCTTTTATGACTGACAATTTGCCACTTTTTAAATTCCACTCCTGTAAAGTAATTTTACAAAAAATGAGAACAGTTAAATAACCATTAATTAATCAAAAATAATATATTTCTAAGTTTAAACAACACATCGGAACAATTTAGATCCATAAAGCCAAGCAATATTGATATAAAGCTAAGTCATGTCTACGGACAAGACATGTGTCTACGGACAAGACATTCTGACATTTTTTTCAAATTCTTTCTCTATTAAAAGATGGTAGAAATTAATGTTTGTAGTGTTTTCATATCTACAAAAGAGCAGGAACTTAGCAATGCAACATTTATGTTATTACACTTCAAGTTTACTAGGAAATGCATGTCTACGGACAAGAAATTTTTTCACTTTATTTGTATATCCATTTTAGATGGCATATATCTCCAGCTAGGGTACTGCAATATAGATATATGAGGTAGTTGTTGATAATTCATATACAAGAAGAGAAAACAAAACACATAAAAGCATAAATTTCAAAATTTTTTCTCTGTTATTACTGCACTATACAAGGTAAAAACAAAAATACAAAATTGCATAACGAACGATAGTATTCCACTTTTTATCATAAGTTTGTAACCACTGAAGATTTTTCTTTGCAACAACCAGCAAAAGAAAGATGAATAAATTGTCTATAACAGTGAACCAATAATGTAGTTCAAATTAGGTTCACTTATTAACTATCAATTGATAAAAACAGTGTATTTTTAAATGAAACAACATAACATGAAATTTTGCCCATTTTTAGCGTGTATTTAGTGGTTTTTTTTCAAAATGGTCACACATATACATGATATTTGATATGCATTGTGAAAACCCTATATTCTTTCCTTCAGTTCAAAGATGTAATACTTAATTTAAGTTCATCTTCTTGTCTATAGAAGCCTATAACATAGACCTAATATGAAATGTACATCTGATTGTGGCTAGGCCGACAGTTAATTACTATTTGATTTGCAATTTTAATTTCTAGAAAATATTTGTTATATATTTATCGTGGGTTGTAATGATGACTATTTCATTAGAGTATATATGTTTATTAAAGTACAATCTACACACCCAATGATTACATTTGCAATACATAACATCAGTATATATATAAAACAAAGAGTAATTTAATGCCATGGGAAAGTTAAGCCCATAAAACCTAACAGAATACAGTAGCTGTGAACTATGATAAGAGATAATATTCTATTGACAGACACATCCGCTAATCTGATCATTATAAATTCCTAACTGTCAGTATTAATTTTAAGCCAATTAAACTATAGTGATAATGTATCATGTAAACATAACAATAATAATAGCCGTTTTTAAAATATTCACAAATGTCCACTGTGTAACAATGTATGTCCCCTATGAAATGCTCTGTGTCCCCTACCCAACAGATTGTGTCCACTTCGAAACGAAATGTTGCGTAGTGGACTGTTGCGGTGGACATATACTAACAGACTTTAGAAAGGCAACACACATTTTGGTGATTTTTTTTACCGAATCATGATTGATCCACATAGAACTACTATTCATGCTTATCATACTTGTTTATGATTAGAAAAATTCAACACCTGACTTACCTGAGGTAATTGAACATACAGGATTATTGAAGTCACATGAATTTCTTAAAGTGAAAACTTGAAACCCATCAATGATTTTTTTTAAGGATTTATTTTCTTGAAACAATTCTTTCAATCCATACCCGCACTTGAATCATTAGAAAAAATGTTGCACCTCTATATTGCTGAGACTAAGCAATGAAAAATCTGAATCAGGCCATAAGAATATTGCAGGCAGAAACTCGTTTTACTGTCCTTACAACAATGGTACAGGTAGACAGGATTTGTTGATGACCATACATGACCAGATCAATATGTAGTGACAAAGAAACGTCAATTAAATTTGATTATGCAACGTCATTTGAGAGGAAATGTTTACGGCTGCAACATCAACTGCTAATCAAGTTGACGAATGCCATGGTAGACAGATTCTTGCCAAAAATGTTTCCCATATACTGAAATGCCAAAGAATCGACTGCTGAAATACATTTGAAGCACTAATGTTTAAATCACGTAATTGCTAAAACACACTGTAATGCATGTGACAGAGGCAAAATCAGAAGGTACATAACAGAACTCAAAACATGACCAACAGAATTGGTTGACCTTTCTGACGATTATTTTGGCGTCGGTTGCAGGCAGTCATTGCCTTCGACGATGACACATCCATTGATAAGGGAAAAACCAGGATTTCAGTGCATACCACATGATTTGAACTATAAAAATGACGTCATCAGTTTAACTTTTGAACTGCAAACTTTTTATCAGACAATTAAGAAATGAATAAAATTTATGTTTTTACATTTATTTTACATAAATTGCCTATCTGAAAATGGGAATAAAAAAGAATAATCTAGTGTTGCATTTTTAAAGTCCGTCATTATATTTACATGTTAGCAGCCATTATTGTTCCATGCAGTTTTTTCATGGACGCCACATAAAAAGTTTCTTATGCACAAATCTATTTGAACTTATCCTAATATTGGAATAATTTGTAATGTTCAAATGTAGCTCTTTAACAAATCATTAAAAAATTAAAAGGAGCAAAAAAGATTGGTAAATTGTATGAAATTTTGAAAATTTGAATTAACTTTGCACTCATGCCGATGCAAATGAAATGATGGTTTTCCATTAAAAGACTTGTTTTTTTCTGTTACAGAATGTCGAAGAAGAAAGAAGACCAACCTAAAATCCATTTACCAAAGGAACAATCAGTCCAGTTTAGTAGAACCAGTACAGACATGGTCAGTTATGAAGATCTATTAATTGCTCAGTATCTTGAGGAACTCAGAAAAACTAAAGGAGAAATGAGAAAAAAGAAAGAGTAAGTCATGAGAAGTTGAAAAAACAAGGATAGTGTTGTTATTCATATAGGCCTCTCAAGAAAAGTAATTCTGAAATGCTTCAAATTTACGTCTCATGTTTTAGATTGGTAGCTTTAGTAGTTATTTCTGTTACTTCGAAATAATGACAATGATTTTATTTTTAATCTTAAATTACAAAAGACATTAAGTAATGAAATGTGGTACAATGTATGATTGTTATGAGAAGACAAACCACCAAGGACAAAAGGACAGGTTTATTATATTTTTTTAAACAACTCACAGTAGACTTCTGTCTTTTTTCGGTATACATGTAGATAGATATAAGAAGATGCGGCATGAGTGCAAATGAGACAACTCTCAATCCAAGTCACAATTTGTAAAAGTTAACCATTATAGGTCAAAGTACGGCCTTCAATACAGAGCCTTGGCTCACACCGAACAGCAAGCTATAAAGGGCCCCAAAAATGACTAGTGTATGTAAAACCATTCAAACAGGAAAACCAACGGTCTAATATATATAAAAACGAGAAATGCGAAACACTTACACGTTAATGCTAGTCATGAATATAGTGAAAATAGATTTCTGTTATTTAGACTTATTTGTAGATCTAATCTTTCTGGTCACTATTTTAAGCTACAGTTTTCTCTTTCCCTTATAGTTCCCTGCATAAATGGATAAATTTGTCATTCAAGGGCATCAGCTCCTATAAGTCAACTGACAGTTCTGGCCTTGACCTTATTTTCATGGTTCATTGGTCACACTTAGTTTTTGTCGAGCCTTCGACTTTTGTCGAAAAAGCGAGACATAGCGATCCTACATTCCGTCGGCGTCGTCGGTGGCGGCGTCCACAAATATTCACTCTGTGGTTAAAGTTTTTGAAATTTTAATAACTTTCTCAAACTATCCTGGATGTCTACCAAACTTGGACAGAAGCTTGTTTATGATCATGAGATAGTATCCAGAAGTAACTATTGTAAAAAAAAAAATCCTGTTTTTCCGTATTTTACTTATAAATGGACTTAGTTTTTCTGCCAGGAAACATTACATTCACTCTGTGGTTAAAGTTTTTAAAATTTTAATTACTTTCTCAAACTATCCTGGATTTCTACCAAACTTGGACAGAAGCTTGTTTATGATCATAAGATAGTATCCAGAAGTAAATTTAAAAAAAAAAAAATCCTGTTTTTCCGTTTTTTACTTATAAATGGACTTAGTTTTTCTGCCAGGAAACGTTACATTCACTCTGTGGTTAAAGTTTTAAAAATTTTAATAACTTTCTTAAACTATCCTGGATTTGTACCAAACATGGACAGAAGTTTGTTTATGATCAAAAGCTAGTATCTAGAAGGAAATTTTTATTAAAATTTTGTACTTGTTTATCCATATTTTACTTATAAATGGACTTAGTTTTTCTTCCAGTTAACATTACATACAGTCTGCAGTTAAATTTTTTAAAACATTTATTAGATTCATAAACTAGCCTGGATTTTTACCAAACTTGGACAGAAGCTTCTTACAATAAAAAAATTGTATTGAGAGGAATATTTTTATTAAATTTTTTCCTCATCTCATTTTTGTTGAGCCTGCGATTAACAGCTAAAGTAGGCGAGACACTGGGTTCCGCGGAACCCTTACGAATTTTTAGTGATTAGATCTATTTCCCAGATACTCTTGAGCAGTAAGTCAACTATATTTGATTCTTGGAAGACTTGCACATTTTTCTTTATAAAGAAGATTGAAAATTTGTTTCAGTGTTCCAAGATCACCTTATGCTCAGCGTGTATCTTCAGCGACAGAATATAAATATAGCAAGAGACGACCCATGTCAGCAACATATCCAGCCAGACCACCTTCTGGTAACAAACCAAAAATAGATGCTAAATTTATTGCAGACCCTAATCTATGGGACCCGGCTACTCCTAGGGAGAGAATGACGATAACAACAGCGACAACAACTGCCACCAGTCAACAAATTAAAAATCGTCCAGCAAGTGCTCCAGCTAAAAATAAAGGGTAAATATTATAAGAGTTTACCGTAAAGGTTGAATTTAGTGCCATTATATTGGTACATCGCTCCTGATTGAAAATTACCTTTTTGTCAGAACATGCCAAAAACTGTACCATATTTCTGTTTTCAGACTTTGGCTTTCAGGCTTTGGTTAAAAAACCAGATTTGATAAGGTTGTTGGCCTGTAAATTTATAAAATAAACACCTACTGATTTAACCTACTTTTGATTTCTGTCAATCAGAATTAAATATAAATCCTAGTAATTTTTGCATTTTGCAATTTGCATGCAAGGATCTGATGATGGTAAGAAGGAAAAATTACAAAATTTAGATGTGGTGTAGTCTTACTAACGGCTATATTCTATTAAAATGGATAGGTTGGGTGGGAAGGAAAAAATGACAAATAGAATTGAGAATGGAAACGGGTAATGTGTCAAAAAGAGAACAACCCGACCAAAGAGCAGAAACAGCCCAAGGCCACCAATGGGTCTTCAATGCAGCAAGAAAATCATGCACCCGGAGGTGGCGGGCTTCACCATTGATGTGGTTGTGTGACTTACTAAGGGCCTATCCATTAAAATGGATAGTAGTAGGTAAGCAGGAAAACTAATATCATCCACCTTAAATGTACAATGTCATGTTAGTTAACAACAGAAACATGTTTTGTCAGATATTCGGAATCCTCTGATTTTATCCATGTAGTGCTAGTAGATATTTTGCCTGCTAACCCCTACTTTTCATTTTATAATTTCATTACATATAGTTTTAAAAGCCACATTTGGAAATCCTATTAAATTCTTGTTATTTTCTTATAGCTTTTGAAAGAAAAAACATTAAATGTATGAAAAATCTAGAGAGAATCATTTCTTGTAAAATTTTCAATGGCTTATTTCTCGAAAACAAGCACATGGCCCATTCATTTCTTTCTGCTTTTTTATACGACCGCAAAAATTGAAAATTTTTTGGTCGTATATTGGTATGACGTTGGCGTCGTCGTCGTCGTCGTCCGCCGTCGTCCGAAGACACATTGGTTTTCGCACTTAACTTTAGTTTAAGTGAATGGATCTCCATGAAATTTTACCATAAGGTTCAATACCACGAAAGGAAGGTGGGGATTGATTTTGGGGGTTATGGTACCAACAGTTAAGGAATAAGGGGCCAAAAAGGGGCCAAAAATAAGCATTTTTGTAACTTCCAGACAATAACTTGTGTGTAAGTGTATGGATCTCTCTGACATTGTACCACAAGGTTCCATATCACAAAGGGAAGGCTGTAATTGATTTTGGGGGTAATTGCCTCAAAATTTTAGGAATTAGGGGCAAAAAAAGGGACAAAAAACAAGCATTTTTCTAGTTTCATGACAATAACTTGTGTGTAAGTGTTTGGATATTTCTGAAATTGTACTACAAGGTTCCATATCACAAAGGGAAGGCTGAAATTGAGTTTGGGGGTAATTTCCTGAAACGTTTAGGAATTGGGGGCCAAAAAGGGGCCAAAAATAAGCATTTTTCTAGTTTCCAGACAATAACTTGTGTTCAAGTGTATGGATCTCTCTGAAATTGTACTGCAAGGTACCATACCACAAAGGGAAGGCTGGGATTGAGTTTTGGGGTGATGAATCATAAGGGGGTTCAAAAAATTTGGGGGGGGGGATTTTTTTTTTTTTTTTTTTTTTCTTTTTTTCCTTTTTTTTTTCTTTTAAAATTTTCCATTTTAAGTTGGTTATTTCTGATTAATATTTAAAAGCAAATAATAATGATATGGTAGGAGATACACACCAAACAGGATGTGTAAATTATTATATAATAAGTATTGTGCAATAGCAAGAAATCTTCAATTGCACAGTATTGCGCAATAGCAAGAAATATCCAATAGCACAATATTGCGCAATAGCAAGAAATTGTCAATTGTACAGTATTGCACAATAGCAAGAAATATTCAATTGCACAGTATTGTGCAAAAGAAGATACTTCGTATAAATTGCTTATTTCTTGATCAATTTCAATGGGGTTTTATTCTTGAATTCTTGGGGTTCTTTAATATGCTGAATCTAACCGTGTATTAAGTTTTTGGATTTTGGGCCCCGTTTTTGTCGAGCCTGCGACTTTTGTCACAGAAAGCTCGACATAGGGATAGCGATCCGGCGGCGGCGGCTACGGCGGCGGCGTTAGCTAACTTCTTAAAAGCTTTATATTTTAGAAGATGGAAGACCTGGATGCTTCATACTTTGTATATGGATGCCTCATGTTACGAAGTTTCCGTCAGTCACATGTCCAATGTCCTTGACCTCATTTTCATGGTTCAGTGACTACTTGAAAAAAAAGTTCAGATTTTTTGTAATGTTAAATTCTCTCTTATTATAAGTAATAGGATAACTATATTTGATATGTGCGTACCTTGCAAGGTCCTCATGCCCGTCAGACAGTTTTCACTTGACCTCGACCTCATTTCATGGATCAGTGAACAAGGTTAAGTTTTCGTGGTCAAGTCCATATCTCAGATACTATAAGCAATAGGTCTAGTATATTCGGTGTATGGAAGGACTGTAAGGTGTACATGTCCAACTGGCAGGTGTCATCTGACCTTGACCTCATTTTCATGGTTCAGTGGTTATAGTTAAGTTTTTGTGTTTTGGTCTGTTTTTCTTATACTGTATGCAATAGGTCTACTATATTTGGTGTATGGAATGATTGTAAGGTGTACATGTCTAGCTGGCAGGTGTCATCTGACCTTGACCTCATTTTCATGGTTCAGTGGTCAAAGTTAAGTTTTTGAGTTTTGGTCTTTCTTTCTAATACTGCATGCAATAGGTCAGCTATATTTGGTGTATGGAATGATTGTAAGGTGTACATGTCTAGCTGGCAGGTGTCATCTTACCTTGACCTCATTTTCATGGTTCAGTGGTCAAAGTTAAGTTTTGAGTTTTGGTCTTTTTTTCTAATACTATATGCAATAGTTCAACTATATTTGGTGTATGGAAATATTTTATGATCTATATGTCAGTCACGCAGGTTTTATTTGACCTTGACCTCATTTTCAAGGTTCATTGCTCAGTGTTAAGTTTTTGTGTTTTCGTCTGTTTTTCTTAAACTATAAGCAATAGGTCAACTATATTTGTTGTATGGAAGAATTGTTAGCTGTACATGCCTGCCTAGCATGGTTCATTGGTCAATGTTTAGTTTACTTGGTTAATGTTAAGTTTATGTGACAGTTGTAATAAAGCTTTATATTTAGGACTATCAACATAATATCAATGATTAGTAAAGAAGGCGAGACATTTCAGCGTGTGCACTCTTGTTTAAATTGGTCCACATTGAGGTCCAAAGGGTCAAAATTTAACTTTGTTTGATTTCATCAAAAATTGAATTATTGGGGTTCTTTGATATGCCGAATCTAACCGTGTATTTAGATTCTTGATTTTTGGTTCCGTTGTCAAATTGGTCTACATTAAGGTCAAAAGGGTCCAAAATTAAACTTAGTTTGATTTTAACAAAAATTGAATTTTTAGGGTACTTTGATATGCTGAATCTAAACATGTATTTAGATTTTTGATTATGGGCCCAGTTTTCAAGTTGGTCCAAATCGGGGTCCAAAATTAAACTTTGTTTGATTTCAACAAAAATTGAATATATGGGGTTCTTTGATATGCTGAATCTAACCATGTATTTAGATTTTTGATTTTTGGGCCCCGTTATCAACTTTGTCCACATTGAGGTCAAAAGGGTCCAAAATTAAACTTTGTTTGATTTCATCAAAAATTGAATTCTTGGGGTTCTTTGATATGCTGAATCTAACCATGTATTTAGATTTTTTATTTGTGAACCCGCTATCAAATTGGTTCATATTGAGGTCAAAAGGGTCCAAAATTAAACTTTGTTTGATTTCATCAAAAATTGAATTATTGGGGTTCTTTGATATGCCAAATCTAACCGTGTATTTAGATTTTTAATTTTGGGTCCCGTTTTTAAATTGGTCTACATTAAGGTCCAAAGGGTCCAAAATTAAACTTAGTTTGATTTTAACAAAAATTGAATTCTTGGGGTTCTTTGATATGCTGAATCTAAACATGTGTTTAGATTTTTTATTATGGGCCCAGTTTTCAAGTTGGTCCAAGTTGGGGTCCAAAATTAAACTTTGTTTGATTTCAACAAAAATTGAATATATGGGGTTCTTTGATATGGTGAATCTAAACATGTATTTAGATTTTAGATTTTTGGCCCAGTTTTCAAGTTGGTCCAAATTGGGGTCCAAAATTAAACTTTGTTTGATTTCAACAAAAATTGAATATATGGGGTTCTTTGATATGCTGAATCTAACCATGTAATTAGATTTTTTATTTGTGGGCCCGCTATCAAATTGGTTCATATTGAGGTCAAAAGGGTCCAAAATTAAACTTTGTTTGATTTCATCAAAAATTTAATTATTGGGGTTCTTTGATATTCCAAATCTAACCGTGTATTTAGATTTTTAATTTTGGGTCCCGTTTTTGTCGAGCCTGCGACTTTTGTCGCAGAAAGCTCGACATAGGGATAGTGATCCGGCGGCGGCGGCGGCGGCGTTAGCTAACTTCTTAAAAGCTTTATATTTTAGAAGGTGGAAGGTCTGGATGCTTCATACTTTGTATATGGATGCCTCATGTTACGAAGTTTCCGGCAGTCACATGTCCAATGTCCTTGACCTCATTTTCATGGTTCAGTGACTACTTGAAAAAAAAGTTCAGATTTTTTGTAATGTTAGATTCTCTCTTATTATAAGTAATAGGATAAATATATTTGGTATGTGCGTACCTTGCAAGGTCCTCATGCCTGTCAGACAGTTTTCACTTGACCTCGACCTCATTTCATGGATCAGTGAACAAGGTTAAGTTTTGGTGGTCAAGTCCATATCTCAGATACTATAAGCAATAGGTCTAGTATATTCGGTGTATGGAAGGACTGTAAGGTGTACATGGCCAACTGGCAGGTGTCATCTGACCTTGACCTCATTTTCATGGTTCAGTGGTTATAGTTAAGTTTTTGTGTTTTGGTCTGTTTTTCTTATACTGTATGCCATAGGTCTACTATATTTGGTGTATGGAATGATTGTAAGGTGTACATGTCTAGCGGGCAGGTGTCATCTGACCTTGACCTCATTTTCATGGTTCAGTGGTCAAAGTTAAGTTTTTGAGTTTTGGTCTTTTTTTCTAATACTATGTGCAATAGTTCAACTATATTTGGTATGTGCGTACCTTGCAAGGTCCTCATGCCCGTCAGACAGTTTTCACTTGACCTCGACATCATTTCATGGATCAATGAACAAGGTTAAGTTTTGGTGGTCAAGTCCATATCTCAGATACTATAAGCAATAGGTCTAGTATATTCGGTGTATGGAAGGACTGTAAGGTGTACATGTCCAACTGGCAGGTGTCATCTGACCTTGACCTCATTTTCATGGTTCAGTGGTTATAGTTAAGTTTTTGTGTTTTGGTCTGTTTTTCGTATACTGTATGCCATAGGTCTACTATATTTGGTGTATGGAATGATTGTAAGGTGTACATGTCTAGCGGGCAGGTGTCATCTGACCTTGACCTCATTTTCATGGTTCAGTGGTTATAGTTAAGTTTTTGTGTTTTGGTCTGTTTTTCTTATACTGTATGCAATAGTTCAACTATATTTGGTGTATGGAAATATTTTATGATCTATTTGGCAGTCACGCAGGTTTTATTTGACCTTGACCTCATTTTCAAGGTTCATTGCTCAGTGTTAAGTTTTTGTGTTTTGGTCTGTTTTTCTTAAACTATAAGCAATAGGTCAACTCTATTTGTTGTATGGAAGAATTGTTAGCTGTACATGCCTGCCTAGCATGGTTCATCTGACCTTGACCTCATTTTCATGGTTCATTGGTCAATGTTTAGTTTACTTGATTAATGTTAAGTTTATGTGACAGTTGTAATAAAGCTTTATATTTAGGACTATCAACATAATATCAATGATTAGTAAAGAAGGCGAGACATTTCAGCGTGTGCACTCTTGTTTAAATTGGTCTACATTAAGGTCCAAAGGGTCCAAAATCAAACTTAGTTTGATTTTAACAAAAATTGAATTCTTGGGGTTCTTTGATATGCTGAATCTAAACATGTGTTTAGATTTTTGATTATGGGCCCAGTTTTCAAGTTTGTTCAAGTTGGGGTCCAAAATTAAACTTTGTTTGATTTCAACAAAAATTGAATATAGGGGGTTCTTTGATATGCTGAATCGAACCATGTATTTTGATTTTGGACATTGGACCATAATAGGTAAATTAAAAAAATTGAAGTTCTAAGACCACATTCTTTCTGTGTCAGAAACCTATGCTGTGTCAAATATTTAATCACAATCCAAATTCAGAGCTGTATCAAGCTTGAATGTTGTGTCCATACTTGCCCCAACTGTTCAGGGTTCGACCTCTGCGGTCGTATCAAGCTGCGCCCAGCGAAGCATTTTATTAGTTCTTTTATTCATTATAATTTCAATTTATAACAGTCTTTTAAAAAGCTTATTATTTTGAATCAGAGTAGCAAACATCCTTAAAGTAAATACCAGGGGGCCTCGGTGGCCAAGTGCTGAAGTGGTCTAAGTAGTTCTACTACTGTAATCACTAGCCAGTCAACACTGAGGTTGTGAGTTCGAATCCAGCTCGTGTGGGTGCACTTGACTCCAATCTTGATTGACTAGGATTGTCAGTTTTCTGTGGTTTTCTCCTGGCACTACGGCTTCTTCTACCAATAAATACTGGCCACCACAAAATAGCCCAAAAGTGGCACTTAAAAGTTGAGTTAAAACACCAACAATCAATCAATAAAGTAAATACCTGTCTTTATAGGATAAGCAGCAGACCAATATCAGCCACATCTAATTTATCCTGGTTTTATGGCAGATCAACACGACCATGGTCAGGTAGATCATTTGGTTCAGGTAAGAATATAATAGTAATTACTGTATTCTTATAAGTATAAATTCAGGCAAAATCTAGTGTCTGATATATCCAAAGTTTTTATTGCAAATAATATCATTATTATTTCATAATCAATACTAAAGTACCCAATGGCATTCAGAGTTATTAGGTTTGTTACAACAAGACTATAATTAACCTTAATGTCTGTTGGTTTTTTTACCTGCATCTCCGAAGGGACTGGCAGGTCAAGTAACTGCTAGACTTCGACTCTGTCCAAAAGAAATCTGTGATGTATCTACTTCCTGTTTGCCGATAGTTAGAAATTTTACAACACTCATTATACTAGGAAAATTATTTTCATCAAACTTTCTCCTCAGTATCTATTGTATTGAATTTTGACTTAAAATTTGGTTTGCAGCTTGATAATGTTGAGACTCAACTTGAGTTGTAGCGAGTTAGCAATTTTTACATCTGCTGTTTATCCACTTCCTGTTTGCTGATAGATTAAAATTTTATGACACTCAATTTTTTTGTAAAAGGAAAAATTTCATGGCTTCAATGAAAGTGCAGGATCAGTTATACTCCAATATACATCAGGGCTCACGCTAGCAGGCGACTGGGGCGATAAAGTCGCTTTCTCTTCCGTCACTTCGCTTTGCCCGACCGTCAAAAGCAAAATCTAGTCGCCCTGTCGTTCACCATACACGCTTTCAGTCGCTTTCATCCATGGACATTTTCAATTTTTACCAAGTCGATGAAACATCAATCTTTTATTGATAATTAAAGAAATTGAGAATTAAAAGAATTCATTATCTGAAGAAAAGAGGTTTAAGCATTGACTTTACAGTTTGTAGCAGGTTATTTAATAAAAAAGACAACTTTTTTTCACTTCATGCACTTCTGGTTCTTGTTACTCGATAGCATACATCAATCTAACTTTGGCGACAAAATAAGTTTGTTACTTCATTTGAACGTGATAAAATTTGCCTCCAGTAAATGTTTAATCCATTTATTGCATTAAAAACGTCATATTCCTTTCCAAATAGCTTGTCAAACATCGTTTATTTTTGTATATTTTCTTCGTCCGCCATTAACTGTTTACTAACTACGGATCGGAAACGGACCAGCTTATAATGACCGAAATCTGTATTTTTACAATAATAACTAAGGACGCATGAATGGAACAGCTGACAGAAGAATATTGATCATAAAAGGAAAAATTACGCATTCCACACGCATTAACAGACTTTTGGTTAGATCTACTTGATTAATGTATATAATTCCATACATATGGATTGTTTCAAAATATTGATTAAAGTTGCATAACTCTGGGATTATAATACTATTATATCAATATATTATGGTCCAGCTTAACTTTGTATATCTTTTGATGAGAAACACTGAATTTCATAAACATGATAAACAAGATAGTTTTTTAATTGAATTGTAATTGATATATTATAATTTCTTTTCCTTTTTGACATAAAAAATAATATTTTTAGTGCTAGATTATTTAGTTGGTAGTGTCTCACAAGAACCTAAACTTAAACAACTTTGAATTTGAACTGTTACTTTAATTGTATACTCAGATATGAATTGAAGAATATAATAAGAACATTATTTACATATGATCCTTTGTACTATAGGTAGTATAAAACCAAATATTATAGTGCAGCGCGCAAAGGAGCACTTCTCTTTCAAATCTCACCACTTCTCCCTATCAGTTTCAAAATGAGAAGTCACTTCTCCCTATGATTCTGAAGTAGTGTGAGCCCTGTACATGTTACCTCAATTAACTGCAAGCAGTGACGCAGGTGCAAACCTGGTATTGCTGTTATTATTGTGAAGTTTGGATCGCGTTGTATTGTTATACTCTAAACACTTCCTTTTTAGCTCACCAGGGCCCGAAGGGCCTCATGTGAGCTTATGCCATCACTTGGCGTCTGTCGTCGTCTGTTGTCTGTCGTCGTCGTCTGTCGTCGTAAACTATTTCAAAAATCTTCTCTGAAACTACTGGGCCAAATACCTTCAAACTTTAACTAAATGTTCCTTAGGGTATCTAGTTTAAAAACTGTATCCGAAGTTTTGATCCATCGACAAACATGGCCGCCATGGCTAAAAATAGAACATAGGGATCAAATGCAGTTTTTGGCTTATATCTCAAAAACTAAAGCTTTTAGAGCAAATCTGACATGAGTAAACTTGTTCAGTTGGTCAAGATCTATCAGCTCTGAAATTTTCAGACGAATCAAACAACCCATTGTTGGGTTGCTGCCACCGAATTGGTAGTTTTAACAAAATTTTGCAGTTTTTTGTTATTATTTTGAATATTATTATAGATATATATAAACTGTAAGCAGCAATAATGTTCAGCAAAGTAAGATCTACAAAAAAGTTAATATGACCATAATTGTCAATTGACCTCTTAAGGAGTTATTGCCCTTTAAAGACAATTTTACACAATTTGTTCAAGTTTGCTAACATTTAAAAATCTTCTCCTCTGAAACAACTGGGCCAATTACCTTCAAACTTTAACTAAATGTTCCTTAGGGTATCTTGTTTATAAATCGTATCTGAAGTTTGTATCCATCGACAAACATGGCTGCCATGGCTAAAAATAGAACATAAGGGTCAAATGCAGTTTTTGGCTTATATCTCAAAAACTAAATCTTTTAGAGCAAATCTGACATGAGTAAACTTGTTCAGTTGGTCAAGATCTATCAGCTCTGAAATTTTCAGACGAATCAAACAACCCATTGTTGGGTTGCTGCCCCCGAATTGGTAGTTTTAACAAAATTTTGCAGTTTTTTGTTATTATTTTGAATATTATTATAGATATATATAAACTGTAAGCAGCAATAATGTTCAGCAAAGTAAGATCTACAAAAAAGTTAATATGACCAAAATTGTCAATTGACCTCTTAAGGAGTTATTGCCCTTTAAAGACAATTTTACACAATTTGTTCATCAAGTTTGCTAACATTTAAAAATCTTCTCCTCTGAAATGCAGGTGAGCAATTCAGGCTCTTGAGAGCCTCTTGTCTAAATGATACCAGTAAATGTATCTTTTTTTCAGCCTTCTCTGGACGTAAAATCAAATCTCAGTACAAAAAACAGCCACTAACCATTAGAGTGGTCGCATATAAAAATGGAAGTAGAGAAAGATTTGCCAAAATTGCAGCTCCAACCATGAAAATTGTGAGTATCAAGAATGAAATGAAAGGAAAATTTGTTTACTATTATGCAGACAAAGTGTGTATTTAGGTTAGGTCAATTTCTGTCTCGTCTACGATTATTGTTACAGGATGTGAGACATAGTTATAGTATATGAGCTGCAGAGGATTTTTAGAATTTTTTTTTACTGTTATCAAGGGTTGAAAATATGTCCTGGTCTTAGTCCAGGAGTTTTAAAGGTTTGGAAGTCTTGAAAATACTTTTGAAAGATTCTGTGTGCCTGAATTATTATGATAAATGAAATAGTCTACTTTGTAAGCAATTATAACATAGAAGTAATTTATATATAATTCCTGCACTGAAGGACTTTTGAGGGAAAGGATAATAGGTAGCAAAAAAATGTATTTACATTTCGCACTCATGTCCTGATTTTTTGCAGTTTCGTACTCATATCCTGATTTTTTGCAGTTTCATACTCATGTCCTGATTTTTTGCAGTTTCTGGAATGCTGCACAGATAGGTTGGGCCTACCATTTGCAGCTAGAAGAGTATTTTTAGAAGGAGGTGTTGAAATATTTGATGCAGAGGATATTCCCATCGATGGAGAAGTTTTTGTTTCCTGTGGAGAAAATTACAAAGACCCATTGGCCAGTGTTAAACGTAAGTACAGTTGTTTTACAATTTAAAAAAAAAAATTTTTAATTTGGAAGTTAAGACCAAAAATAAAATTAAAATTGTTTGATGCTGCCTACCTTCCAACCTAAAAACAGCCTTAGTATTAAAACTTTTTAACACAAATCGTTTCAAATTTATTTTTTATATGAACTAATGTTGTTTTCTGGTCTAAAACATGTAACTTATGTTGTTGGCCAAAATCAACGACAAAATTCTTACGTACCTATACCCAACCCTACAAGTCATTGGTAGGCAATATCAAACAAGGAATTTGTTAAGGATGGCGTAAGTAACATATGCTGGGCTATATAAGTTCATCATCCTGTAATCCTAAAGGTAACCACCTTGTATGTATTGGTTGTGAAAACTTTATGAATGTTTCATTATTTCAGGTAATATTTTGATCAGTGAAGGAGCAAAATGGACATTGTCTGGATTACTTCTCCCTGATGAGGGACGAGTCAGAACTAGAAAAGCCAAGATGTCAAAAAGAATGAAGTAAGATTCTTTAACTTAATGAAAGGACTGTTTGACACTTCACAGTTTTTGATTTAATAATACACGTTGATGAATCTAAGTGTGTATTACACACAGGTTTTTACTCCAAAACACAAATAACCAGGCGAGGATGTTGTTTATAGATAACTACAACCATGAGATAAGATACACAATGTTTTGGTTTACGTTCCACCATGTTTGATCTTGATGAAACTATAGATGGGCCCTACTTTTGAATTCTTTAATCATTTACATTTTTTACCTAATCCATAATAATATGCAATTTTAATTAATAAATCCAGTATCTACTGACAAATTAAAAAATAAATAATGCTTCATTACAAATATCTCCTTCATTCTCAAAGAAATGAGATATAAACAGAAAAATTTATTGGTTACTCTTTCAGATTTGGTTTTTCAAACTGTTGCCTGTATAAAAATAAGGAGATGTGGTATGATTGCCAATGAGACAAATATCAACCAAAGTTCAAATGAAGTGGATGTAATCAATTATAGGCAACTGTATGGTCTTCAACAATGATAAAAACCAATGCTGTTTTGTTGGCTACAAAAGGCCCTGACATGAAAATTATGAAACAATTTCATTGAGAAAACTAACAGCCTAAAATAATAAAAAAACAATTTTCAAAAAAAGCAAATGTGAGAGTATAATATTCAAATTCTTAGTAATATTTTTGGGTAGCCTGTACATATTGTTGAATTCATAAAAAATACCTTTAATTTTCAGAAAACTTATTGAAAATAACCGAGTAAGGATAGTTGTGTACAAGAATGGTATTGCCACAGAACCAATAGAATGTGTTGCTGATCAAAACAATATGGAAGATGTAAGTACTAGTAGGGAAAAGGGGGGAATGTAGTGTACAAGAACTTTGTGCCACTGAATATTTCAGGGATGATTTGGACAATATGTTTGATGAACGTACAGCAATTTTACGTAAATTTGAGAGGGAAAATGTAGTGTATAAAAATGATATTGCCTTAGAACACATTCTTCTGATCATAACAATTGGAAATAAGTAAGTGCAACAGTTTGAGTGGATTAGAAAAGGCACATGGTGTTTCACATAGTAAACAGTTTTAGTATATCTACTAATGGCTGTTCCAGAAATCGGAAATGATTGAAATGGCGGGGGGGGGGGGGGGGGGGGGCATGGGAGGCACATTTATAAAGAACGCAGTGACCAAAGAGAATGAAAAATTTCATTTTAATTATAATTCTTAAATAATTCTACAGAATTTGCAACCACCCATTTTTAATGAATTATAATGTCTCCCACCCCCCACCCAATAAATTTTGGAACAGCCCTAATCATTCAATGCAATTCAATTCAATATTATATTGGAAAGAGCACAATAGAGGCGTGATCCAAATACAGACAATAATCGTATAAAAAAGACTTATCTTATCAAAATTGGGGATTTTCTGCTTTTAATATTTAGATAATCAACTCAATTTATTAAAGTTGTTGTTAACTGTCTGAACCTCATATTTTACAACAACAAAAAACAGTCATGGACAAAAATAACAATTTAAAAAAGCAAACACCATATCTATTTATAGCCATCACTTTGCGTCTATTATCCGTCTCCATTTTGGAGATGTCTGACCAATCAAGCGTTCCCATTTTTATTTTGTGACTGTACCCACAACATTAGTATTTCTTGGTCTTTGATAAACACCTTGCAAATCTTTGAAATTTTCCTGTGCTTCGATGTGTAAGGCCAATAAAAAAGAAGTAAAAACTATTTGACAAATTAGATAAGAGTTGTGAAATTTTCAAGTTCAAAGATTTTATCTTTATTGTCTTTCAGTTTTTGTGTGCATGTACAGCCAAGTTGAATTTGACATCATATGCCAAAATTCTGTATGACTGGGAAGGGAATGTGATATCAGATCTCAATGATGGTGAGTCGGTTTATGACGTAAACTTTACGTATATTATTATACAATTGTCAGCTTGTATGAAAAATTAGTCTATGAGTACTTCCTTCAGGCCTAGGTCTGATGTTGTTTTCATTCAATAGATGTAGTAAATTCAGAAATTTTTGCATGTATTTCTTATTGCAATGTTTTTTTTAACGATGTACAATAATTTGATATCAAATATAACGATTTCATGGATTGTTGCATCAAAAAACTATGAAAATCTAAAATCTAAAATGTGATTTTATATATTTTTTTAAACCTATCAAGTCACTTTTTACCTTTTTCAGCTCCTATTTTAGATGAATGTTTCTTACCAGGGAGTGCAGGAAACTATACCAGTGCCTAAATCTTTTTGACTTTTATCAGGTCCTATTTCAGATGACTGTTTTCAAGCAGGAAGTATTGGAAACTATACCAGTCCCTAAATCTTTTTGACTTTTATCAGGTCCGATTTTATATGACTGTTTCCTAGCAGGGGTACAGGAAACTATACCAGTGCCAGTGCCTTAATCTTTTTGACTTTATCAGCTCCGATTTTAGATGACTGTTTCCAAGCAGGAAGTAGGGGAAACTATACCAGTGCCTAAAAAATTTGTTTTTTACAGCTCTTATTTTAGATGACTGTTTCCAAGCAGGGGTTATGGGAACATATACCAATGCCTAAATCTTTTTGACTTTTTTCAGCTCCTATTTTAGGTGACTGTTTCCAAGCAGGAAGTAGGGGAAACTATACCAGTGCCTAAAAATTTGACTTTTACAGCTCTTATTTTAGATGACTGATTCCAAGCAGGGAGTATGGGACACTATACCAGTGCCTAAATCTTTTGACTTTTTTTCAGCTCCAATTTTAGACGACTGTTTCCAACCAGGTAGTACCCCTATTAGGGGCCCACTATGGGTATCTATTGGAGAAGCATTTAATGCTATAGCAGCTTACAGTTACATCAGAACCATGAGATCTGTGGTCATAAGTAGGATGGATGATGCTGAAAAATATAAAGGGGAGGTAAGTCTTACTTCATACTTGATAAAATATAAAGGGAGGTAAGTTACTTCTCATTGATTTTATTCAAAGGGGAGGTAATTCTTACTACTTCATACTTGGTAAAATATAAAAGGGAGGTAAGTCTAACTACTTCATACTTGGTAAAATATAAAAGGGAGGTAAGTCTAACTACTTCATACTTGGCAAAATATAAAAGGGAGGTAAGTCTAACTACTTCATACTTGGCAAAATATAAAAGGGAGGTAAGTCTACTTCATACTTGGCAAAATATAAAAGGGAGGTAGGTCTAACTACTTCATACTTGGCAAAATATAAAGGGGAGGTAAGTCTTAACTACTTCATACTTGGCAAAATATAAAGGGGAGGTAAATAACTTCATATTAATAATTAATACTAAGGGGAGGTAAGTCTTACTACTTCATACTTGATAAAATACAAAGCATGGCTGGTATTTAATACAAATGATGCTAAAAGATATCAAGGGAAGTTGAAACTTTTTAAAAAAAATTTAATATGATATACAAAGAAAGATATCTTTAAAAGGATTCTTAAGCAAAGAGGAGGCAATTCTAACTTCAGACTAACTAAGAAATATTATGCAAATAAGAGGAATTTCCTTTATACCAAAACTTCCTCACATTAGAGGTTGTGGGTTCAATCCTGGTTTAGGTTAAACCATAAAATTTGAATGAGATATTTGCTTTTTCTTCTCAAAGCCCACCATATTCAGAAGTAACTGCAAACACTTGTTAGAATTATGTGACTTGGTAGGTTGAAATGTCTTACTTGTGAACTAGCATTTTAAAAATCAGGCCCAGCGTGCCTAGTTCAAAGTAAATATAAAAAAGAAGATGTTGTATGATTGCCAATGAGACAACTCTCCACAAAAGACAGAAATGAACAACTATAGTTCACTGTATGGCCTTCAACAATGAGCGAAGCCCATACCGCATAGTCAGCTATAAATGACCCCAGGCCCGAAAGGACAAATCTTAAACAATTCAAACAAGAAAACCGACAGCCTAATTTGCCAATGAGACAACTCTCAAAAACAGACCAAATGACACAGAAATTAACAACTATAGGTCACAGTACAGCCTTCATTACATTTAAAAGTACTCGTCCTGATATTTATGTGATAATTGCCATCATCGTTATTATCTCTATACAAATACTTGACTTATATTTTCTATTTCAGTTACAATGTGCATTGGATGGAAACAAAGATAAGATCACAATGACTGTTATTCTGTCCATGAAAAAAGAAGAAATAGAAGCACATATAGAGAAGGTAAAAATAAATTAGGTTACTGTGACAATATTGTTAAGATTAAGAAGTTCTTTTATTGTAAGGAGGCATTCTATTGTTGATAGAGAAGGTAAAAATAAATGAGGTTACTGTGACAATATTGTTAAGATTTAGAAATTCTTGTATTGTAAGGAGGCATTCTATTGTTGATAGAGAAGGTAAAAATAAATGAGGTTACTGTGACAATATTGTTAAGATTTAGAAGTTCTTGTATTGTAAGGAGGCATTCTATTGTTGATAGAGAAGGTAAAAATAAATGAGGTTACTGTGACAATATTGTTAAGATTTAGAAGTTCTTTTATTGTTAGGAGGCATTCTATCGTTGATAGAGAAGGTAAAAATAAATGAGGTTACTGTGACAATATTGTTAAGATTTAGAAATTCTTGTATTGTAAGGAGGCATTCTATTGTTGATAGAGAAGGTAAAAATAAAGGAGGTTACTGTGACAATATTGTTAAGGTTTAGTAGTTCTTGTATTGTAAGGAGGCATTAAAAAAGGATTGAAAAAAAATGTTGTTCTTTGCTACATTCATCTCAAAATAAAACTAAAAAAAAAACAACTGAAGTTGTTATTTAATAACTTACCGGTGATACACTTTTTACGTTCATAAAATCTATAATGCACTACAAACACTGGCTAAGAGAACAACTTGGGATATGTGAACACTTTAAGATAGAGCTAAAGGATCATCACCTTCAAGAAAAAGAAAATTAACAATAAGGAAAAATACCCTTCTCTTTTATCACAAATTATAGTATAGAGCTTCCTATGTGAAACTAAAATATCTCAATCTATGAAAGGGCAGTTATTGCAGTTTATATTAGATTTATTTTAAATCAATTCCTTTAAGTAAATTTATGATCACTTCAACTTGGAACTTAGAACATGTGTTTATTATTAGTTGAACTGTTTAAAGTAAAATTGTGAATGGAAACGGGAAATGCGTCGAAGAGACAACAACAGAGCAGAAAACAGCCCAAGGCCACCAATTGGTCTTCAACACAACGAGAAAATACTGCACCCAAAGGCAGGCTTCAGCTGGCCCCTAAACAATAATATTTATGCTAAATTTGGGTTTTAAGCAAAATTTCAAAGTTCACTGAACATGGAAAGGTGATAATGCAAGTTGGGCATGCTGTCCTATTTTATTGCACCAATAAACTTGACTTAACCTTCATGGAATGTTAGAAAAACTTGGACAGAAGGAATAGCATCAAAAGAATTTTTTTGGTGGTCAACATTACACTTTTATACTGACAGTGTCAATCACAGACAAGATTTCGGGTTCTACAAAAACTTTAACCATATGAGACATTTCTGTGTGTCCACACTAAATTTATTTGACTTTATTCTTTTTCAGGCTGAGGCTGAAATAGAAAATTTAAATGAAACAAAGCAAGATTTACAAGCAAAGTTAGAAAATATACAACAACTACAACAAAGAGAAAAGGTATTTATTTATTATTATTGTTAACTTTGTTGCTATATTTATTTACTCTACAGTCAGAAATATTTGCAAGGGTTTTATTTTCGTGATTAAAATAAAATTGCAAAAACATCCCAGTCACATCAATTTAATATTTAAGGGAGCAAGGAATTATGGACAGGAAAAATGTGAACATTTTACCTTAGATTAATCACAAAATTTGGCCTGCATTAAATTAAACTACTTTTCAGTATGTGGGTTTAATACCTATATTAGGCCCCAAAAAATATATATGTCTGTTTAAGATTACATCATAAAAAAAATAAGGTAGTTCGGTCGGTATTTCCATTTTATTTTTTGTGACATGATTTTGAGTAGTGCAGTCTGTCTTGCCATGGTCTGAGTTGTCTATGGTCCGAGTTTACTCATATTTTTAATGATTGGATTATTTTCCTTGTTTGTTGGTTGGGGGGAATAAATGGCGGGTAAAGTAAAATTGAGAATGGAAATGGGGAATGTGTCAAAGAAACAACTACCCGACCAAAGAGCAGAAAACAGCCCATGGCCACCAATGGGCTTCAGCTGGCCCCTAAACAAAAAGTGTTTACTTCATCACACAAGTTGCAAGTTTCCTTAACCTTGTTAACAGAGAGAGCACAGAGACATTTACATTTGAAATAATCGGTCAAATAAAATAATATAATTATTAATTATGTCACCAAACAATACAAATATTACACCGCTCCTTTCCTAAGTTCTTATTATTAACATGCTTATTTTTAAAATATTATAAACACAATTTTTGCTCAGATTAGCTTTTTTATATGAGAATGAAATGTTTAAAAAGTTTTAATTTCATACGACAGTATACAATGTAATCTTAAGTAATCTAAAGTAATCATGATTACTTTAAAGAAAAGTAATCTAATGTAATCAATTACATTTGAATTTAGGTGTAATTGTAATGTAATTAATAACATCAAATAAGCAAAGAAATTGTAATTTAATTAATTACATTTCGAAGTAATCGACCCCATCCCCGATAGTTATTGATCAAGAAATATATGAGCAACAGCTTTACCAAAAAAGATACTTTACACACATCATGCACATTAACATCTTTGTAAAATTTGTAGAAAAATATCTTCTATATTTGTTACTCGATAATACTATAAACCAACTAATTTTCATTAGACATTTATTAAAGGGACATTAGCTGTCAAATTAATGTTCACCGATTTGACTCAAATTCTCATATTTGATTTATAACATACTAAAACGTATATCCAAATTACAATAAGTCTGAAATAAACAGTTAACAATTCATGTACTCAATAATATACATCAGCATCTCGTGTGTATTTTAGTCTAGACGCCATCTAATTATCTATCAAGATGACCTCTGAAGACTGCCAACAGTCACATAACCCAATATAAACATAAACATAAATATAAATAGAAAGCGACCTCGTGCAATTTGACTCTTTTAGGTCTGTTTGATTTTATGTTATAGGTTAAACAATAAGTAATCATCGTTGTTACCTGTATAATCATCGTTGTTACCTGTATAATCATCGATGTTACCTGTATAATTATCGTTGTTACCTGTATAAGAATGATTTTTGGTGGATCAAATCAGTCAACTAAATGGTTCACCTTTGTTTCACTTTCAATGTTGACATTCAATTCCTTTTAGTGGCTGAACACGACTAATACATGCGTAACCAATCTCTAGCTTATGGGTTAAATCTAAGGACACATGAATACGGATTCAATGAAGTCGAATTATTCACTTGCTTATTTTGACAAAATTGAACCAAATTGGCTGCTAAAAGTGAACTATTATTTCATTATTTCACTTTTATTAATGATTGAACCAATCAAAATCGTATTTTATTTTTTTTTATATTTCCTAGCTAATGCCCTTTTTAAGTCGGTAGAAAAATAATTTGTTGCAAATATTTCAAATTATGATCTTCTTTAATATATATTATTCACCTGCAAAGTTCGAAAAATTGTGAAAATTTATTGCTGGGAAGTTGACTAGAGACGGCTTAACAGGAAAAGAATAATAGTGGAAAAAGTTAGTTTACACTATTTTTGCATTTGTTCAAAATTTAATTTATAACAAATTATTTTTAGAATAGGAATAGTTTTTTAAAACCATTTTGACTCTAGTACCTTAAATTATTTTGATCATTGTTTTAGAATGAAGGATCAAACTTTACCATGGGACATATCAAGGAGTTCAAATTTGATCATCGTCTGGTTGGTAGAAAAGGACTAAGGTTAAAGGTTAGTTATTATTCATGACAAAAAAGATTATTTCAGGTTTCCCAATTGTGAACTTTCCATTTCTATGTAGCAGCTTTCAAGCAGCGCCTGAATATGGAGTATATGTTTCCCAGGTGCGTTTACTATCATGATTTCCTTGATAGAGTGTTCTGCTTACAAGGAAGCTATTAAACCACAGGTTTCAAGTGGTAAAGTTGAAGTCGCCCCTTGGAAAATTTTGTTGGTTGACCATGATTATGGAATATCTGTTTTACAGATGAAGACAGGGATGTTCCAATTGTCATTACCACAATACTGTTCACTTTTTTTTTAATTTGACATGACGGAATGAGACTTTCACCAAATTTGTACTAACATTTGCAACAAAATAGGGGCCAAATGTGGAGCAGGATCTGCTTACTATTCTGTAGCACCTGAGCTTACTCCCAGTTTTTATTTGTGTTGCTCAGTATTGTGTTTTTTTAAGTGTTATTTGTCATTTTGTTGTTTTTTCTAGTTTTGCCATGGCGGCCTCGGAGGCCAAGTGGTCTAAGTAGTTCTACTTCTGTAATCACTGTAGTCAACACACTGAGGTTGTGAGTTTGAACCCTGCCAGTGCGGGTGCACTCGACTCTAGTCTTAATTGACTAGGATTGTCAGTTTTCCTATCAAAGGTTGGTGGTTTTCTCCGGGCACTCTGGCTTCCTCCACCAATAAAAACTGGCTGCCACGAAATAGCCCAAAAATGGCGCTTAAAAGTGGCGTTAAAACACCAACAATCAATATTTTTGCCATGTCTTTGACAGGGATAAAAGGTTGTAAATTTAAACTTGTAGATTTTTGACAGATGATTACAGAGAGAGATAATTCTTTTACAACAATGATTCTAGTATGAACTGAATTTGAATATTTAAATTTTCAAGAGGAAAAATAATATCATATCACAATGGACGCAGTGATAGAATCTTTTCAGGTGATATATAGGCAAACTTTTATCTTTCATCTTCAATAATTGGCAATATAATGTATCCTTTCTGTGTGACATCATCTGGCATGGTCATCAGGGACATAAAGTGTTACCCTTGTCCTTCTGTCTTTCTGTCCCTCAGTCCTTTTTGTCTGTCCAATTTTCATTTCTGTACTCTTAACTTAAATTTGACTTATGCAAATTTTATGAAACTCATACACAATGCTAAAAACTAAAGCTCACAGACATTTTTCGAATTTGAGTACTTACCGTTCTAGAGTTATGCCCTTTTCTAACTTGGAAAATTGAGAGTTTTTCATTTCTACGTTCTAAAGTTTGTCTTATTCAAATTTTATGAAAATCATGTGACCTATAGTTGTTAATTACTGTGTCATTTGGTTTCTTGTGGAGAGTTTTCTCATTGGCAATCATTCCACATCTTCTTATTTTTATGCCATACTAAAAGCCACACCACACAGACAGAGGTCAAATTTTGGTTGTGAGTCATTTTCTGTTGTAGTCTCAGTTACCCTCCTTTTTAATTTGGAAAATTGCACGGTTGAGTGGAGGCATTTGTGTCCTCAGACACATTCTTTCATCTGTTGTGAGTGACGGTTATATTCAAGTTACTGTTTACATCACAGTAAAATTTGGGGTCCACATTTAAGTCATGTTAATTTCATTAAAAAACCAAATCCAACTGTTGGTAAGTAAAAAAAAAATACATTTAAGCATACATGTTACACCGAGATTAAAAAAAAATATTCATACATAGTAGGAAATAAAATATTTGTATTCCATTCGAAACAGAAAAAAAGCTCAATATTATCAGCAAGCTTCACTTTTCTCTCTGTTTCCAAAACTCATACAAATAAATTTTATATATCCTTAAATGGGTGAATATTGTTTATATATTTTTCTCTAATTCTTCGTCAATTTATCCCTTTCTGCACCCATTGTATAAAAAAAATTTAATCAACGTGTGGTTCGTTTGATCTCAGTTCTTCATTGGTTAAAATCCGATTATGACGTCGAATTTTCTTGCTTTCCTCTGAATTTCCTATTGTGACGGCATGAAAAAAAGGCGACCATGCCTGATGACGTCACATAGAAAGAACACATCTTTTTGCAGATCATTCGAAAAGAAGGAATAAATTTGCCTGCGTTTTGTTTGAAAATCATTAGAGAAACAGATTCCACCACCAAATCTCGTGTAATACGATATTTATCCACTCTCGACAGTTAAATTTTAAATATTTAAAACCCTCGGCGAGCCTCGCGTTTTAAATTTGAAAATTTAACTGTCTCGAGTGGATAAATATCGTATCACACTCGATGCAGTGGTAGAATCTATATGTATACTCATTTATCTGTATGATGACATTATGGTTTCTGAGAATAAACATTTACATTGGTATTGTAGGTTTACGAGAATGGAATTGTTGAAGGGGGTATGGATTTCTACTTTAATTTGTCTGGTGCTATGAAAGGTATAGAGGGTGGACATGATGCCAAACAGAAAATTCTACAGAGGGTAAGTTACATAATCAAGGGGGCGTGTAGTACATAGTGGTATCTATATCTCCATTAATCATCTGGTGCTATGAAAGGTATAGAGGGTGGACATGATGCCAAACAGAAAATTCTACAGAGGGTAAGTTACATAATCAGGGGGAGTGTAGTACATAGTGGTATCTATATCTCCATTAATCATCTGGTGCTATGAAAGGTATAGAGGGTGGACTTTATGCCAAACAGAAAATTCTACAGAGGGTAAGTTACATAATCAGGGGGAGTGTAGTACATAGTGGTATCTATATCTCCATTAATTATCTGGTGCTATGAAAGGTATAGAGGGTGGACTTGTTGCCAAACAGAAAATTCTACAGAGGGTAAGTTACATAATCAGGAGGGAGTGTAGTACAAAGTTGTATATTTATCTCCATTAAGTTATCTGGTGTTATGAAAGGTATAAAGGGTGGACTTGATGCCAAACAGAAAATTCTACAGAGGGTAAGTTACATAATCAGGGGGGAGTGTAGTACAAAGTGGTATATTTATATCCATTAATTTATCTGGTGCTATGAAAGGTGTAGAAGGTGGGCCTGATGTCTTACAGAAAATTCTACAGAGGGTAAGTTACATATTCAGGGGGGAGTGTAGTACAAAGTGGTATATTTATATCCATTAATTTATCTGGTGTTATGAAAGGTGTAGAAGGTGAGCCTGATGTCTTACAGAAAATTCTACAGAGGGTAAGTTACATAATCAGGGGGAGTGTAGAACAAAGTGGTATCTATATCTCCATTAATTATCTGGTGCTATGAAAGGTGTAGAAGGTGGGCCTGATGTCTTACAGAAAATTCTACAGAGGGTAAGTTAAATAATGATGGGAGGATTGTAGTACAAAGTGTATATATCACCATAAATTGTCTGGTGCTATATATATAAAGGCTGTTGAAGTTGAAAATATGCCAAGAAGAATATTTTAAAGATTATTAACCACTGTGTTTTAAAACATAATGTGTAGATAGTGTACTTAATACAGTTTTTCATCCCAGATCCTCGAAACTTCACAGGAAGATTTCATATATGCTTTAAGTTGTGTAGCTGTTTTTAAAAAAATGTTTGAGGATTTTTATCTCATTTTCCCAGACTTGGGAACTTAGTTATTTTCCAAATATTTAATTGTTTAGTCTAGATTATCCTTCATTGTTTAAGAACCCGGCAATAAAAGCCTTTGATCTAATATTTTCCTGAAAATCTTAGTGTTAAATTAATGTTGACAATGTCAGATCGGAAGATCACTTATTTTACAGTTTTAATTATTTTTCAGCTTTTAGATGATTTGTCATCCAACAGACTGCTAGCTAACCCTGTCAGACCAAAGATTCTTCCTGTAGCCTCAAATATATATGATCAGTATGGGAATGATATCAAAGATGTTTTTACCTTGGAATATGATCAGGAAATATGGGTGTCTTTTGGAGAACCATTTATAAATCCTTTCAGTAAGTTTTGTTTATTTTAAATGCATAGATTTCAAGTAAGATAAACCTCACCAGGAAAAAAAAACTTAGCTGCAAATTTAAAGTTTATGTCATGTAGAGACACTTATAAGATTAAACAAAAAGCAACCCCCAAAAACATATAAAATTTAACTTGAATCTTGGTACATATTAAATTTAACTTGAATCTTGGTACATATTAAATTAAACTTGCATCTTGGTACATATTAAAAATTTAACTTGCATCTTGGTACATATTAAATCTAACTTACATCTTGTTACATATTAAATCTAACTTACATCTTGGTACATATTAAATCTAACTTGCATCTTCGTAGATGTTGAATTTATCATACATTTTTGAACATATTAAACGTGATATTCTTTGTTACATATGATAATGTTTGTTTTTACAGCTTGGATGCTACAGATACAGTTTGATGAAGCTGAGTGTTATGATATGGGAGACAAAACTTTGTGTATCAGAAAACAATTAATGACAGATTCAATACATGAATATAGCGATTATAAGTAAGATTTAACTAAATGTTTCATCTACTAAAAAAAGGGGGGAGTGGGAGTATATAGGAATGACTTTCTTTATCAGTCTGTCCATCTGTCTGTCTATCTGACCAAATGCATTGAAAGAATAACTCCTTCCAAACAGCTTAAATAATATTGTAAAACTTGATGCAGATGTCGTATACTACCTGGCCATTTGCCTCAAGAAATATGGGGGAGATAAACAAATTACTGTAAACCAACTTATTTTTTGCAAGGGATTTATTTTTTGCAACTTTCACGAGTAAAAAAATAATGCGAATATAAATCGTCGCTAATATATAAAACTTGGATCTTTCCAACTACAAGTAAATTAGTAAAAAAGCGAAATTAAATCGCCGCAAAGTGGACTAGAAAGGGTACAACGCGAAATAAAGTATCCGTGAAAATAAGTTGGTTTACAGTAACCAAATAGTATTGAAGGTTGGGAGAGTTGGTATACTCATGTACATGCTGGATAGTTTTATAGTAATAAGCCTATTACTGTCCCAGATTAGGAGGGGGAGAGTTGGTATACTCATGTACATGCTGGATAGTTTTATAGTAATAAGCTTATTACTGTCCCAGGTTAGGAGGGGGAGAGTTGGTATACTCATGTACATGCTGGATAGTTTTATAGTAATAAGCTTACTACTGTCCCAGGTTAGGAGTAGGAGAGTTTGCACCAGCAAACATGTTTTACCCCGCCACACTCTGTATGTGTCTGTCAGAAGCATGTATTCCACTTGTTGTCGTATGTTGCTGTATATCATATTTGTTTTTCGTTTATTGTTTTGTACATAAATCAGGTTGTTAGTTTCCTCACTTGAATTGTTTTACATTTGTCATTTCGGGGCCTTTTACTATGTGGTATAGGTTTTGCTCATTGTTGAAGGCCGTAGGGTGACCTGCAGTTGTTAACTGCTATGTCATTTTGATTTCTTGTGGAGAGTTGTCTCATTGGCAGTCATACCACATCTACTTATTTATATATTTATTGCTAAATGGTGGATAAAAGTCGAGTGGCAATTATTACAGGCATATGCAGGTCAAAGGATTTTGTTTATGGTAATTTTAATTAAGTTCCTTTTCAAATTTTTATCAAGATTTCCATGAGTTCCATTGAAATCTGAAATAGGGACCACTTTTCAGCAATGGGATTTTAAAAATTATCCTGTGTCAAGTGGGATATAAAGGGTCCTTTCATTTACATAAGAAATAATATATACATTATTCAATTTATTAAATATATAAAACAGTATATAGAAGTATGAACCCATTAATTAACTTCTTGATAAAGTAAGTAAGTAAGTAAGTTTATTAAAGTATATAAGTATATAAGTATGAACCCTTTTGTTAACTCCTTGATAAAAAGTGGATAAGGAGATAAGTGTATGGTCAAATTTGTCACCTTAAGGTATGCCTCAGCAAGCAAATCACTTTTTGATTGGCCAGTTCTATTAAATGATCTTTTATGAGCATTGGAAAAAAATCATCAAGGTGGTCAATTATACCTCATTTTAATCAATTTGATTTGAGACAAAGTTTTTATGACAGATCTTATTTATTTTTAAATTTACAATTATGCATTTCCTTTTCGGCTTAAATTTTGGAAATGACCTTTTTATGAGCTATTGAAGTCTTCTATGAAATGAAAAGTGGGTGATATGGAGCAAAATATTTTATCCTGTACAAAAAAAACCAAGGAGTCGGATCATTTGACAAAAATTCATAAACCTGACCTGACTACATCCTTAACAGTATTCCTTTCAGTATACTAATTGAATTGAATGTTCACATAGTTTCTCTCTTTTGACAATTATTATTTTTTAGTTTACAAAATGAATGGGATATTCACATAGTTTCTCTCTAATGACAATTATTATTTTTCAGTTTAAAAATTGAATGGGATGTTCACATAGTTTCTCTCTTATGACAATTATTATTTTTCAGTTTACAAATTGAATGGGATATTCACATAGTTTCTCTCTAATGACAATTATTTACAATTTAATGGAATGTTCACATAGTTTCTCTCTTATGACAATTATTCTTTTTCAGTTTACAAAATGAATGGGATGTTCACATAGGCTTCCCTCCAACATATCCTGCCAAGTCTAATGAATATGAGAAAGCTAGAGCTGTTGATTTGGCAAGTTCATCAGAAGTGGATTCAAGATCTCATTACCTACAGTCTAAGGTTGGTCCAATTACTGTTCAATACATAATTTTTCCATTTCCAGTCTAATTCATAATTAGTCCATTTCCAGTTTTAATCCATAATTAGTCCATTTCCAGTTTTCATCTATAATTAGTTCATTTCCAGTTCCAATCCATAATTATAAAAATAAGAAGACGTTGTATAATCGCCAATGAGACAACTCTCATCCAGAGACCACATGACATAGAAGTTAACAACTATAGGTCACTGTACAGCCTTCAACAATGAGCAAAACCCATACCGCATAGTCAGCTATAAAAGGCCCCAACATGACAAATGTAAAACAATTCAAACTAACAGCCTGATTTATGTACAAAACAATGAATGAAAAACAAATATGATATATAGCAACAAACGACACTACTAAATTACAGGCCATTTCCAGTCCATTTCATAATTAGTCCATTTCTAGTCCAACCATTTTTCCAGTTCTCATTCTTAGAGTAGTCCATGTAAATAACTATCCAAAGTTATTTAATTTCCAAGTAGTTATATTAAATTATGATGCCCTCCTATCAAGTTTGATAGCATGTTAGAAAGCTAGAGCAGAAATTTGATAACTTTACAAATTGAATTTGATATACTTAGATTTTTCCTTCCTTCCTAATTTTTTTGTATAAAAGCTAGGGCTATACAGATCTGTGAAGTTCATCAAAAGTGGATTGAAATTTATTAAATTTTGTTTTTATTTTTTAACTATGTAATGACCTTCAACAATGAGAAAAACCCATACCATATAGTGGGCTATAAAAGGCCCAGATATGAAAAAATGTGAAACAATTCAAATGAGAAAACAAATAACCAAATTTATAACAAAACAATTTTCGAGAAACAAATATGGCAGACATGAACCAATGACAGCCACTGAACTACAGGCTCCTGACTTGGGACAGGCACATATCCAGTTAGATGAGTCAGCCATCTTGTTTTTTAGCCAAGCTCCAACAAATGACGTCCAGATTCTGGAAAGAACTATTAATTCATAAACAATATCATTACAAATATAGAAATAAGGAGATGTGGTATGATTGCTAATGAGACAACTATCCACCAAAGTTCAAATAAAGTGCACGTGGATCTAAGCAATTATAGGCAACCGTACGGCCTTCAACAATGAGAAAAATCCATACTGGATAGTCGGCTATGAAAGGCCCAGACATGAAAAATATGAAACAATTCAATTGAGAGAACTGAGGGCCTAATTTATAAAACAACAATTTACGAAAAACAAATATGACAGACTTGAAACAACAACAACCACTGAACTACAGGCTCCTGACTTGGGACAGGCATATAAAGAATGTGGCGATGTTAAACATGTTTGTGAGTGCTCAACCCTCCCCCTAACCTGGGACAGTGGTGTAACAACACAAGGTAAGAACCATTTATTTAAATCAGTTGCATTTGGCTTAACTCAAAAGATTGGTATGATGCACAAAAATATATAAGTTGTTTTAAAAAATGTATTGAGGTTTTTTGCCAATTATTTTTAGAAAAAGGAAGACTTTGCATTGTACCCAGAGCTTGTTGTTAATCATAAACTGAAAAAGGGACAAAAAGATTTCTGGCCTATGGAAACTCAGTCATGGATTATATCAAAGGTAACTTTATCAATACAAGAGGGTCTGGATTGAGTTTAAAGAATAGAGAATAATGGGCAAAACAAATGCAGAATAAAAACTGAATATATGGATCAATACTACAGGTCGAGGGTCTGGATTGAGTTTAAAGAATAGAATTTAATGGGCAAAACAAATGCAGAATAAAGACTGAATATATGGATCAATACTACAGGTCGAGGGTCTGGATTGAGTTTAAAGAATAGAATTTAATGGGAAAAACAAATGCAGAATAAAGGCCAACTTCTACAGTTTTCAACCTTATCATTGAAACTTCACAAAAAGATTACACAAACATTGAAGTTGTTTACCTGTATTATGAATTTATTTGAGGATTTTTTTTTATTTGGGAAGATATTAATTTTTCAGCAATTTTACATAAAACTGTAATAACTCCTCCTACACTTTTCCACCCAGATTCTTAGAATTTCGCAAAAAGTATTAAAGTTGTGCACATGGTGTCATGGAATTGTTCGAGGAATATTTTTTAATTTACAGACACTTTTGAAATTGACATATTTGGTGCCTTAAGGCATTTCCTGTGTCCGCTCTTTTTTAAATTTAATATATTTTTACAGAAAGGTCGCATAAATGTTAATTGCTGTCCACAACTTTGCATAGCTGCATCGACATAACAGTAGATGTACCATGGTCAAGGAAGAACTCTCCACTGAATATATTTGGTACCATAAGACATTTCCCTGTGTCCACACTTGTTAAGATTTGAAATATGTTTTTTAATCATAATCAATGTATTTTTTAACAGAAAGGAACCATATATGCTAAATGCTGTCCACAACTTTGCCTAACAGTGTCAGACACAAGAGTAGATGTACCATGGTCAGGAAAGAACTCTCCACTGAATGGATTTGTGGTCACGGTACAAAAGAAGATGTCTGCCAACACTTACCAACAGTGGAGGTTTAATCCAAATGGAACCTTAACTTGTATGGTAAATGATCATAGTAATATCTCCACTTGCTTTGAATTTTACAAATTTTTTTTAGTGTTTTTGCCTGTTATCTTGAAGAAATTGTTAGTCAACTGACAATTTTTACCAATATTTTGCATTTTTGCCTTTTATCCTGAAAACTATAAATTTTAAAGGTAGATAGACACTTTAAGGTAGATAGGGTGTCTTCCTCCATCTTGGATTTTGAAATACCAGAAAACAATCGGTCTAGATCTATTATAAAAGGTGCAAATTTTGAGAGTAGTCGGTAATTCATGTGTAAGAATTTTCATTTCAATATAGAAAATGACGTATTTTATCATATTTATGGTTGTATTTTACAAAAAAACAGAACACTTTTGTTTGATTCTATATTTTCCAACTTTGCCACATAAGGGGAGGCAACTCAAATGTAAGGGCAGATAATTCACATAAAGTTGCTTTTACAATAGAATGTGTTAGGAATTTACCTATTTTATTATGTAGCAAGAAAACGGGTCCAGTGACCCCATTTTTTCTTTTTCTTATCTGAAAGCATACTATTAGAGCTATCTTCTCATATTTTATCTCAAAATTCTATGGTGTAGTTTTCATTTTATGGCAGAAAATTGGGTTTTCCATGCATAATCTATACAAAATCTGTCAATTTTGCACAACCTGTAGCGTGAAAATAGGCCCGTGACCCATTCTTTTTATTATTTTTTTTAAAAAAGCATGATATAAACTACATTTTGGCAAATTATTAAAAAATTCTATGGATTATAATTTAGACACCCCATCTACCTTAAGCAAAACTAATCAGCAAGATAAGATCTACAAATAAGTCAAATCGTTAGTAGACTCATGATAGAAGTGATTGCCCTTAAATGACAATTTTTGTTTACCCTTTTGTATGTTTTGGGCAGAAACTAAAGAAGATAGAGGGAGATTTTAGAAAGAAAAGATGCAGGGGTTCAAATAAGTGGTGGTCTGAGGTCCGTGACCTTCCTTTTCTGGGTTCAGACCTTCCCACCGGTAGTTAAATACACCTGACGGACTTTCGTATTTTTGCAGGTTAAAAAGTTACAAAAGCATTTTGAACAAAAATATATGAAATCAAGAATGAAAATAATCTTGAAATATGCAACTTTACTGAAAGAAAACATATGTACTTGCTTACATTCTTTACAATTGAATTGATGTGTAGTCATGTGACTGGTCGTTGTACAAGATCGCAGGAAACTCGAGAATATTATATTTAAATCAGAACGAGTAAACGGTATGATCGAGTCTGTTTGGTTTTGGAGTGACCCCTTCCAAAAGAAAACCTGATGAAACAGGGGATAAAAAGGGGGTGATTTGTGAAATAGGTGATACGAGGGTGTGATTGATTATACGGCTTAACGCAGCCCGAAAGACAGGATCTGACTAAAGACCAAAAATATGACGGGGAAAAACAAGAACATAAATTTTTCCCACAATAAAAACTTGACTCCATAAAAAATCATGTTGAAAAATAATCACCCAGCATCTATATATGTATCTTGCCAAAAAAGTGGTAAAAGAAACTGACCTCAAGTTTGAAAACGAAGTTGAGCTATTATCTGACACAAAGTAAGGCAGGTGGTCTTAAGCAGCAATTGAAACCAAACCAATTATAAAGGTACATAGTGTTGGAAAAAGGGGAAGACTTTTTCTGACTGAATTTATTTAAGAAATTCAGAAAAAAATGAGGTTAATGTAGTAAGATATGATGGGTGTTTTGTTATGGTAAGTATTTTCTGTTTTTGTTGAGCCTGCGACGTTTGTCGCAAAAGCGAGACATAGCGATCCTACATTCCGTCGTCGGCGGCGTCTACAAATATTCACTCTGTGGTTAAAGTTTTTGAAATTTTAATAACTTTCTTAAACTATCCTGGATTTCTACCAAACTTGGACAGAAGCTTGTTTATGATCATAAGATAGTATCCAGAAGTAAATTTTATAAAAAAAAATCCTGTTTTTCTGATTTTACTTATAAATGGACTTAGTTTTTCTGCCAGTTAACATTACATTCACTCTGTGGTTAAAGTTTTAAAAATTTTAATAACTTTCTTAAACTACCCTGAATTTGTACCAAACTTTGCCAGAAGCTTGTTTATGATCAAAAGCTAGTATCTAGAGGGAAATTTTGTACAAATTTATTTCCTGTTTTTCTGTATATTACTTATAAATGGACTTAGTTTTTCTTCCAATTAACATTACATACAGTCTGCAGTTAAAGTTTTTAAAACATTTATTATATTCATAAACCATCTTGGATTTTTACCAAACTTGGACAGAAGCTTCTTACAATCAAAAGATAGTATCTAGAGGAAAATTTTTAATAATTTTTTCCCTATTCAATAAATTTATGTTTCAACTCTTTTATAAATCTATAGATTTGATTGCATACTGTATTCATTATTTACAAGCATAACTTTTTTCATACATTTCAAACGTTTTATTTCATTAACTGTAAATCTATTATGTGCATTCCCCTATCACACTGAAAACATAGACAACAGCAAAAGTAGGCGGGACACTGGGTTCCACGGAACCCTTACGAATTTTTATAAATTGAATTTTCAATAAAAATTGGACCCTCTTAGAATAATGGAGGCCCTTTAAGTATCTTTGGTCAAAGGTCCTGGACCTTCCATTGCTTAAAGTAAATTTGAACCCCTGAGATGATCAGCAATACAAGATCAACAAAAAAGAGATTTTTGTTATGAATTCTATTCTAGTCCACAATGTTTGAGAGGGTCCATTGTTTAAGATGCACAAAGACCAAGGTGAGTGACACAGGCTCTTAAGAGCCTCTAGTTATTTAATTACTAAAATACTGAGGTGAAGTGGTTCTCTGCAAGAGTGATATTATTTGTATATTGTAGGCCTATGAGAATCTATTGCTGACTTATTTACAACACAAGTTTGGTGATGAGGAAGGATATATGGCCCCTGATGGAGTTAAACCTGGACAAAGGATCTATCTTGTTCTGGCTGATCCATTGCAGAAAAAGGAAAAACTTTATCAGAGGTAGGAGATTCTAAAGGACTGTAGGTGATGTTATTGTTTGTAAACTTAAAGTAACACTAGAATTTTGACTGCTACCTATAAACATTGTAACCAGGGAAGGCGCTTTCAAAACTGGGTATCCACCTTTAGAATTTGACTTAGATTTCCACTGTACTTGACACCCACCTTTAGTTGAGATTTCCCAGAGTCCCATGTTTTTAGCTCACCGGGGCCCGAAGGGCCCCATGTGAGCTTATGCCATCACTTGGCGTCTGTTGTCGTCGTCTGTCGTCGTAAACTATTTCAAAAATCTTCTCCTCTGAAACTACTGGGCCAATTACCTTCAAACTTTAACTAAATGTTCCTTAGGGTATCTTGTTTATAAATTGTATCGGAAGTTTGTATCCATTGACAAACATGGCCGCCACGGCTAAAAATAGGACATAAGGGTCAAATGCAGTTTTTGGCTTATATCATAAAAACTAAATCTTTTAGAGCAAATCTGACATGGGGTTAAAATTGTTTAATTGGTCAAGATCTATCAGTCCTGAAATTTTCAGACGAATCATACAACCCATTGTTGGGTTGCTGCCACCGAATTGGTAGTTTTAACAAAATTTTGCAGTTTTTTGTTATTATTTTGAATATTATTATAGATATATATAAACTGTAAGCAGCAATAATGTTCAGCAAAGTAAGATCTACAAAAAAGTTAATATGACCATAATTGTCAATTGACCCCTTAAGGAGTTATTGTCCTTTAAAGACAATTTTACACAATTTGTTCATCAAGTTTGCTAACATTTAAAAATCTTCTCCTCTGAAATACAGGTGAGCGAATCAGGCTCTTGAGAGCCTCTTGTTTTTTAATGGAACAGCCCTTTAGTGATTGGTTGAAATCTTGATGTTGGTAGCATATGGCATATTTTGAAAATATTACTTAGAATTCATTAGATTTAGAAATAGTGAGTTGTAGATAAATACTTATAGTAAAAATTGTAGATTACAGAAAACCAAATATAGTTTGGCTTTTATCTCTTTCTATCCAAGTTCACAGAGATTTATTTTCATGAGTTACAAACTCACCTTATGTTTTCATGTATGAGAAGATATAAGTTTTTTATACCAGTATTTGTTTTATTTCTGCTCATGAAAATCACATAAATAAATTTCAATTTTTGGTAAGAATGATGAGGAAGTATTTTCCCTATTTGTTTGAATGTTTATTATAGTTTTGAAGTGAAGTTTGGTTTTCTGTAACAAGACTGGGTCTTATTATGCTGTTAAGTTGCTTTTGTTGGTTCATACCCTACATTCCATGTTTTTCTTATGTACCTTTTTTTTTTTACATTAATCTAGAACACACATAGCATTATAAAAGTACTCTACTGCATCAACTTAGGGAAAAAACATGTTTAACCCCGCCGCATTTTTGCGCCTGTTCCAAGTCAGAAGCCTCTGGCCTTTGTTAGTCTTGTATCATTTTTAATTTTAGTTTCCTGTGTATAATTTGGAGTTTAGTATGACATCCATTATCACTGAACTAGTATACATATTTGTTTAGGGGCCAGCTGAAGGACGCCTTCGGGTGCGGTAGTTTCTCGCTGCATTGAAGACCCATTGGTGGCCTTCGGCTGTTGTCTGCTCTATGGTCGGGTAGTTGTCTCTTTGACACATTCCCCATTTCCATTCTCAATTTTAAGGACTACAAAAAGAACCCATCAAAATAATCCTATGGACTATCCAGTTGTATTCATTGTATGTTTTATTTAAATTGGCCTTTCCAGAATCTAAAGGACTCTGGGTAATCTCATTGTTCTTACACCAAAATGAAAATAACGTTACGTCACTGGTTAAATTTCCATTGTTTAGAACGTTTTAAACAAATCACTACGGTTTGGTGTACACTTTTAAAAATATTACCCAGAATGCATTAGATTCTGTAATGTCGAATTGACCTGTATAAGTACACTACAACAGAGGATTCTCTTATTTTCCATCTGTCCTGGGTGAGAGTGCAGAAAGTAGACAAAACTTCTATAACATCATCTATGGCAATCTTTTGGAGTACACTTTGAGTTCTGAACAAACAAAACGGTGTAAAAAAAAATTTCTGCTATTCTTAGAAATAAGTTCAATGTCAAATTCTTGGTATATTAATATTTAAATACTTGTAGATTTGCCTTGAAACAAGAAAGATTTGAGAATCTTGGACAATGGAAATATTCTGATGCCACCAATCCAGAATTCAATAAATTGGCCTACTCATGGCCTTGTAGAAGAGATGGAACACTCAATGAGGTATTAAATGTAGTAATTAAATCTACTGATCAATCTATATCTTGTAAGCAATATTGAACATTCAGTTCAGTATAATAGGAACACAAGCCCATTCTATGTCTTGTAAACAATATTGAACATTCAGTCCAGTATAATAGGAACACAAGCCCATTCTTTGTCTTGTAAGCAATATTGAACATTCAGTCCAGTATAATAGGAACACAAGCCCATTCTATGTCTTGTAAGCAAAATTGAACATTCAGTTCAGTATAATAGGAACACAAGCCCATTCTATGTCTTGTTAGCAATATTGAACATTCAGTTCAGTATAATAGGAACACAAGCCCATTCTTTGTCTTGTAAGCAATATTGAACATTCAGTCCAGTATAATAGGAACACAAGCCAATTCTTTGCCTTGTAAACAATATTGAACATTCAGTCCAGCATAATAGGAACACAAGCCCATTCTTTGTCTTGTAAGCAATATTGAACATTCAGTCCAGTATAATAGGAACACAAGCCCATTCTATGTCTTGTAAGCAATATTGAACATTCAGTCCAGTATAATAGGAACACAAGCCCATTCTATGTCTTGTAAGCAATATTGAACATTCAGTCCAGTATAATAGGAAAACACGCCCATTCTTTGTCTTGTAAACAATATTGAACATTTAGTCCAGTTTGATAGGAACACAAGCACATTCTTTGTCTTGTAAGCAATATTGAACATTCAGTCCAGTATAATAGGAACACACGCCCATTCTTTGCCTTGTAAACAATATTGAACATTCAGTCCAGTATAATAGGAACACAAGCCCATTCTTTGTCTTGTAAACAATATTGAACATTCAGTCCAGTATAATAGGAACACATGCCCATTCTTTGTCTTGTAAACAATATTGAACATTCAGTCCAGTATAATAGGAACACAAGCCCATTCTTTGTCTTGTAAACAATATTGAACATTCAGTCCAGTATAATAGGAACACAAGCCCATGCTTTGTCTTGTAAACAATATTGAACATTCAGTCCAGTATAATAGGAACACAAGCCCATGCTTTGTCTTGTAAACAATATTGAACATTCAGTCCAGTATAATAGGAACACAAGCCCATTCTTTGCCTTGTAAACAATATTGAACATTCAGTGCATTATAATATTTGCCTTGTAAACAATATTGAACATTCAGTCCAGTATAATAGGAACACAAGCCCATGCTTTGTCTTGTAAACAATATTGAACATTCAGTCCAGTATAATAGGAACACAAGCCCATGCTTTGTCTTGTAAACAATATTGAACATTCAGTCCAGTATAATAGGAACACAAGCCAATTCTTTGTCTTGTAAACAATATTAAAACTAAGTTCAGTACAATAGGAACACAATCCCATGTGCTTGATACCAGGCTTATAAATTGGAACGCCAGACACACGTTTCAAGATTAAACACTTTGTTTTGTATAACAGGTAAACTAACATGATTATTACAATTATTTTCAGATGGTTGAATTCTGGGAAAGCCATACCATCTTGCACTCAAACAGCTTTTTAATGAAATATTTCAAAGATAAGATCTAGTGTAAGATAAATAAGGTTGAATATTTCTAGGATTATGATTGGTAGATGAAACCTTTCTTTTTTTTTTTAATTTTATTTTCTTTTATTATGATTAGCAAATGAATCCTTCATTTTTTATTTTTTTTATTTTCTAGGATTATGATTGGCCAATGGAAGCCTTCATTGTCCCTAATGCACCTCCAGTTCATAAACCAAGAAAAGAACAACAATCAGGTATTTGTTTTTATCACAATGTAATTTTTAATTGCAAGGTTTTTTAAATTCTTCATTTGTTTTTTGTATAAAAATTAGGAGATGTGATATGATTACCAATGAGAAAACTATCCACCAAAATTTTAATGAAGTGGATGTAGACAATTATAGGCAAACTGATTCTGTGTCATTTAAAGATTGCAGTGTTTTCTGCAGCTTTTGAAAAGGGCAGAGTAATTTTTTGTCTCGAGAGCAATGTAGCATCCTAGCATGTAGGACAACACTTTGATGACATCTTTAATTGAGATACTGTAAATTCAGAAATTACTTCATTCTTATATCATTACAATTTTTGAAGATTGAACAAAATTATTACGATATCAGGAAAAGCTTCATACAGATATATGTATTGCAATTATTGCATTGTTCACATTTATAATAAAAACCTCACAAAAATTTTGAATTTACAGTACATAGAAGAGGGTCGTAATGGGGGTACGTTTATGACAAATAACGGTAAAAATTCTTGCCAAATGATGTTAACGGTAATTTTTTGTGCATGACACTTTCTCTTAGACTGATTTTGATGAATCATGTTAAATTTTTTCCAAAAATAACGGTATCGATAATTATTTGAGACCTCTAACGAATCACAATAAGGATATTTTGACGAATCACGATAAAATTTTAACCAATTTGACGCTAACGGTAGCCGAAAATGACCATTTGACGCCTGACAGTAAAGGGCATTCCTACCCTCATAGAAATCACAGTTGTGTTCCTGTCAACCATTTACATAAATACATTTTAACCTTATTTAATTTTGGATGTAACACGTCTTCTGAATGGCTGAAAGTTGTTTGTCTATCAGCTCATAGACATCATTTAGTCATGGGATAGTGACGTCATCAATGTTTTTTCATAATTTACTCCTTTAAAATGGAATTAAGAATTAAATTATAAGGAATGACTGTAATCTTTTTTCTGTCTATTCGAAATAACCTCAAAAATGTTGTGCATACTTTTAAATAACTTGCTACGCAAGTTATTCAGTGTGCACCACATTTTTGATGTTATTTCTTCATAGACAGAAAAAATATGACAGTCATTCCTTAACTAGTCTAAGCTTTGCTTACAAGGATCTGGAAAGGCTCTCTGTTGTAAAAACCTTTCAGGATCCTCTGGTTTTATCATATTTACAGGCTGTAAAATTCCCAGAACAGAAAGTAAAACAGAGTTGTCAGATCCTTGTAAGCAAATCTTGAACACGGGAACTATATTTTAATCAGATTGCATGTAAAATAATCAAAACTTCCATTTTTTTCTCTCTCCAAAATATTAACGTACCCAGCTTTTTCAGCTATATCAATATTATCAATATTTAATCAGGAATGCTCCTTAGATAAATAACAATATTTTTATTAAATTATTATTACTTCTCAGGTTGGTACTATTTTTATTAATTTTTAATCATAGATTTAAGATTATATTTGTATAACCATGTGTGCCCATAGACTTATGATTATATTTGTTTAACCATGTGTGCCCATAGACTTATGATTATATTTTGCATTACCAGGAATGCCTCTTAGGTTAATGGCTATAAAGAATGGAGAGAGAGACTACAGGTTTATGTCACCTGTTGTCGGCCCAGATCTTACTAATGTAAGTACTTCACACCTATATTGTAAGTACTTCACACCTACATGTACATTGCCTAATAGATTTAAGAATTAAGAAAATATAGATTTTTTTTCAAATAGTATAAAAATAAGGAGATGTGATATGAATCCCAATGAGACAACTATCCACCAGAGTTCAAATAAAGTAGATATAAGCAATTATAGGCAACCGTACGACCTTCAACAATGAGAAAATCCCATACCGTATAGTCAGCTATAAAAGGCCCCAACAGGAAAAATGTGAAACAATTAAAATGAGAAAACTAAGAGCCTATTTTATATTAAATCAATTTATGAAAAACAATCAAGATTGACATGAACCAACAACAACCACTGAACTACAGGCACATAAAGAATGTGGCAGTGTTAAACATGTTTGTTAGTGCTCATAATTCCTTGTTACCTTTCCCATATTTAGACATAGAAAAAAATCATGTTTATACAAATCTTATGTGTTTTCCTCTAGGCTTTTTTGCCATTTTCCAACAAATTTAAAGTCAAAATGTGTCCTATAGAAACTGGTTATTTATTAAAATGTGTATCTCATTTTTTTACTGGGCCCCATTTCAAGAGTGGTCTAAGTAGTTCATGTCCAATGATCTCTAGCCTGTAAACACATTAAGAGAGAGTTACTGCTCTTGACAGTAAGTTCAACTCCAATCTTAATGGATGAAGATGGTCAGTCCTCCTGCCAAAGCTGGCTGGTTCTCTATGGGTATGCCAGCTTCCTCCACCAATAAAGGGAGAGAGGTAGGAGGGGGTCACATCCTGAATTCCCAAGAAAATATATGCTGAACCCCGAATTCCTTTGAAAATAATGTGTCCATTCCCATATCATGATATAATTAAATCCTGAATTTCATCAAATTAAACAGCTCAATCTTGAATTATAGAAAAAGGTCCTTCCACCCCTCAATAAAGACGGGCCATCATAATATGCTGTCAAGGCTGCTGAAAGTGGCTTCAAATAATAACAAATCAATAAAATCTTATTTTCATAAATTACCAGTACACTGTCAACATGAAAATAAAAAGTCAATTATAAGTATTGTTACAATGAAAAAATAAACAAGGGATATGGGTTATCCATTCATGACATAAAATCAGTACATGCACAGCAAAAACACACACAAAAAGCAAAGGAACAGCGCTTTTATTGCTGTTCTTATCTCTAAGTCACAGTGAGGCCTTAAACAGGGAGCAAAGAAACTCTCACTTTACAGCCAGTTTAAGACGGCACATAGCCCTTAAAGTTGCAAAAATAGTCGCTCTGTAAAATAAGATTCTCTCAGTATTTATTACTGCTTTTAACAGATGATGAAAGACTTGCATAAAGAAAAGGATAAGAGTAAAACTAAATCTAAGATTACACAGGAGAAGGATGTGCCAGTATCTAACTCGGATATTGTAGAGAATGATATACATATACACTGTGAAAACATGACAGTCAGACAACTGGAATTTACCATGGTATGTTATCTTATCTTACCTCCTATACACTTCTAGGAATATCATTGTTTAAAACAAACACATGGTGTGTATATTAAATATTTGGTCCATGGGCATGTTTTATTTTAATACACGGTTAGTAGTGGTGTTAAGTTCATTTAAAAACTCCCCCAAGGGTGACTGGGCAATAGAAATATGGTCATTTTTTGGTCTTCTTCTGACCGACAGTAAAACCACCACTTTGATCACAATATTTATTCCCCTGACATACAGTCGAATCTCGTTAATTCAGAAATTATTGTGAAGTTTTTATTAATGAAAATAATGTGACTGGGTGAAAATGACATTGATAAACAACTCCCATTCTGATATCTGATATGCTGATTTTCCTGAAATTGCAATATTTGATCTCGTATCTTTGTCCATTCTGCAAGAATCACAATAATAAATGCACCCAATAATTTCTGAATAATTTACAGAAATTACATTTTCAAACTTTAAATATGAGGTTTACCAAGCATTTTAAATTAAACTATAGAGAGTGGATAAATATATCTATCTATAGGGTAAAGCAGTAGAATCTGTTTTTGTAATGAAAGCATGGAAAAAACAGTGTCAATCTTCCGAATGGATATGGCGTCAATAAAAGGAGACAAATTTAATCAACCATGATTTATCGGAATTTAAAAAACTGGTCAGAACCAGTTGAAATACATACAGAATTAGACAAAAATTTCGTCTGACGTTTTCCTTTGAATTCACAAAATCATTTGGATTCATTTATTAGTTTTAAATTGGGACTATGCCTCTGCTGCAATCTTAAAATGCAATTATCTCCCTTAATCAACTTTTCAAGGGGAGACAACTTTTGGTTAAACAGGTTATCACTGCTTCTATGCAGTATTTAGAAAAGCAAAGAGCTGTTAATATTTTACAGTCATAAAAATTTTAAGCACTATGACAGTATTCAGACTCCAAAACCAACCAATCAGAATACTGGATTTGGTGTTTTGAGCACAACTCCCAGTACTTAGTAAAGTTTTATGATCGAGAGCCCAGGACTTGTGGTTATAAAATTTCTAGCATGATTATCGTACTCAGACTCAGAAATCAACCAATCAAGTTGTCCGATTTGGTGTTTCGAGCACAAATTTTGTACTCTGAGTACTGAGTAAAGTTTTATGACCAAGGTCACAGGTCTTAGAGTCAGACATGTGAAACATCTCATTCATATTTTTTACAGTTCCTTGACCACAGTACCAGTGTATTAAATCTGCCATTTGCTGCAAGACGTTTATTTGACAACAAAGGAAATGAACATTTTAGCTTAGTCAATTTAAAACGGGACGATTTAGTGTACATTTCATGTGGTGAATCATGGATTGATCCAAAATTGTCCAAAGAAGAACAACAAAAGAGATTCTTATTGTCACAGCTATCACAAGATGTGGCTAAAATCAGACAGTACTGTGCTCTTAGGAATCCTGAGAGTAAGTAAACAGATTCTTTTTGTCTCAGTTATCACAAGATGTGGCTAAAATCAGGCAGTACTGTGCTCTTAGGAATCCTGAGGGTAAGTAAACAGATTCTTTTTGTCTCAGTTATCACAAGATGTGGCTAAAATCAGACAGTACTGTGCTCTTAGGAATCCAGAGAGTAAGTAAACAGATTCTTTTTGTCTCAGTTATCACAAGATGTGGCTAAAATCAGACAGTACTGTGCTCTTAGGAATCCAGAGAGTAAGTAAACAGATTCTTTTTGTCTCAGTTATCACAAGATGTGGCTAAAATTAGACAGTACTGTGCTCTTAGGAATCCTGAGAGTAAGTCAAAATTCATCAAATATACCAGTAAAGCTTTTAATTGCTGAAAAGAGAGGGTATATTTAATATATTCTCTTTACAAAATGTTATTTTGTTTTTACAGTATAAATTAGGGATGTCAACTTAATGAAGAGTGACTAATCAAGTACTGATTTGTTTTGATACTCAGTACTACTGAGCAATACTCAAATATTCCAGTACTCATCGCTAGTATACATATATATGACAGCTTATGTAGATCTTGTCTTTTTCACCTGTACATTGTTGGCAACCCAATTCTGCCAATTCAAATTTGATTTAGTTTTGTTTTTGTCACCTCAAAGTCATAGTGAGGCCTTAACATGGGGCAAAAAACTCTCACCTCACTGCAAGTTCAAGATGGTCCCTTAAGGATGTTCGCTACTCTGTTTCAAAATAACAAGCTTTTTAAAAGACTGTTATAGATTGATAGTATATAAATAAAGAAACTAAAAAAGCTGAAAAATATGAAGGGTCCGTGTGCTTGTTTTCGAGATATAAACCATTGAAAATTTGGCGGGAAATAATTCTCTCTAGATTTTTCATACATTTAACATTGGCACCTTTTTTCTTTAAAAAACGATGAAAAAATAATAAGAATTTTATAAGACTTTCAATGATGACATTCAGGGCTCACACTACTTCAGAATCATAGGGAGAAGTGACTTCTCTTTTTGAAACTGAGAGGGAGAAGTGGTGAGATTTGAGAGAGAAGTGCTAGTTCGCTCACGGCGCTACAATGTTTGGTTTTACTATAATACAAAGGGCCATATGTATCCTATTTTTTTATATTGCTCAATTTGTACCTGGGAGTACAATAAAAGTAACAGTTCAAATTCAAAGTTGTTTAATTTTATCATATCTAGTTGCACAATCATATTAGTCCTCTTGTCAGAAAAAAAACCAGTTTAATATCTAGCAATAATAAAAAAGATTTTTTTTTATATCAAAAAGGAAAAGAAAGTTGTTATTTCAATTTAAAATATACTCTGTTATGTTTGTGAAATTCAGTGGTTAAAATTCTCATTTAAAAGATATATAAATTTAACACAGTTAAGCTTGGACATAGTATAGTAGTCCCAGAGTTGAAAAATTTTAATTAATAAATTGAAACAATTCATATACATGGAAATATTTACATTAATCAAGTAGATCTAACAAAAAGTATGTTAATGTGCGTGGAATGCGTAATTTTTCCTTTTGGGATCAATATTCCTCTGTCATCTGTGCCATTCATTCTTCAGTAGTCATCATTGTAAGAATCCGGATTTCGGCCATAGCTGGTCCGGTTCCGATCAGTAGTTTAGTACAAATATTTCAATGGCGGACGAAGAAGAAAAATTTACAAAAATAAACGATGTTTGACACGCTATTTGGAAAGGAATATGACGTTTTTAATGCAATACATGGATAACTAATATACTTCAGGCAAATATCATCACGTTCTAATGAAGTAACGAACTTATTTTGCCGAAAATTAGAATGATTTGATGTACGCTCTCTAACAAGTACCGGAAGTGATAAAAAATTGTTTTTATTAAATAACATGCAACCAACTTTAAAATCAATGCTTTAACCTCTTTTCTGAAGAAAATAAATCGTTTATGTCTTTGAATTTCTTTACTTTTTACTGAAAAATTGCTGTTTCATCGACTTGGTAAAAATTGAATATTGCCAATGACGAAAGCGACTGAAAGCGAGTATCGTAAACCACAGGGCGACTAGTTTTCGCTTTCGAGGGTCGACAAAGCGAAGTGACGGACGGGAAAGCGACATCTTCGCCCTATTCGCCTGGTAGCGTGAGCCCTGACATTTTAAACTATATGTAATCAAATTTTGGAAAGAAAAGTAGGGGTTAGTGGGCAAAATTTTTAATGGCACTTACATGGATAAAACCAGAGGATTCCGAATATCAGGCAAAAATTCAAAAACAAGAGGAGCGAACATCCTTAAGAATTCTCTGCTAGATGTCCCTCACAGCTTTGCATTGGAGAACATAGAAACAAATTATAAGTTATATCTGGCAAAGAAATCTTATAGATAAATTTATGGTATAGCAATGTAATATTTCCTTTAGAACATTAACAAAAGTTAGCATGCAATATTATATGATATTGCACTAGTGCAAATGTAGATTCAAATTATTGAAGTCATCAGTGACAAATATAGATTCAAATTATTGAAGTCATCAGTGACAAATATAGATTCAAATCATTGAAGTCATCAGTGACAAATATAGATTCAAATCATTGAAGTCATCAGTGACAAATATAGATTCAAATCATTGAAGTCATCAGTGACAAATATAGATTCAAATCATTGAAGTCATCAGTGACAAATATAGATTCAAATCATTGAAGTCATCAGTGACAAACATCTGGTGACAAATATAGATTTTCAAGCTTTGCTATACAATAGACGGGTTATTGCAGAAAATATTGGAGAATTTTATCTGTTGTAAAATATATATTGCACTGGCAAACTCATGTAATGTGAAAACCCTACTGAGGACAATATTCACCAATAGTCATGCAATAATCCCTTTATTATTTCTGATATTCTGAAATGTAATTTAAGTTTTAATAATTTTTTAACAGAATATGTATTGGAGATTGAGGGAAACTTAGTACCAACCACAAGGATCATAGTGAACCGACAGTGGAGCAAAGATGAAGAGGAAAAAGAAATATTGGTTACCACGGATACACAGAGTGTAAAATCTTCTAAACAGTTATCTAGTAAAGGATTTGAGGAAGAGGAGGAAGATCTGTAAGTAACTTAACTTCATGGATCACCTTAGTTCACCTTTACTGATCATCTTAGTTCACCCTTATGGATCACCTTAGTTCACCCTTATGAATCACCTTAGTTCACCCTTATGGATCACCTTAGTTCACCCTTATTGATCACCTTAGTTCACCCTTATGGATCATCTTAGTTCACCTTTACTGATCACCTTAGTTCACCCTTATGAATCACCTTAGTTCACCCTTATGAATCACCTTAGTTCACCCTTATGGATCACCTTAGTTCACCCTTATGGATCATTTTAGTTCACCCTTATGGATCACCTTAGTTCACCCTTATGGATCACCTTCGTTCACCCTTATGGATCATCTTAGTTCACCTTTACTGACCACCTTAGTTCACCCTTATGGACCATCTTGATTCACCTTATGGACCATCTTTGTTCATTCTTATGGACCATCTAAGTTAACCTTTATGGACCATCTAAGTTCACCCTTATGGACCATTTTTGTTTAGCCTTTTGGACCAGCATATTTCACCTTTATGGACCATCTTAATTCACTTTATGGACCATCTAAGTTTACCCTTATGGACCATATAAGTTCACCCATTTGGACTAGCTTATTTTACCTTTATGGACCATCTTATTTCACGTTTATGGACCATCTAAGTTTACCCTTATGGACCATTTTAGTTTACCCATATGGACCATCTAAGTTCACCCTTATGGACCATCTTAGATCATTTTTATCTAGTATATGTCATTGGTCTTGAGTGATAGAGAGGTGTCTCATTGGCCATCAAAGCACAATGAACTTATTACTTTAATAATATATAGGAGACAGATAAATATATATATATTGCTTGTTTCTGAATCTTATTTGTAATTCTATCTATTTAAATTGCATCAATGTATTTTCATTCAATCATATGAATATATTTTTTTGCATTAATTATAGCACTGCCCATGACAGAGCCCATCGCTTAGCAGATCAAAGATTAAATAATTTGAAATGGCCATGGGAAAGATTGGTGAACACTGGCAACGATGACGATGATGATGATCCTGAAGCTCACAAATATACAGATAAAGAGATGTATGAGAGATATAAGTAAGTTTTACCAAATATATAATTAACAACTCGTAAATATTTAATATCTACGATTTCTTCTTAATTCATGAACTACTAGCTATAGATTAACATATAATAGAATACCTTTAACAGTCTATTTATTAAAGTCAAATAGTCTACATACAATCTAACTAAAATGCAGATTCTGGGACAATGCTTCGCTCACAAGTACCTGACAATGCTATGTTCTACTTTCCATTTAAAAGAGACGCCTAATTGGTCTCATGGTAGTGTGTTGGCCTCAAGTGCGGGAAGTAGTGGGTTAGAACAGGGCTTCCAAAATTATTTTTAGCCAGCCGGACATTTTATATATTATCCCGATTTTAATCCCTTAAGACTAAATAAACAAAAGGCAATTATGGTAATCAGTTGCCGAGTTGGCCATCCCAATGATTGACATTAAAAAAAACGATATTAAACTTTCTTTGATTCAAATTCGAAGTTCTGACATAAACTGTTAAATTGGCAGTGCATCATTCGAAGTGTGCAACAACAAATTACATCAGCGTACTTATATCTGCATTAGATTCTTTATTTGTGTAAAATAACGTTGTCATATTTTATAATAGGCAATTTATTTTGACGTTGTCAAAAACTTTACTTTCGTTTTTAAATCTAATACCGGATGTTATCTTGACAATGGTAAAACATTGACCAGAGACGGATACGTAAATTCCGTGTATGTTTGCAAAGCATGAATGAGTGGAAGTAGCTCCTTCTACGTTATTTCTTCAAGAAAATATTTGAAATAAACGTGAGATAAAGGTATCAATGACAATTTAAGCATTTTTTGAAGAAATTAGGATGCATAATTAAATTTCACACCTGTGCACATGGGCACACATGTACTAGTTCAAACAGAGACATGTCTCTAGTTCAAATAAGGTGGTTATTTTTTCATCAAATCATATTTGTAAACGTATTTCTGATAATTTAAATCTTTTTGACTAATTAAATTAATTAGATGCAAACCGCTGAAATGTAAGAAAATAACTTTGAATAGACCGATTAATGTCCGGTTCAAAATAGTTTACCTGTCACCTGAACAGGTAAATTTCAGCTGTTCGACAACTAATTAGCCTTGATTAAAATGAGAAGGTGTTAAAGTAGGGGTTGTTTTGATAGTACTTAATGATCATGTCAATTTTATGACCGGAAATGTGTGGCTGTTAAAGGCAAAATGTTGGGTCAAAAAGGTCGTGAATTATGTTAAAATGACGGTCTCTTAAAGCCTTGAAAACTAAAAAGTAGATGAACGTTTCATGCTTTGCCCAGCCTGACTTTTACTGGACATTTTACAAATGTCTGGCATATATGACCGTTTTGGAAGCCTTGGGTTAGAACCCCTGCCGGGTCAAAGCAAAGTCTTTAAAATTGGTATTTGCTGCTTCTCCGCTAAGCCTGCGGCAGTATGGAGTAAAAACAAAAACTGGTTGGCGCGGAGTCAGAATAATGTGTCCGGGTAAGGTAACATGTCTTCCTCCGGACTGTTACCTTGTGAACTAGCACTTTAAAAATCCGACTCAGCGTGTCAGTCTAGTAAAAAGCAGGATTAATATTAATATTACATCAACATGTTCTCGTCCTGAATATACATATTAATTTGCCGCTGGACGTTAAGCAGCCATCCATCATCATCATCATCATCTGATTAAAAGACCTTTCAGGATCTAATGGTTTTGTTGTAATGATACACACTTTCAAAAATTTGAAGGCTGAAATTTCATTGGCTGATGTTATAATGACAAGAATAGAAAGTAGAACTGAGTGCTGTCAGATCCGTGTACACAGCTACTTTTGCATAGGTACTATTTCTGTACCAAAAATCTGTAGTACTGGAAATCTACTTTTAATATTCAGTACTATTTTGTTACTTTAAAATTATTGTAATATTTAGGTACCTGTATTTTACAGTACTTGATTTGTACTTGAAATTTAAGTACTACAGATTTTTGGTTGAACTGTTACATTTTCAGCATTTTGAAAGTTTGTCTATTTCAAATCTCTTAAAGTTATGATTTTCAAACATGGGAATATTGTGATCACTGTTGGTATTATTTCTGTACCAAAATTTTAGTACAAATCAAGTACTGTAAAATACAGGTACCTAAATATTACAATAATTCTAAAGTAAAGAAATAGTACTAAATATTAAAAGTAAATTTCCAGTACTACAGATTTTTAGTATAGAAAAAGTACCTATGCAAAAGTAGCAGTGTAGCCTTGACACAGGTTCTGCAATTTAATCAGATTGGCCTACATACATCCTGATTGCACAAATACTGTAAACAAATGCAATGTATGTTTGAAATTTTCTAAAGTGTTTGTTTTATTCATAACAATGAAGAACCAAGTTTGACATATGCGTATGATTTTTCTATTTTTCGAAAAATCACGTTAATCTATCACTTGCAATAAAATGTTGGGTTTACAGTAAATAGCAATGTGCAATTCCTGTGTTAAAATATTTTTGTTTTAAAATTTCAACTGGATCAAAATTATCAGAAAATTAGAAATTTGTTAGTAAATTATGGGTGTTACCTGTGTACACTTTGGCTACATTAAAAAAAAACATTGTCATTTGAAAAACTTTTAACTAGACTTATAAACTGATGATTTGTACATGAATTTTTTTAACAGCCTTTTTGGTAGCATGCTTTCATGTGATAGTTTATGGGTCAGTTCAAAGACTTTGAAATGGACATTTGCTGCTTTTCTGCTAATCATGTGACTTTAAGTGTAAGATCACATGTAGCTTTTAGTAGTAAGAGGAAATCCTTGTCAACATGGAGGCAGAAAAATGTGGCCTGATTGGGTCAAATGTCCCATGAACGGTGTTATCTTGCGAATGTAAAAAAAATATATTTTAGTTTTGAATTGGAATATGCAAATACATGCATGACATTAAGAAGCTGGCCATCATTTATAATACTTCTTTTTAAATAAAATTTGTGATGGATGAACTTGACCATCTGTCTGATTTGCTGTAAGTAATAAGCTTATTTCAATAGGACTGCAAAATTGCTCATAATGCTTGTATTTTTACGTACATTTTATTGGATGATAATTTTTTAACTTACAGATTTGGCGATCAGTCAGAGAGAATCTATTCATTTTGTAATCATAAGTAAGGATATATGTCCATATACACTACAAATCATGTAGATATTGTCACTTCCACCTTTCCATCGTAGGCAACTTACTTCTGCCCAATCAAATTTAACCTTACATTTCTGTAAAAAATATTGAATTGAAAAACTAAACTAAATTTTCCCATGTATAGTAAGTTCAATTTTTATGATGACAGAGAAGAAATAGCATTTATGAGCCTCCTCATGGGGTTTTTGATTATGTGATTACATGGCCGATTTTATAGTGATTATTTGATTACCAGACCAAATATTTCATGATTATTTGATTATCTGATTATCTTGTTTAAAAAACTGGTTAATGATTATGTGATTATATTGGCAAAAAATTTGTGATTATGTGATAACTTGGACACCCCCATGAGAGGCCTCATTTCTGTGTATAGGAAATGTACAGGGAAAGTTTTACCGTTTATGCCATTAACTCCCAGTTCAGGTGGAAAAGACACAATCCTCCAGAAGTGTTGTGTAATATTTAATGTAGTATTACACTGCAGTATAGGTGGATTTAGATTTTTCCACCTCCCCACCATAGGAAGCCAACTCAAATTTGACATAAATTTAAAAACTTTGAGTACTGTGGATACATTTATATTCACAATTACAAATTTTCTTGAATTGATAAAGACTTTCATTTTTGTGGATATTTGATTACATGGTTTTGCTTAAGTCTGCAAACATTCCTATAGAAAATTTGTAATTCTTTGAACATTCTAATCTGTTGTTCCCCATGACCCACAAAGTCAACAGAAATGTGTATCCATCGAATAATAATGAATGTTGACTGCTGTACAGTGTACCCCTATTTTTGACATTTTTACCTATTATGTCTGTTTGTTTTGTTCACACATTGTGTCAATATAATGGAATTTTATGCGACTGTCATACAAGTGAGAGGTTTAGCTAGCAATAAAACCAATTTTAATCCACCATTTTCTAAATACCTGTACCAAGTCAGGAATATGACAGTTGTTTTCCATTTGTTTGATGTGTATGAGCTTTTTGATTTTACCATTTGATTAGGGACTTTCTGTTTTGAATTTTCCTTGGTGTTCGTAATTTTTGTTATTTTACTTTTTTCTTCCAACAAATAATATCGAATTCACAGTACAATAGCTTATTTTTTCCAAAAGCAATGTATGATTAACTCCTATAATGAAAAAAAAAGTAATGACATGTTCACTCTTAAGGGTGGGCACGGGACATCTAAAGGTAGGGTGGAAATGATAAAATCCTCCAGAGGTGTAGTGTAATAATTTATGTCAGTATATCACTTAATCAACTAACAGGATGAAGCAAAGACAATTGTATTAACACCAGATGGATGAAAAATTGAAAAAAAATAATAGGCTAGTACACACTCATTCATCTGAAAAAGCTATTTGAAGGAATTTTGTTACCTTTTTCAAAATAGAGCCTTTGCACCAATTACAGAGTATGACAATATAATGCTTGTCTTATTGTGGGCTTGTCAGAAATATAATCAGTTGTGTCTTCATTGCAGAAATAAAAATATCAAAACAACTTCCACAAATTAAAGTCTTAAAAACTTATATTAGGTCTACCTGTAGTACTAGTACTTGCTGATTCCGCAATAGGCATCAATTGTGGAACGACAGGAGAGACAGATATCTGTGCTGGTGGTTAATTACAATTGTCTTTGCTGTTATAGTGTCTGTATAAGTTGAAATAACACCATTATTTATGATATCAGACGTTTTTGAGGTAACACCAGTATAATTGATTTTCTGACAATTATGTATATTGCTATGTTTTTTTGTGATTTAAATGCATGTTATACATTTATAACTGTGTTTCAGAATCTAAAGGAGTGTTTGACCCCAAAATGAAAATAAAGTCACGTCATTGGTTGAATTTCCATTGTTTAGAATGTTCTTAGCCAATCAAAACATTTTGGTGTACGCTTTTGAAAATAATACCCAGAATACATTAGATTCTGAAACAGCAAATTGTGTTTTGGTTTGAATATGGTTTCAGAAATTCTTAATATTTTTGTTTTTATAATTGTAAGTGTTACAAAAACTAATAAAAGATTTTGTGTTCGTAATTTGTAATACAGGAATTTAAGATTAAAAAATAACCGGATATCCTTGTAATGTTGGTCTAAGTTTACATAAAGTATGCTTGTTTATTAGGTGTTTTGATTTTGTAATAAAACTTCAGGAATATTTTTCTCATGCTTAGCATTTTGAACATTTTTTGATTTGTGAAGATTAAAGGGGGAAAAAAAAGAAGAAAAAACGATTAAGGAGATGACCTGAGTGTAGGTAGATAACTCAATCAGCAATACGTTCGTATTTGTCAGCTTTATCAATGCTTTTTCAAGCCCTCTTGTGAAACAGAATAAAATCAGTATAACTTAGAAGCATAGAATATATTCAGAAAAATGGTGACATAAATGTTTCTATGATTTTTCAGAGTTTTGACTTTTACCGTTAATCTACCTTCTTAAAAATGGTTTATAAAACATTTTCAACTTGTTTTCAAAGACTCAAATTAAATTTCATTATTATCATTTCATCTTCATGTGAACAAGCCATATTAAAATTCAATCCTCTCTGTTGAAATATTGAAATTATATAGTACTCACATGTATATTCTTTTTACAGGCCTGCATCAGTACCCAAAATATCTCGTGACACACTTCAGCGATTTAAATTTGAAGATGGTTACATTTCATGTGCAGCAAACCGTGAACTTGTATTGGGTCTCATGGAGCAAGAAGGACGTGTCAGACAGGTTTTGTTAGTGAAACGTAAACCAGATGACATTAACCAAAGATGGGTCATGAAAGAAAATGGGTAAGAACTATCTATCATACAAATTATTTACCAAAGATGGGTCATGAAAGAAAATGGGTAAGGACTATCTATCATACAAATTATTTACCAAAGATGGGTCATGAAAGAAAATGGGTAAGGACTATCTATCATAAAAATTATTTACCAAAGATGGGTCATGAAAGAAAATGGGTAAGGACTATCTATCATACAAATTATTTACCAAAGATTGATTGATTGATTGTTGGTGTTTTAACGCCACTTTTAAGCGCCACTTTTGGGCTATTTCGTGGCGGCCAGTTTTTATTGGTGGAGGAAGCCGGAGTGCCCGGAGAAAACCATCGACCTTCGATAGGAAAACTGACAATCCTAGTCAATTAAGATTGGAGTCGAGTGCACCCACACGAGCAGGGTTCGAACTCACAACCTCAGTGTTGACTGGCTAGTGATTACAGTAGTAGAACTACTTAGACCACTTGACCACCGAGGCCCCATTTACCAAAGATGGGTCATGAAACAAAAATGGATTTATATAAACATTACTGGTAACTCTGGTATAAATTTTCTACAAAGTTGGGTCATGAAAGAAAATGGCCACAGATTTGCACAGAAAGAAAACAGGTAAAAATCTGAACCATAGAGGGTGATGAAAAAAAATGAGTAAAAATCGCCCATAGATGTGTGATGAAATTAAATGGGTTACATCAGAACAAACAAATGATGGGCCATGAAAGAAATATTTAAAAAACTATCTCCCATACTAGTTATCATTAAATCATTAGATTATTTCTTTGTTACTGCATCAAAATGAAAGTTACTGTTGATTACAGCATTGATTTGATGTCAATGGTTTGAAGATTTTTGATATGTTGGAAAATATTTCCCATAATGCAATAGATTTTGAAATGCTGAATTAGTAGCCACCAACAAACATCTGCAATCACAGTGAAATATCTCTACTTTAAGTGATTTCTAAATGAATCAGTCTTGTTTGTACACCTTTGAAACCAGATAACTATGGTAACAGTATTAATGAATCAGTGGTATTGTTTATTGTTTTATTCAGTGAGATAAGATCAAAACACAGCAACCAGACTTGCTTGACTGTCTCCATGCCAAATAATGAGCCATTTTCTGAAGATGAAGAAGGTCGTCCTTTGACCTTCTCTGGATGCCCTGTGACCTTACAGGCTCGTAAAACCAATAAATATGGAAAGGCCCATCAGAGATGGCATTACGATGCAGAGACTGGGTTTATACATTCCTTTTATGCTGATCCTTATGATAAAGGTAAATATAGATAATAACATTTTCTGTGCATTGATATATATCTCAAATATCAGCCAGGATAAGAATAAAATGTTTTTTGGCAAGGGAGGGTGGCAAATTACTTCAAAATTTGTTGATAAGACAGTATTTTTGAATATCAATATTATAAATTTTGAATATTTTTGAATATATAAAATGGTATATTATATATACCAGATAATCTGTTTATCACACTAACTGAGGTAATTTTTTTACGCCCCATTTTATGCCCCCCATTTTATACTTTTGACCAACTGAAAGTAAGACTGATAACTCACAATGTGACATTGCCGTTAAGTTTTCACCTGTGAGATAATGTCACGAAGCCATGATAAGAGAATTACAGAGTGACTGAGCAGGATTATATAAACAGAAAAACAATGTATTTAAGGGTAACCCCTTCCTTCAGGGAAGCCTAAAATTTATGAAAAAAATGATAGAATGATCGAGTGAAACTAATTAATATTAGATATATCTGTATTTTGTAGAAATAACAGCTGCCAACAAAGCTGATGTGTGTACTTTCTCTATAGCTGGACAGGATAACATAGATCAACCAGTAAGTCCATAAAGTTTTTAGATATGGAAAATTTGGTAATCAATTCCCCATTTCAGAATCTGAATAAAATTTTCATATATGTTCTGAAAGTGGTGTTAAAACACAAAAAATCAATCAATCAATCACTAACATATCATCATTCCATTGTTAAGGTGGTACATAACACTATAGGGAGATAACTCTGTAAAAATCAGCTGAATGTTTTTATCACATTCTATTGTTAAGGATATATTAAGCTTCTCAATGATCAAAATTAGTGTTTGTCAAACTGCTATATATCCAATGAAATTTTTCCAATAAAGTGTGTGGTTCAATTTTTTTGAAATTTTTATATTTTTGTCAAAGGGTCAAAGTAAATATTTTGTCAAAATTTTATGACAATTAAACGAGCCAAATTAATTTTAATCAAGGTGTTTGGTACCACCTTAACATTGTTAAATAAATATTTGCAGGGTTATGTTGCTGAGATCCCGTTGTCGACAGGAGATAAACAGTGCAGAGAATATCTTGTTTGTACATCATGTGCTAGAGCCATGAGGGGCAGATACAAAATAAACAAACTTCAAAATAATGTCCAGTTCTCATGTTCAATGGGTGAAGGTAGGTTGGAAGTGTTAAAACATTTATCAAAACTATTGTTCAGTCTATTCATATAGGTTATTTCCTGCAAAATTATCAAACAGATATCTTAATATGCAAACCCTTGACAGCAATCTGTAAACAAAAGTATTAACATCAATATCGAACTCCAAAGTAAAATTCAATAAAAGATAAGTCCATAAAAACTGACAAAATCAACCATTAGACTTTATTAGCTGATTTTGCAATTATCCTAGATTCTTTGAAAAAGAAGGCCGTACGGTTGCCAATAATTGCTTACATCCACTTTATTTGAACTTTGGTGGATAGTTGTCTCATTGGCAATCATACCTCATCTCCTTATATTTATAATGCACTGAATGGAAAACAACCGTCATATTCCTGACTTGGTACATGTACAAGCATTTTGCAAAGAAAATTGTGGATTAAACCTAGTTTTATAGCTAGCTGAACTTTAAAGTCTAGATGTCAACATAAAGTCTTCAACGACAGACAGTTGTCTATATATATATTGTCAAACTCTTAGTTGCCACAATTTAAAAAATGTTGCTATGAAAATGTTGTATTGATTTATAAAGAGTTATCTCCCTTTCCTTTTATAAACCTGTTATACCTTCAGAAATACATATGATTTTTACATATGACTTGTATAAATAAAACAACTTTCTGATCCAAAGATCTGATATTCTAAATTCTGTATTTATAACAGCTAAGAAACTAAAACTACAGCAAATAGGAAGTTTTAAAGTCTTGAATGGAAAAGTTGATCTGTCCACACATGAGGCTTTACTATCTCTACAAGACTGGGAACATAAGCTCCGTACTCTACGTGACGAAACCAATGTACGCACAATAGCCAAGGAAATATCTGCAGCCAAATCGGTCAAAACTGTTAAAATTCTTGCCTACAAAAATGGTGAGGGACGATTACGACCAGGAGAACTTATTTGTGGATCCACCATAGAGGGCGTATGTATAGATGTTTTGTTCAGCCATTTCTGTTTTTTAATGAAGAAGGGGAATATATAGATTTCGCAATTATCCTAGATTCTTTGAAAAAGAAACCAATAATCTTGCTTAAAATGGATTGGATAATTTTGTTAATACATCATGACTGATGGCTTAAGGGAATGCTATTGAACCAGTGTTTTTTCCCAAATTTTAAAAGTTTAATACTTGAGGTATAATTTTTCCCCTAGATTCTTTGCAAATTTTCTTACCATTTGAAATATCATGCGAAAAAGTGCTGAAATTTCATACAGTTTTAGATTTTGTTTCTACTTTTATTATCATTAATTAATATCTAGTTAATAACTTTTAAATAATTTCAGATTTTGGACCAGTGTACATACAGACTAGGACTTAATAGTGCTGCACGTAGGATATATACAGAGGACGGTACAATGGTCATGGAGATCGAGGACCTGATAGACTGGGCCGTAGATAATTATAAAACATTGATGGCAGAATACCTACAAGGAAAAGATGCCAAAGGTAATCATCCAACCCTAAGGTTTGATAAACTGACTGAAAGGTAGTCATTGTGTCCTGAGGTTTAAATAGACTGGTCTACAGGTAATCACTCAATCCTAAGGTTTAAATAAACTGACTCAAAGGTAGTCATCGAGTCCTGAGGTTTTAATAGGCGGACCTAAAGGTAATTACCGACCCCTAAGGTTTTAATAGATGGACCTAAAGGTAATCACCAACCCCTAAGGTTTTAATAGACGGACCTCAAGGTAATCACCGACCCCTAAGGTTTTAATAAACGGATCTAAAGGTAATCACTAACCTTAAGAAGACTGACTGAAATGTAAGAGTATGGTGTTAAATTTTGTGGTACATGATTTCATGGGGATTAATTTTTGTGGTTTTTAGTATGTGAAAGTAATATTCTTTGAATATTAAGATTTCTTTGGGGTTTGAATTGGTGGATAAGGATATTATCTATCCACAAAATAAACAAATTAAAACGAACATTTCTGCTGTAACAGTAAATACTCCTGTAAAATGTTAACATAGTTAAAAGTGATTCAATTTGGAGGGACCTGTAAATTATCTTTAAGGATGTTTGCTACACTGTTTCAAAATAACAAGCTTTTTAAAAGACTATTATAAATTGATAGTATATAAATAAAGGAACTGAAAAAGCAGAAAAAAATGTAGGGTCCGTGTGCTTGTTTTAGAGATATAATCCATTGAAAATTTGGCGGGAAATAATTTTCTCTAGACTTTTCTTACATTTAACATTGGCACCCTTTTTCTTTCAAAAATTATGAAAAAATAACAAGGATTATATAGGATTTTCAAATATGGCTTTTTAAACTATTAGTAATAAAATTATAAAAAGAAAAGTAGGGGTTAGCGGGGAAAATATTTTAATGACACTACATGGATAAAACTTGAGGATTCCGAATATCTGGCAAAAATTCAAAAACAAGAGGAGCGAACATCCTTAATTAGAATAACAATTGGCTCAGATAACCAAAACCAAAAACATAGATTTTGCATATATTATTTAAAGGTATTGGATCATACATGTATTTTAGAAAGTTATGACAGTACTTTAAGGTCTTTGTTGAATTTACACAATAAAAAAAATTATGCTGTCTCAATGACAAATACCCAACATCTCTTTTATTCACATGAATCTTCCATCATAGGAGATACAACTGTATCATAAAAACAAATTATTGTTGCTTAATAATTAAGTTGTATAAATTTGGTAACACTTTGCTAATAATTTTTTGAAATTGTAACTAAATATTGCAGTTGACGACCTTGAACTTGAGCATGAACCAGAGAAACAGGAACAGGAAACAGAAAAATTGGATGAACAGGGTAAAAATTTACGAGAACGGGGTGAAGGTGAAGGTCAGGACAGTCAAGAGGAAGTACAACAGGATAAAGATTCTGCAGGTCAGTTTTTAGCCTTGGATCCTGGCTCTACTCAACAGAAGAGCCAGGCGGAATACAACATAAATTTTCCTTTATTTGATGTCAAAAAGATGCATTGTGGGATAGCATCATTTCTTGACACATGGTTGGAAATATTTATATACCCACAAATTTGTTGAAGATTATTTTAAAAGACATGTAAATTACAATTTTCATTAATAATCCAAAGAGTATTAATTTAAATCGTGAGTCAACAGTAAATTTACAATTCAATCTATTTATTCATTGTTTATATAATTTAAATATGAAATTCAGTCCTATTTTTATAACTTTAAAGTCAGTTACACTCCATCAATATGTAAACAAAAGGACTTCTCAGCTTGGTAAGAAATAGAAAAAAAGATGTACTCCAAAGGGAGATAACTGAATCAATGATTGTCTTTCTTTATTACAGAGGTGGTCCAACTAAAGGCTTATAAGTTAGCTAAAGAAAGGGAGATAACTGAATCAATGTTTGTCTTTCTTTATTACAGAGGTGGACCAACAAGAGGCTAATAAGTTAGCTAAAGAAAAAGAGATAACTGAGTCAGTGTTTGTCTTTCTTTATTACAGAGGTGGACCAACAAGAGGCTAATAAGTTAGCTAAAGAAAGGGAGATAACTGAATCAATGTTTGTCTTTCTTTATTACAGAGGTGGACCAACAAGAGGCTAATAAGTTAGCTAAAGAAAGGGAGATGGTTCTGAGTCAGATACAGATTCCAGGAACAGACACCATCCTTAGATATCCTATAGAAGTATGGATCTCCAGTGGAAAGGACTTTGTTGCTCCGGAAATAGTGGAATCCAAAATTGAAAACAGGAGAAAGAAGCGAGTCTTCAGATCAGCTGTATCACTGGAGCTTGACATTGAAAAACATATTCTAAGACAAATGAAAGGTAAATTGCTACTTCTTCTTTCTCAGGCACTACAAAATAGATATAAGCTTAAAATTTCTGTTTTAAATATAGAAGTTATTGGTGTGGGAATACAGTTACCCATTTAATTAAGATTTTGAATTATAATGTTCACTTGAATTGTGAATTTTTTTTCCTGTAAAATTCAATGATGGAAAAAAAATTAACAAAAGATCCGGGAAATATGATTAAAGGCAAATGTGGGGTAAACAAGAATGGGTCAGCAAACGGAAAAATACATCTTGATATGAATAAAATGTCATGTAGATATACCCAAATGAGACAGCAACCCAATGACAAAAACAACCAAACTGAAAGCCTAGTGAGGTCAGTTTACTTGGGGCTGTTTAAGTTACAATTGACTTCAGTATGATTGAGCATGTAATATCATAAAGCCTTTGGTTAAGCTGTTGAATTAAGGTTTGACAAGAGAGATATGAATTTTACGAAATTGCCAACAGGCATGCAATGGGCTTTTAACTTTGGAACATTGGAACAATATTACACTTTATCCTGATTTAGAGAAATTTCTTGCAATTTGATTGGCTGATATTGTCCTAATAAATTTCAGTGCAATTTTTTATTAAGTTAATTCGAATACCATTGACTTAAATAAAAAAAAAGTCCTAATATTTTTCATTTTTTACAGTTTTAGATTAAATATCTAAATATATTTGGTTGATATTGTCCTAATAAGTAACGTTTTAAATACTATTTTAATACTATTTAAAACAAAAACAATAAATAATCAAAATTAGGATAAATTCATTACACAGTGTGCAATTGTCCTAATACGAAATTTATCGGGTCAATAAAATTCATATCAGGTTTGGCTTCACCTCGCCCGATATGAATTTTATTGATCTGATAAATTTTGGATTTGGACAATTGCACACTGTGTAACTAATAGTATTTTGGAGGGGGATAATTGTCTTTATAATTAAATAATATCAAAATGTTTCCTGTCATAATGACATTTAGACTGTTAGATTTTTTTTGTTAAGGACCAAGTTGGCTTCTAATGTTTTAATTTCCATTCCTGTGTTACTACCATATGTCACTTATTTTCTGGTAAGAGAATTAATTTAATATCCTATTGTAAAAATATATTATATTATTTACAGCAAGAAGATACGAAGAAATGGATCCTGGAGAATTGAAGCCTACCAGAAGTTCTAGACAGCCTGTTGTTATAGAGGGGAATTGGCAGGAACCGTCTGTAGAGGAGCAACTCAAACATGATACTGTTCATAAGTTAGAGGTAGACATCCATTAACATTGTATGGTCATACTGTTCACAAGTTAGAGGTAGACATCCATTAACATTGTACGGTCATACTGTTCACAAGTTAGAGGTAGACATCCATTAACATTGTATGGTCATACTGTTCACAAGTTAGAGGTAGACATCCATTAACATTGTATGGTCGTACTGTTCATTAGTTAGAGGTAGACATCCATTAACATTGTATGTTATACAACTCACACACTAAGGATTAGTATGAAATAAGAAGATGTTGAATGGATTGCCAAAGACACAACTATCCACAAAGGACCAAATGATGTAGATGTTGGCAATTATAGGTTACTGTGCTGCCTTCAACAATGATAAATAAAATGCTCCGCTGGGGCGCAGCTTGATACGACCGCAGAGGTCGAACCCTGAATAGTTGGGGCAAGTATGGACACAACATTCAAGCTTGATACAGCACTGAATTTGGATTGTAATTAAATATTTGACACAGCATAGGTTTCTGACACAGAATGAATGTGGTCTAAGAACTTAAAAAATTTTAATTTACCTATTCAAACCATATCATTATTATTTGCTTTTATATATAAATCAGAAATAACCAATTTAAAAAGGAAAAAAAAATCCCCCCTCAAATTTTTTGAACCCCCTTATGATTCATCACCCCCAAACTCAATCCCAGCCTTCCCTTTGTGGTATGGTACCTTGCAGTACAATTTCAAAAAGATCCATACACTTGAACACAAGTTATTGTCTGGAAACTTAGAAAAATGCTTGTTTTTTGGCCCCTTTTTGGCCCCAAATTCCTAAACGTTAAGGGCAATTACCCCCAAACTCAAACCCAGCTTTTCCTTTGTGATATGGAACCTTGCAGTACAATTTCATAAAGATCCATACACTTACACACAAGTTATTGTCCTGAAACTAGAAAAATGCTTGTTTTTTTGTCCCTTTATGGCCCCTAATTCCTAAAATTTTGAGGGAATTACCCCCAAACTCAATTCCAGCCTTCCCTTTGTGATATGGTACCTTGCAGTACAATTTCAGAGAGATCCATACACTTGAACACAAGTTGTCGTCTTGAAACTAGAAAAATGCTTATTTTTGGCCCCTTTTTTGGCCCTTTATTCCTAAACATTTTTGGCAATTACACTCAAACTCAATTCCAGCTTTCCCTTTGTGATATGGAACCTTGTAGTACAATTTCATAAAGATCCATACACTTACACACAAGTTATTGTCATGAAACTAGAAAAATGCTTGTTTTTGCCCCTTTTTGGCCCCTAATTCTTAAATTTTGAGGCAATTAACCCAAAATCAATCCTAGCATTCCCTTTGTGATATGGAACCTTGTGGTACAATGTCAGAGAGATTCATACACTTACACACAAGTTATTGTCATGAAACTAGAAAAATGCTTGTTTTTTTGCCCCTTTTTGGCCCCTAATTCCTAAAATTTTGAGTCCATTACCCACAAAATCAATCCCAGCATTCCCTTTGTGATATGGAACCTTGTGGTACAATGTCAGAGAGATCCATACACTAACACACGTTATGTCTGGAAGTTACAAAAATGCCTAATTTTGGCCCCTAATTCCTTAACTGTTGGTACCATAACCCCCAAAATCAATCCCCACCTTCCTTTTGTGGTATTGAACCTTATGGTGAAATTTCATAGAGATCTATTCACTTAAACTAAAGTTAGAGTGCGAAAACCAATGTGTCATCGGACGAAGCCGGACTACGACGCAGGACGATGACGCGGTCGTATAAAAACCATACTGCATTGCAAGCTATTACAGACCAGCGATATTGTTTGCCTCAAATTACATCCGAAATTCGGCTTTTTTCCCTAGAGAAAATTCCCAATTACCAAAAAAAATGGCTTAAAATTCCTCCCAATAAGTTTTACATTTTCCCAAAAGTGATGGCAATGGTAGTAATGAATGTAAATTTCGTATTCATGTTATTGTTTTGATATTATGAAAGCACTTTTGAGATCCAGGTTTCTGATCAGAATCATCACAGTGTTTGATGTGGTTTTCAAGCATTAGGTATCATCATTGTTTCCGTCTCTTTCCCCTCCCCAAAAAGTACCTTTCAGGTTGAAAATGTCTGACAATCAAAATGTACGTGATAAAACTGTGCAAAAAGGACAGTCAAGTTTAGCAAAAATCGGAGATGGGTTTAAAAAAAAAATAAACCAATTTCCCAATTTCAATAAAAATTATGCATTTTTCCCAAAAAAAAACGGTAGAGGTAGTTTTGAAAAAAGACAACAATATCACTGCAGACATTGACATGACAAAATGTTAAATAATTCAAAAGATAAAACCTGATTAAAGAACAAAACAATTAAACAAATATAATATACATAAACAAAGACAACCACTGAATTACAGGCTGCTGACTTGGGACAAACACACACAGAATGCAGAAGAGTAAAACACATCCGACCTTCATGTTCCTCAATTCATACTTTGAGGATTAGAAATGTTTAACGTCCTTACCTTGTACAGAACTTTAGTCCTTGTGGATTTTGGCACACAAACTTGTTCCCAGTGAGAATGGGTAAACCTGCTGTAGACAGTCCCCTTGTTAACCTTATGGACTACACATGCCATTTCTATAGAAAGTCCTCTGTGTTAACCTTATGGAGTATACGTGCCATTTCTATAGAAAGTCCCCTGTGTTAACCTTGTGGAGTACACATGCCATTTCTATAGAAAGTCCCCTGTGTCAACCTTATGGAGTACACATGCCATTTCTATAGAAAGTCCCCTGTGTTAACCTTATGGAGTACACATGCCATTTCTATAGAAAGTCCCCTGTGTTAACCTTATGGAGTACACATGCCATTTCTATAGAAAGTCCCCTGTGTCAACCTTATGGAGTACACATGCCATTTCTATAGAAAGTCCCCTGTGTCAACCTTATGGAGTACACATGCCATTTCTATAAAAAGTCCCCTGTGTTAACCTTATGGAGTACACATGCCATTTCTATAGAAAGTCCCCTGTGTCAACCTTATAAAATACACATGCCTTTTCTATAAAAAAAATCCCCTGTGTCAACCTAATGGAGTACACATGCCATTTATTTCTTTCATTATAGACTTTGTCATGACTTTATGTAGGGATTTGGAGTATCATTTTGTGAGCTTTGCTTGCAGTTCATCTAGTTTACTGCTGAATTGTTCATTTTTTTATACAAATGTTTTCCTAATATAACAAAATGTTGATGTTTCAATTTCCTGTTTTCTAGTTCCCATCATGCAACTGAACAATTCTATTTGGTTGAGAACTTATAAATTTATTGTTGCCTCTTCCCATGAAATCAACAAACCTTAATGAATCAACAGTGATTATTAATATTATCAAACAGCTTATCTGACCTTATAAATGCAACTATATAGTCAATCAAATGGAGTAATCTTCATCTCACTGTCAATTTTAATCCTGCTCCAATGTTTTCTCTATATTTTCTATTTTGGTTGTTTTAGGTGACCTCTCTAAAGTCATCTTGTGGTCAGCTATTAATCAGAGATCTAAAGTCTTAGATGTAAGCAACCATAGGCAACGGCATGCACCAAACAAAAACCAAACTAACATTGAACAGCAAGCTAGCTTCCTGAATATAATGAAGTGTTTGCCACTCCATATTAAACTTTTGCTCAACAGTACTAAGTTAAAATCATAAGAACCACATTCAAACATTAGACATGAAAGGGGAGGAATTCTGTAGAAGTAAATAATATTAACAGTTATTTTAACTTTGTTTCTTTTCCAGACCCATCTTGCTGAGGTGAAAAAGAATCAAAAAGAACCAACGAAGACTATAGGTACTTCAGGACGTTTATATAAACAGCCTGACACAGTATGTAGATTTAAACTTATTAGCAGACTTAAATATTGGGTTAAGAATGTCAAGACTTTTAAAAAATATAGTGAAATCGTCAAAAAATTCATTTAAAAATTCATTGTGCTGCCTATTTTTTTGTTTGTTACAGAAATATTGTACTTGTCAGTAGATAAACGTTATATGTAATAGAGGTATATTGATTTTTGATTGGCTGCACGACAAATCACCTGTTTCTGTTATTTGTTTCCATTTTATGCAAAAGCTACCAAAGAAAGGAATTACTTGTCACTTGCTTTTGTTTCCAATAAATTTTCAAAATACAGCATTAAAGAGTGAAAAAAATAAAATTCCTGAATTTACATGAATAAAAGATATGGAGTAGAGGAATAACTGAAAAGTAAAAAATTTAAACAATTCTGATTATTTTAGAAAAGAGTTATGGTCTATCCAAATGGAGAGAGTTTAGAAAGAGCTGTGTACGTATGGGGCAATACTTTGGAAGAAATCCTAGATAACTCCACAGCTAAACTTGGAATGTGGCAGAAGGCTAGATTGATATATACAATGGAAGGCAAGCTGGTGAGTATTAGCTGATCTGAAATTCAAGATGACCACAATTGTGATATGCAAAATTCTTATCTTTATGTTCAAGATATTAAATATTTTTTTTTATTTTTTTATTTTGAAAGATAAAGTGATATCTTTATTTTTTTTATTTTTTTTATTTTGAAAGGTAAAGTGATATCTTTATTTTTTTTTTGAAAGATAAAGTGATATCTTTATTTTTATTTTTTTTTTATTTTGAAAGATAAAGTGATATCTTTATTTTTTTTTCCAATGTGTTAAATTTAGTTTTATGTTTTATGTAAATTTTATTTGCTAGTCCTTAAATAGACTTCTTGAGTCTTGATTTGATTTTCACAGTTTACTGGTTTATGATTGAGATTACTGACCAGTTATTGGTCCATTACAGGTAACAAAGTTCCAGGATATAAACAAAGATGAACTGTTATGTGTTTCTGGGGGTAAACCATTCACTAAACCACAGGGATACAGGGATGTGATAGAGATCAAAGCTAATTGGACCAGAGCAAGGAAAGAATACGGACCATCTGCTACAGATTTTACTGTAGACGCTCCTGTTAATCCTAAAGTCAATGTAAGCCAGATTTAAATGTTTACTTTCAAGACAGTTGAATGCTATAAATTCAGAAGTTTTTGCGTACATTTATTATTGCTGTTTTTGAATAATTCTTATATGATTTGCATATTAGAGAATACGTTGATATGATTGGCTGAGAGGACTTCCGGTAGTTGTTGTTGACGTTGTTTATTTTTCAATAGACGACGTTGACCGAACTTCTTTTCGTAAACAAGATGGCGGCGATAATGACACAATTGGGATCAACGTTATCAAAATTTATTTTCAGTTTGCGTTAATAGGTCTTAATAGTTAAATTAAATAATAAACACAAAACATTCATTTGAATGATAATAAGAGTTTTTGTAGTTTATTTTTTATCAGATTGCAAATTTCATGGAGTACATATTTTTGTGTTAATCAACAAATATATTCATGCGCCAGGCCTATTCAATGACACAAATATACAATTTACGTGTGATAGAGGTTACGAGTGTGGAAAAATAAATTCCTTATCTCCAATTTTAAAGAATTATAAGGATTAAAAGCCTTTTTAAAGGAATTTATTGGTGTATAAACTTTACCAAGTCACCCACAAACATATCATAAAAGTCCTTCGGACTTTTATTTGTTTGTGAGTGAATTTGATGAGTTTATACACCAATAAATTCCTTAAAAATGCGTTTAATCCTATAATAATGCTGCATACAAACAAAATTTAAAATGCTGTCACAATTTTCACCAAAATTTATAAAGACATCATAAAAATTTCTGAATTTACAAAAATTTTACACTTTTATGAATGATCAATAACTAGATAACAGCTTCTCACACTTTTGTTGCTGAAAGTTTATGATGACAGTATAAATTAAAGATATAAAGTTTTGCTCATGTGAATTTTGTCAATTCCAACAGTGTGTACAGAATGAGCAAAACCTCTAGTAAACATACCATATCTCTACTTTCACCATAATAAATGTACATGGCCAATTTAATTTGGGTAAACAAGTTTAAGGATGTTCCCTACTCTGTTTCAAAATAATAAGCTTTTTAAAAGACTGTTATAAATTGATAGTATATAAATAAAGGAACTAAAAAAGCAGATAAAAATGAAGGGTCCGTGTGCTTGTTTTCGAGATATAAGCCATTGAAAATTTGGCAGGAAATGATTCTCTCTAGATTTTTCATACATTTAACATTGGCACCTTTTTTCTATCTAAAAGTATAAAAAAAATAACAAGGATTTAATAAGATTTTCAAAGATGGCATTTTAAACTATATTTAATCAAATTATGAAAAGTAGGGGTTAATGGGCAAAAGTTTTTAATGGCACTACATGGATAAAACCAGAGGATTCCGAATATCTGGCAAAAATTTACAAACAAGAGGAGCGAACATCCTTAATTCTGGTTGTATTTGTATTATGAATTCTTTTGCCATTGGTTTAATCTCGTTATGTTTTACAAAAAGTACAGTATTTTTTTTCCTGTCATACATGATCATCTGAAATCCAAGATGGCCACTAGTGTTCCAATTTTAATGACTATCTTTGCAGCCATGTTATCTGCCTGTTTTATTCATTTTTTCAGGTTGACCCGTTTGGACCCCCAGCTTTGACAATGCCACCAGAAGAGACAGCTAAATGATGCAATAATTGTTAGAAGTTAGGAACTGCCAATTAATAATAATGCTTGTATTTAAACAATATTTTCTATGTAGTGTTTGTCCTTTTATAAGAAATGCAATTTTGCTAAAGAGAATCTCAAGAGTTTTTAATCTTTTGTGCTTTCTTGATTTGACATTTATATGTTGATAGAAATTCAGATTTTATTGAACAAGGTAACTTCTCCATCTGGTAAGGTTCACTGAAGATAACGCGTTTTTGTTATGCTTTGTTGCAGAAAGTGCAGAAAATAAATGTATTACATTGACCCCTCTCAAAAAACTGCTTCCTCAAAGAAGGAAGTATGATCTTATTACAAGGGTAGATTTAGGTTGTAGTGATTGAATTAGAAACGAAGTTAATACTGCTTTTATGCTTAATTTAAGAGGGAAGCTTTTTAGAAAAGGACTATACCAGAGGGACTTGTTTTTAGACATGAAAACTGTTCATGCATGACTGAGTGTATTAGTGAATGATAATATTCAGATGTAGATATCTTATAGTTTTGACTGATGATCATTTATTATATTTTAAAATTTGTGTAAATGGACTTGTCAATATAAATCATGTTGAAAAAAAAAAACAGTTGAGAAAAGATTGTTGACACTACAGCTAAAAATGTATTTTGTCATTTTTACCTGGCCACTGTGGTCAGTCGACTCTTGACCACTCAAATTTAATTTCAAAGTTTTTTCCGCTGTAATAATTTTATGTTAAATTTCTATGATGAAAGAGAAGAAATTACATGTGTACTCCATAAGGTTGTCACATGGGACCACCTAGCTAGAAGTTTGCCCACTTTGTGTAAAATCCCATGGTGGACAGGTAGAAATGACTAAAGTCCTCTAGAGCTTTAGTGCATGTACAATAATTGTAATGATATTGCCTGTGATATTTATTGTAAAAATTTGGACCATTGTACAGTTAAAGCCATTCAAAATGAATCTTGTTTCTAAAGTACTGACTTGCTTAGATGGGATTTTGATTCAGATTGTATACCAGCTGCCACCAAAGCTAAGTTACAAACCAAAATGGTAGATAACAAATAGCCTCAAGGGAGACAAATCAAGTGGCATAAATTGTTATGTATTATATACACTGGTGGATCCAGGGGGCTTGATACGTTGGAACCCCCCCCCCCCCTTTTTACCTTTTTTTTCAAAACATTTTCATGTTTCATTATGTTACAGGGGTTGCAACCCCCCTTTTCAAAATGGCTGGATATGCGCCTGATATAAGGAAATGAAAAAACGCCCCCCTGTAGCTTTTCAGTTATAAGCAAAGATGTATGCTTAGCAGAAAACCATTTCCTCATTGCTTTAATATGGAAGATAAATTGGCAATTGCTGCATAAATCTTTTCCTTTTGTTTTTATCCCTTCCAGCAGCAAAGATGGGGATGTCCATAACATTTGTCTGCTTAGTCATTGAATTTTTTGTGTGTTGAAATCCCGATCTAAACCAATACAAATTATAAAGGAATAAACTTTGTCAGTTTTCGCATCATGTTGTGTAATTAAGTTCCACACTTGAATTAAATAACCTTGACCATTATTTGGTACATGAATGTCATTGGTTAAGTTTCATAATTACATGTCTAGATCTATACAACTAGAAATCGTTAGGTTTCAATTAAGACAAGTAAGAGAAAGAAGGAAGAAAAAATATGATAAACTAAAATTTGTTAGAAACAAAAGATTTGTTTTGAATGGTTGTATTGTATTGTCTGTGATAATTGTTGCTCAATTTTACATGTTTGTGAAATCTATTCTCATTTATTTTGTAAAATTTTCAATATTTTATGATGTTTTTATGTCCTGGATATTTGGTATATTACTGTTCTATCCAACGAATACCTTTTTTTTTTTTTGTTGGATGAAGCCATTTGTACATTGAATTTACAAGTACAAATATTTGTAACTTTGTGGTTATATTTTGCTAATTTTTGGTTTTTTTGTGTTGTTTTTTTGGGTGGGTGGGGGTGGGGGGTAAAATTACACATGAAAAGTAAATCCAAATAAGTCAATATTCTAATCTTTCTTTGTGTAAAATCTTGTCTTAAGATTAGAGACTAAGAAATTTTCTTGCCTCTAACTTTTTATAATTTTTGTTCAAAATAGGAAGGTATGACTGTTCAACTCTTTTGCCTCTGTTAGAATGTTAATCTAATATAGAACAGACTAATTTTTTAACTTTTTTTCAATTTTACTTTTTGTTTGAAGGCTAATTTAGTTGAGTTATTTTGTATGAGTTTCAAACATTGCTAGATATGACATGAGAGGCCAGATATACAGGATCAAAAGATGGATGCTTATTTTTATTAAAATTGATTTACTTTTTATCATTTTGTATATATATATTTGTATTGTCTTTTGTAGTAAATATGTACTTATTTAAAACTTTATATTTGGATATAGGGTAGATTTACAATAATATAACTAGAAAAGGACTTTTGCTTTAATACTTTTTATTTGGGGATTACAGTTTTCACAGCTTGCAGATAATGGTTTGGCCTGATATTTCAAATTTACACGAGGGGATATTATTGCTTTATAATGCAATGGTATCTTTATTGCAAAATTAGTTAGCGAAGAAGAAAAAAATCTGGTTTGATAATATTTTAATGACTTACTTCTTGAATCCTTGAGTTCAACACCTTATACTGAAAAAAAATTATCAATTTGTAGCAGTAACAATTATTGAAATAGTTAATATAAATTTGGAATTGATTGAAAACTACTATAACTACATCCGTAGCCATTGGGTTTTGTCTAAACCCCCCTCCCCTGAAAACAAAAAATACTATTAAAGTCAAGTTTCATATGTAAGTTTAACTATTGAAGTCAGAGCGTCATGACCCTAAACAACCCCCTCAGATACATCATGACTACTAGCCTGATAGTGTTAACGTTTAGATTTTATTTTTGGCATATTATTTCCCCCTAATCATAAAGACTTAAATAAAGATTTAAAAAGGTGCAGAGAGTTGATATAGGATGTTTTGTTTTGTTCGTAATTGGTTTTGTATTTATTCTAACAAATATATTACTGTATGTTGGGAAATATTGATACCCCCACTCAAAAGAAAAGGGTATACTGGTTAAGATCTGTCTGATTTCCCTGAACAGCTACAAGTTAAAGATTCTTGATATTTGGCCCCAAGCTTTAAATTTATAGTTATGACACATTTTCAGTTCCTTTGATGTATTTGTTTGCTGAAAACTAGGGTCAGCAACATTGAGTTGGGGCATGATTAGTGAGCAATAGCTTGTAGTATATCTTGTTTCCTCTATGTTAATTTAAAGGCATCTAATTAAATTTGTAGATTAACAGTGCCTTATTTTAAAGGAGTTGCCAACATCAAATCCAAAATTGACTGTGCCAACTCTTTGTATACAGTACTTTTATTCCTATTCTAATGCAATGCTCATAATTTTTTTATATGAAAAATTTGAAATACCACAGAAACTGTGATTGTGCAGTGATATTGCAAATAAACTGACTGTCAACTGTTGAATTGAGGGCAGACTCCATCCAATCAAAAGTGGTGTTACATTTATTACTTCATATTACATAAGAATCTCTGTTGTTGTTCAGTTTGTTGATGAGATATAACAGATAAAAAAACTGGCCAATATTTCCAACTGTACAGTAAACTGGCCAATATTTCCCTCTGGATAGTAAACTGGCCGATATTTCCATCTGTACAGTAAACCAGCCATTATTTCCCACTGTACAGTAAACTGGCCAATATTTCCATCTGTACAGTAAACTGGCCAAAATTTCCAACTGTACAGTAAACTGCATGGTCAATATTTCCCACTACAGTTAAATGGCCAATATTTCCCACTGTACAGTAAATGTGTATGTCTTTTTCACTTTCATTTGTTTTAACATCAGTTTTGTATTTTTATATGGATCTTTATTGTTGTAATATTTATAGTTTATCTGTCGGTGTGTATTTAATTTCATTTCAGGAGAGGGTTATGAGCTTTTCAATCCTCAAAGTGGGCGATCTCCTTCTTTGACAGAAATTTCCTTCACTAAAATTTGCCACATGCAACATTTTTATATTTTGTATTTCACATTGTTTTTCATAAATGCTTAATCATACTGTTTGTGCTTCAATTCCTAAGGTTAAGAAACAAAAATTAGAATCAAAATGCATTTGAATCAAATTATGAGCTAATTAAGTAAAATAGCATGTCAATTAACTATGACATTCAAAATTATGTAAACTAATATTTCACAACAAACTGCTACTTTATAATGGAAAAGAGTGAAAGAGGAGGAAAGTATTTTTTTTTTAAATTTTAATACAGGATGATTTTATCTCCTGTCAGTTTGGAAGAAATATAGTGAGGCTTTCATTAATAACCAATTATTACAGAAAACAGTGCCAATCTCCTTCATGAATTTATTTATACTACATATCACATTTTTTTTTCTTCAAATAAACTATTTCACTGTGCATGGAAGGCTGGTGTTATCGAAATCATAAAGGAATGATGCTACAATTATAGATTTGAATTGAAGATGAAAATATATTTTTCCTTTATTTATACTGTGGATTCATTTATTTTCATGGGTATCAATTTTCGTGGATTGAGGAAAACTAACATTTTCGTGGGTATTTGAATTCGTGGGTTTGCCAATCTCTGCATACAAAGCCTATAGAAAATTTGTAATTCGTTGAACATTTGAATTCGTGGTTCACCTGTAGCCACGAAACCCACGAAAATTGGTATCCCACGAATAATAATGAATCCACAGTAGTTACAAATTTAAGAGAAAGCTTTATTGGAATTATTTTCTTACTTTTATCCACTTGTTTTACTATCACTCTAATAGGTTCACAGGGTTAGATTTGGGTTTTAAAAATAAATATTAGAAAATTAATAAAATACACTACAGCTTGGGTGGATTAAGTCATTTCTACTTGCCCTAAGTAGGCATTCTATATATACCTGCTTGCCCAAATTTTTCAAAAAATAATCAACACAAAAACTGAACTTATTTTTCCAAGGGAAAATATATGTTTAATCCTAATGATGATTTAATAGAATAGGATGGAAAAGAAAAAATATACTGTTTTAATTCATGACACGAAATCATAATGCGCACATGCGAAAAAGTAAAAACGAATAGGAACATTTCTTTTATTGCTGTTTTTATTTCTATGGTATGTCCACTCAATAGAGTTGGTGTAGGAGACCATCTGTAAATGTGTGACAACTCCCACCAAATATAACTGGAAATGACAAAATCTACCAGAGCTGTATAGGGTAGTCTCATATACATAACCAAACTCTCCTTTTCTTCAAATCATCAATATATATATTACTTAATTATTTTGTGAGGTTTAAGCCAATATATCATTTAAATCATACAATTTTTTTTTAAAGTCAGTGCATTTGCAAGCTATTTAGCTTTGTTAGAAATTTTACAAATGTTGAAGTTTTCTTAATTGTATAGGAGCTTAGCTCTGTCAAAAGAGGAATAGAAATAAAAATATAAAAGAAATATGTTTTTTATGTTGATATCTCGCCTTCTAATTCCTGTCAGACAGTTTTCACTTGACCTCGACCTCATTTCATGGATCAGTGAACAAGGTAAAGTTTTTCGTGGTCAAAATCTCAGATACTATAAGCAATAGGTCTACTATATTTGGTAAAATTGAGAATGAAAATGGGGAATATGTCAAAGAGACAACAATCCGACCAAAGAGCAGAAAACAGCCTAAGGCCACCAATGGGTCTTCAATGCAGCGAGAAAATCCCGCACCCGGAGGTGGTCCTCAGCTGGCCCCTAAATAAAATTGTGTGCTAGTTCAGTGAAAATGGACGTGACACTAAACTCCAAAACATATAAATGAACTAAAATTAAAAAACATACTAGACTAACAAAGGCCAGAGGCTCCTGACTTGGGACAGGCGCAAAAATGCGGCGGGGTTAAACATGTTTGTGAGATCTCAACCCTCCCCCTATACCTCTAGCCAATGAATAAAGAAACACATAGCAATACGCACAGTAAAATTCAGTTTAAAAGAAATCCGAGTCTGATGTCAGAATAGGTAACAAAAGAAACTAAGCAAAATGACAATGATACATAAATAAACAAAGGACTACTAGCAGTTACTGACATGCCAGCTCCAGACCTCAATTAAACTGATTGAAAGATTATGTCTTCATCATATGAAAATCAAGTACAATCCCTCCCGTAAGGGGTTTAGTATCATACCATCATAAAATATATGAGAAGAACATAACCTGTATCATGCCAACAACTGGCTTTAGAATAAATGTGTTTATTTCTGATGCAAAGACCCTATGAGTGAATCAATATTAATACCAAAATATGCAATCCTTAATGACCTGAAAACAGTATCGTAACTATATCCCTTCTGAATATGTCTGTTTAAAGGTTTGGTTAGCTTTTGAGGTGAATGCCGACATTTTTGTGCTTTGTAAAGAATATTACCATGAAATATTGGATGTGAAATACCTGAACGTATAAGATGTCTGCATGTTGATTTATATTTACGAATGATGTCCTTGTAGTCTTGTAGCGATGATAAAATTTAGTAAATGTTTTGACTAGTTTGTGATATCGAAAACCCTGGTGTAATAATTTTTCAGTAATACAGAGATTTCTTTCGTTGAAATCAAATACGTACGTTGTACACAAGCGAATCGAACAAGTTGAGATATATAAACACCATAAGATGGCGACAAGGGAACGTCACCATCAAAAAATGGATAATTAACAATAGAAAATGAAAAATCATCTCTTTTATCATAAATTTTGGTATTAAGCTTCCCGTTAAAGATAAAGATATCAAGATCCAGGAAAGGGCAGTGTTCATTGTTAGTATTAGCTTTATTTAAAGTCAGTTCGGCAGGATAAATCTCTTTAGTGTACATACTGAAGTCGTCATTATTGAGAGCCAATATATCATCTAAATATCTATAAGTGTTATTCAATTTTTGAATCAGATGTTGTTTTGATGGGTCTTCGCTGATTTTAGTCATAAATTGTAACTCATAACAATACAAAAACAGGTCCGCAATAAGTGGTGCACAGTTAGTCCCCATGGGAATGTTATCTAGTAAAAAATCAAGGGCAGTTAAAGTATCAAAGCAGGTCCAATTGACATAGTTCTTTTGTTTGTTGTTACTAAAAAATGACCTAAAAGAGTCTGAACATATATATTTGCATTCCGACTTTTTAAATGCCCATTTAATCAGGTGTGTGAAATTTTTCTTAATAAGATTATTAGGCAACGTGGTATATAGGGTAGAAAAATCAAAACTTTGAACAGATTCGAAATCACCAATATAAGCATGCAATTTATCAAGTACTTCCAACGAATTTTTGACACTCCAAAAGTGGTGTATGTAATGATTGTAAGGTGTACATGTCCAACTGGCAGGTGTCATCTGACCTTGACCTCATTTTCGTCATTGGACAATGTTAAGGTTTTGTGGTTTAGTCTATTTCTCAGATAATATAAGCAATAAGCAATTATACTTGGTGTATAGAAAGATTTTAGGGTGCACATGTCTGTCTGGCAGGGTTTGTGTTACCCTGACCTCATTTTCATGGTTCATTGCATGGAATTGGTTAATAATAAGTTTCCATAATTTTGTCAGTTTATCAGATACTATAAGCAATAGGTGCACGTCTGTCTGGTAGGGTTCATATGACCTCATGTTCATGGTTCATTGGTCAATTTTAAGATTTTGTGGTTTGATCTGTTTCTTGGGTACTATTAGTGATAGGACCACTACATTTGGTGTACAGAATTATTGTAAGGTGTACATGTCTGTCTAACATGGTTCATCAGACCTAAACCTCATTTTCATAGAACATTGATAATGTTAAGTTTATGTGATACCTGTAGTAAAACCTTCATATTACAGACTTTCGACATGAAATCAATGATAAGTAAAACAGGCAAGACATTTCAACATTTGCACTCCTGTTTTGTATTAAGTGTGCAAAATATCAACTGCTCCTCATTGCAAAGAATTATAATATTTACACAGCCACCCTGTTGGTAATCTTAATGAGACATGTGGCCTTGTAATATTTACACTACAACCCTATTGGTAATCTTGGGGAGAAATGTAGACATATATATACACAGCCACCTTGTCAGTAATTTATATTATTTACACAGCCACCCTATCGGTAATCTTGGTGAGACATGTCCTTTTAATATTTACACAGCCACCCTATTGATAATCTTGGTGAGACATGTAGCCTTATAATATTTACACAGCCACCCTGTCAGTAATCTTGGTGAGACACATGGGCTCATTAGGTTTACCCAGCCACTATGTCTGTTATCTATAATTTTTACACTTCCACCCTGTCGGTAATCTTGGTGAGACATGTGGCCTTACTATATTTTTACAGCCACCCTGTTGTTAGTCTTGGTGAGACACGGGGCCTTATAGTATTTACACAGCAACTCTGTTGTTAGTCTTGGTGAGACACGGGGCCTTATAGTATTTACACAGCAACTCTGTTGTTAGTCTTGGTGAGACACTGGGCCTTATAGTATTTACACAGCAACTCTGTTGTTAGTCTTGGTGAGACACTGGGCCTTATAGTATTTACACAGCAACTCTGTTGGTAATCTTGGTGAGACATGTGGCCTTATAATATTTACACAGCCACTCTGTTTAATAGTAATCAAGGTGAGACATGTGGCCTTATAATATTTACACTGCCACTCTGTCTGTTATCTTGGTGAGACACATGGCCTTTTAATATTAATACAGCCACCCTGTAGATAATCTTGGTGAGACATGTGGCCTTATAATATTTACAAAGCCACCCTATTGGCAATCTTGGTCAGAAATGTGGCCTTATATTTATACAGCCACCCTGTCGGTAATCTAATAGTGAGACACATGGTCTTATAATATTTATATAGCCATCCTTTCGGTAATTTATAATATTTACACAGCCACCCTGTCGGTAATCTTGATGAGCTCAATATGTGGCCTTATAATATTTATTAACTATGGACAAAAAAGTGGTGAAACATCAACATTTATTTCAATAATAACATAAATTAATAATCACAAAAAATAAAATAACAATTCTATTATAAGAAAGTTTAAAATTTCAAATTAAAAAATATATACCGGTATTGAATAAAACATAAAGGTAAATATTTGCTGTTATCCTTGAATATACAGAATAAGTGTTAAAACAAGAGTTAAAAAAGAAGCAGAGACATTTAATAACGAACAGATTGTCAATATTCCCTTTAATTCTGTCAATTCAGAAAATTAGTGCAAGCATTTATTATTGAGATTTTGGCCTGACCAACTAAAATTCAAGATTAATTCTTATGATTTCAAGAAAAGCTACATACAGATTTATTCCATATTGATAGAACTTTAGTAGATTTTTCTATATGAATGGGATTTTGAATAAATAAGCATATTCACCTGCGGAAAAAGTATATTCACCGCGCAAAACGTCGCGTGCTTTTACGTGTATAATAACGATACAATGTTTGATGTTTAGTTGGTTTTGGTAAATAACTGTTATTTTATACATATTTTTCTCGCTCGGAACATGGAATAAAACAATTACTGTCTTTTGTTTCGGTAAATATGTGGTTTAATTGACTTTTGAAAAACCTAGTGACATTCACTTCGGCCGTTGGCCTCAGTGAATATCAGTTTTTCAAAAGTCAATAAAACCACACATTTACCTCATCAAAAGACAGTAATTGTATAATATTTATCAGATATCAGAATGTGAATTCTTACTTTTGCGATACTCACCCATTTAAATCATTTGCACTAATAAACAAATACCTGGCAAAAATTTCTGAATTTACAATAGTTATATTATCTATTTAAATATAGAATCGCTCACCCATTATGTTTCAAACTACCGTAAGGAGGAATAATTTCCCAGAGTTCAAATTTTGTGATTTCCAAGGTCAAAACTGTTCTTCTTGTCCATGATTCTTATCTAGATCTTATTGAAACATAAAATTTTCACAATTATTGCAAGAAAATAAATCATTCAAACTCATTCCCCACTTACAGGTACTTAATTTTGACATAAATCGCTATTATTTTTTCTCATTGATGTGAGCAACTATACAGTGACCTATAGTTGCTCACGTACCCATCATTTGGTCTGTGGTTGATAGTGGTCTCATTGGCAATCATACCACATCTCTTTATTTTGATATCCCATTTGTAAGAATTTTACTTCATTTCAAAATATTTCCAAATATGTTTAAAGGTTTGAAAAAAATATGTCTTTTAAAATAGCGAACACAAAAAAATATAAATTATTGATAATTCAAAACAAAACAATTGAAAATATTGAAAATACAAAAAATTACACCTGTAAAAATTGGGTTGTTTTGGGATGTTAATTTATTTTGAGTTACGATGCAATAAAACATGAAAATGTATATTTAGATATTGAGATTTTAATTTGTACTGATGAATGAAAGGTTATGTGAGATGTAAATCGGTGAGAAAGCAACCAAATGACAAAGACAATACACTTAAAGTGGCTGGGGTGTCTTCCTCCATCTTGGATTTTGAAATAGCAGATAACAATCGGTCTAGGTCTTTAATAAAATGTGCAAATTACGAGAGTAGTATATAATTCATGTGTAAGACTTAACTCATGTTAATATAGAAAATTATGTGTTTTATCATATTTAGGACTGTATTTTACAAAAAACAAAATATTTTTGGTTGAATCATTTTTTTTTTCAACTTTGCCATATAAGGGGAGATAACTCAGATAAAGTAGGTTTTATAAAAGAATGTGTTGTGAATTTACCTAATTTATTATGTAGCAAGAAAAAGAGTTCCGTGACCCCATTTCTTCTTTTTCTTATCTGAAAGCATATTATTAGAGGTATCTTCTAATATTTTATCTTAAAATTCTATGGTGAAGTTTTCTTTTTATCACACAAAATTGGGTTTTCCATGCATAATCTATACAAAATCTGACAATTTTGCACAACCTGTAGCGTGAAAAAAAGCCCAGTGACCCTACTTTTTATTATATTTTTGAAAAAAAGCTCGATATAAACTATATTTTGACAAATTATTTTAAAAATCTATGGATTTTAATTTAGACCCCCCATCTACCTTAAAGAGATAGCGGGAATAACCAAAAATAATACATTAAGGATGTTCAGTACTCTGTTAATAACAAGCTTTTTAAGACTGTTATAAATTGATAGATATAAATAACAAGCTTTTTAAGACTGTTATAAATTGATAGTATAAAAATAACGGGACTTAAAAAGCAAAAGAAATTATTGTTCCGTGTCCTTGTTTTTGAGATATAAACCATTAAAAATTTGGCGATAAATTATTTTCTCTCATTTTTTTTTCCATACATTTATTTAACATTGGCACCTTGTTTTTTTTTCAAAAACTATGAAAAAATAACTAGGATTTATGACTAAGAATTTCAAAAATGGCTTTTTAAACTACATTCTATGTGCAATTAAATTATGAAAAGAAAAGTATGGATAAAACCAGAGAATTCCGAATATCTGACAAAAAGTAAAAAAAAGACTAGTGAACATCCTTAACCACTAACATCTGACTCCTGTGGAGAAGAAAAACAGACATACAAGCAATTACAAACAATAAAGTACAACACATAGTACAATTACTTTGTACAGGAACAAAATATGATGGGACCACTTTTACCCATGCACCCCCTTATTTTACTATGCATGCTACGGGCTGTTCCAGAAGTAAAGGCATCAAAGGAATTTTTTTGGGACCACAATCACCCATAATATAAAATTTCATTTTACTTATAATCTTACAAAATTCTAAGGAAAATGAAACCACCAACAATGAATTAATTTGAGTGCGTCCCATCCATCCCACCCAAATCAATTTTGGAACAGCTCTTATCTTAAAGACATTTATACATACATGTATAGAGGATAACATATACTGTTCAACAATACAATAGATGTCTATACAATATGACAACAATACAATAGATGTCTATACAATATGACAACAATACAATAGATGTCTATACAATATGACAACAATACAATAGATGTCTATACAATATGACAACAATACAATAGATGTCTATACAATATGACAACAATACAATAGATGTCTATACAATATGACAACATTGAACAGGTTTTGCATGATAACACAAGACTTCTCTGGTTTTTCTTACAAATTGTCTGTATTTTTGTGGATTCATTATTATTGGTGGAACACTAATTTGCGTGGATTCATTATTATTCAGGCAACACCAATTTGTGTGGATTCATTATTATTGGTGGAACACTAATTTGCGTGGATTCATTATTATTCAGGCAACACCAATTTGTGTGGATTCATTATTATTGGTGGAACACTAATTTGCATGGATTCATTATTATTTGTGGAACACAAATTTTTGTCGATTTCGTGGGTATAGTTATAGTTAAACCATGAATTTATATGTCAATCGATGTACAAATTTTGTATAGGTCTGTAGGGAGACTTTGTCTGAACCACAATCAAATATTCATGAAAACAAAATTTATCATCAATCCACGAAAATTGTATCCACTAAACTAAGTGAATCCACCGTAGGAATGATGGTCTGACAGCCATTAAATAAACATGATGCAGCCTTTACATGTGGAGCGTTTAATATTTGTTCATGATTATACAAATCTTTGAGATTATAATATTAATTAAAACTGTACATCTTGTTTTAGAATTATGATTAAATGTTCCATTAAAAGAAAAATGAAAATGTCAACTTTAACAATTCTTAAATCTCCATTAAAACAAAATTTAAAGAAAAAACAAAGTCTGGGTATTATTGATTACTTATCATACAAAGTGTTGGCCATTATCTCAACAGCAAAGAATGATATAAATATAGTACACAAAAGGGCATCCGCTCAAAAATCGGTGGGGTAGAGTGAATCAGTCAAACAATATTTATGACCTTGTCATACTGTAAATTGAGAACTTATTGCGTGCATCTATTAAAAATGGACAAAAATGCGAGATTAATTATTGCGATTTCAGGAAAATCTGCATACATATCTTTGCGAGTTCTTATTATTGCGATACTCAACCAGTCGCATAATTCGCACTAATAAAAACCTGGCAATAATTTCTGAATTTACAGTACATTGTATATTATTTAAGGAATAACAGTATTTGAAGAGTTGCTTCCATCAACTGGGGATTTAACAGTTGAAAATAAAGTTTTATTGGCAAGGCAGAGCTTAATTGATGATGACAACTCCTAATATACAGAACTCGTATTCTTTTTCTAATACATACTCATAAAATATTCAAAGAAAAATTCATTTGCTTTATTAATTAAAGAAATGTTGACTACCATTATGCAACATTGTTGCCAATGAGTCACGACCATTAATGGTGGAAAACAGGTGTCATCTAATCAAAACTTGGCATTACATGTCAGATTACATTAGAATTGTAGTATATACTGATGCAGAGTGAATCACCAGAGTTTCCTGTCATAGACTACTAGAAAAAGCACATTATGGGTGATTTTATATAATGCAAATTTTGGCGTCTTTCATAAGAGCAAATGTTCCTATATTCTGCCTTATATGATACATGACAAAGTTTAACAATAACAATTGTGATCACATTGGATAAGATTATTACATCTGTGGATTGATTATAGATTGAAATTTCTGGCTGCCTATTATGTGTCAATAAAAACTAAGTGACAGGTTTGTCGAACTGTACTATCTGACTGTTGTGTGCTGGAGGATTAAAACTAAGTGACAGGTTTGTCGAATTGTACTATCTGACTGTTTTGTGTCTGACGATTATAATTTGGTGACAGGTTTGTCCAATCATACTCTCTGACTGTTGTGTGTCAGAGGATTATAACTATGTTACAGTTTTGTCGAATCATAGTCTCTGACTGTTGTTTGTCGGAGGGTTTTATGATTATAATTTGGTGACAGGTTTGTTGACCCGGATTGATTCTAACTTTACATTGTTGTCTGTTTGTTGTTCGTCAGAGGATTTTCTTCTTTTAAATAAGTCGGTCAGTGTAAACACCTGCAAAATAAATGTAACTTAATTAATAATTCTAAAGTTGTGTGTGAGTTTGGAGGTCAATATCTCGATAAACAAAAAATTAACACATTTATTACTGCCATTTCGGAATATAACCAATATAGATTTTAATACAAGCTTTATAAATACCCATGCATTGTGAATTGAAAACCATTTTTTTTTTACCATTTTTATAGAAATTTTAGGTAATAAAGGTTATTGAACATATTTTGTTTATGTGTAAACTTAAACTCATTTACAACATGAAAACACTTACATACTTTATATAAGTTCTTAAGATTTTGTAAAGTTTGTAAATGAAACGAAATGAAATGAGTTTATATATAACATTCCTTCAAAACAAGAATGTGTCCATATTACACAGATGCCCCACTTGCACTATCATTTTCTATATTCAGTGGACTGTGAAATTGGGGTAAAAACTCTAATTTGGCATTGAAATTAGAAAGATTATATCACAGGGAACATGTGTACTAAGTTTCAAGTTGATTGGACTTCAACTTCATCAAAAACTACCATGACCAAAATCCTCAACCTGAAGCGGGACAGACGGACTACCGGACGAACAAACGGACGGACGGACGAACAGATGCAGACCGAAAAACATAATGCCGCTAGGTGGGGCATAATAACAATAATTTCTGTAAATACAGAAAATTTGCAAAAAAACTTGCATTTTATATATTGATAGCATTATTAGTTTGTAGCATTTCCAATCGCAAAAATTAATACACACAATAAGTTTGTAATTTACAGTATATATATATATATAAAACCCAATTAATATAATGAAGCCAAAAAAAAAACATTCTATATTTCCACACTTTTTACTGTAAGAGTTCTAAATTCTTTACATTCAGTAAGTGCTTCAAACTTAAGGACGAATTTGCCTTGAAACTCCAAACATGGATTAGTAGAAAGGCAAATTTCTTCTGAGCTTTAGTAAAAGTAAAGACTTGAATGAAACCCCTTTACCACTTCACATATACAGTAAACATGTAGAGGTAAACGATACTCAGTTACACAATGATCAATCTTGGGGGGACCACTTCCTATATACAAGAGTAAAGGACATGCCGCTGGAATAGGTCACATTTTCCAGCTTGAAAATATGTGAATAGGTGGGGAAAACTATCAAAAATATATGATAAGGTCAATAAAGTTACCATTACTTGCTCCGAGCAAAGGTGATACTTACCAATATGGGAAAAGGTTACATTTTTCTTACATTTTACGCAATACATGAAAAGGTATACATTTTAAAAATCTAATAATTATATGAAAAGGGTGGGGTAACATAACTCCAGTGGCACCCCCTATCAATTAAGTATTGAAGTGGACCTCCCGAATGATGGATGTACAAGCATTAAAAAGTAGATGTGTGAAAGACACAAAACATGACCTTTTCCAATCCTTACAACTCCCACTTAATTAAATGTTCAGTCTTGCACCCCACTTAATTAAATGTTCAGTCTTGCATCCCACTTAATTAAATGTTCAGTCTTGCACCCCACTACATTTCCATCAATAAAACCCACTTAATTAAATATTCAGTCTTGCACCCCACTACATTTCCATCAATACAACCCACTTAAAATAACTTGTACTCACAGTTATAAGTGATACAATGACACCGATGATGTTTCCTGCTAGAACATCACTCCAATGATGTTTATAATCATATATCCGAGACAGTCCTGTGTAGAAGGCCAGACAAAACACCATCAACTGAAGTAGTGGCCGTAGAAGTAATAGATTATTCCATGTTAATCGAGCCTGGTAGTAAAACTGAAAATAAAGGACCATATATTATATATAAGGACAATCCATCATAGTAATCTAAGGTATACAAAACAAAAACAACTGACTCAAGGGTCAAAGTAGTTATAGATTAATAATAGGAAAAATGTATATGGTGTTTTAATTTATTACACAAAAGCGTCATGTAAAAATGATTTTACAAAATTGAAAGAAAAAGAATGCACTTTTATTGCTTTTTTTCATCTCTAACTCATAGAGAAAAAGCTCGAATCTCACTGGTCATGTACAATGTACTAGAAGATTGTACTAATCAGCTGACATGTACAAAAGAAATTGTATTGATCATGTGACCTGTACTCTAAGAGAATGTGTAGATCATGTGACCTGTACTCTAAGAGAATGTATAGATCATGTGACCTGCACTCTAAGAGAATGTATAGATCATGTGACCTGCACTCTAAGAGAATATATAGATCATGTGACCTGTACTCTAAGAGAATGTATAGATCATGTGACAATTTCTTGTCACAATTAAATTTTACACTTCTATTTTTTTAGCAACAAAATAAAATACCTGTTCATTTTTAAAACTCATTTGCTGCCATAATCAATTAAATCTTAGGTCATTCCAAAACAAATATTATGGAATACTTACCACAAGAAATAACATAGAATACATGGAGAAAGATGCATGTCCTGACGGGAATGACACCCTGAAATATAAACATGTATCACATAGAGTTAAGAATTACAGACTCTAGACTCTGAAATATAAACATGTATCAAATAGAGTTAAGAATTACAGCCTCTAGACCCTGAAATATAAACATGTATCACATAGAGTTAAGAATTACAGCCTTTAGACCCTGAAATATAAACATGTATCACATAGAGTTAAGAATTACAGCCTCTAGACCCTGAAATATAAACATGTATCAAATAGAGTTAAGAATTACAGCCTCTAGACCCTGAAATATAAACATGTATCACATAGAGTTAAGAATTACAGCCTCTAGACCCTGAAATATAAACATGTATCACATAGAGTTAAGAATTACAGCCTCTAGACCCTGAAATATAAGCATGTATCACATAGAGTTAAGAATTACAGCCTCTAGACCCTGAAATATAAACATGTATCACATAGAGTTAAGAATTACAGCCTCTAGACCCTGAAATATAAACATGTATCACACAGAGTTAAGACAGCCTCTAGACCCTGAAATATAAACATGTATCAAATAGAGTTAAGAATTACAGACTCTAGCCTTAATGTTTATTTTGTGTGCGTTTTTTTTTATTTGGTTCATTTATACGTTTTGGTGTTTAAATGGGGCATTAATTTTGCCTGACTAGTATACATTATTGTGTAGGGGCCACCTGAAGCCCTCCTCTGGGTGCAGAATTTTCTCGCTGCCTTGTAGACCCATTGCTAGCTCTGGGATGTTTTCTGCTGTTTGGTTGGGTTGAAGTCTCTTTGACACATTCCCTGTTTCCATTCTCAATTCTAAATATTGTTACTCCTGTCAGTTCTGTTAGGTAAATTTTAAATAAGATTGTCATTTTGCATGTTTTGGTTATTTTGTCACATCTGAGTTTTAGCAGGTTGTATTCTGTAGATTAAAAAATTTGTAAGGGTTCCGTGGAACCCAGTGTCTCGCCTACTTTTGCTGTTAATCGCAGGCTCAACAAAAATGAGGAAAAAAATTAATAAAAATATTCCTCTCTTTACCATGTTTACTATCTTTTGATTGTAAGTAGCTTCTGTCCAAGTTTGGTAAAAATCCAGGATAGTTTATGAATCTAATAAATGTTTAAAAAACTTAAACTGCAGACTGTATGTAATGTTAAATGGAAGAAAAACTAAGTCCATTTATAAGTAAAATACGGAAAAAATGGAACAAAATTTTAACAAAATTTCCTTCTAGATACTAGCTTTTAATTATAAACAAGCATCTGTCCAAGTTTGGTAAAAATCCAGGATAGTTTAAGGAAGTTGTTAAAATTTTAAAAACTTTAACCACAGAGTGAATGTAATGTTAACTGGCAGAAAAACTAAGTCCATTTATGAGTAAAATACGGAAAAAATGGAATTTTTTTTTTACAAAATTTACTTTTGAATATTATCTTATGATCATAAACAAGCTTCTGTCCAAGTTTGGTAGAAATCCAGGATAGTTTAAGAAAGTTATTAAAATTTCAAAAACTTTAACCACAGAGTGAATATTTGTGGACGCCGCCGCAGCCGACGGAATGTAGGATCGCTATGTCTCGCTTTTTCAACAAAAGTCGAAGGCTCGACAAAAATAGTGAACAGTTGTACCAGGATCTGAGTGCAAAATAAGTGTGTAATATGCAAACTGAAATTGTAAGAATGAACCTGATAAATGGAACACATTATAAAATCATGTCAGTAAAATGGCCCTGCTGGAAATTTACATCCCAAATAATCTCCTTCTTTGATTCTGTTTCATTATTTTTGCTTAATTTTGAACAGCTACTACGCCCCAGCTGTCAAAAAGAAATAAAATTGCCTAAAATTTGACAGATAAAGTCCAATAACTTTAAAATAGTAACAAACAAATTTTTAAATGTAAGGGAGCTTATTTTCACTAATACCAACAACAATGTAAAGTTTGAAGTAAATCGATCCAAGTGTATGTACAACAATGCAAGCTAGTGCAAAACACACGAAAACTTGCCTCTAAACTGGCAATTAAAATCTTATGCTCTGGAATGACATATCAGAACATTTTCGGTATCAACAGGGATCTTACTTTATCTTATTCTAATTCCAACATTTTACAAATGTAAATTAAGTTTGAAGAAATTGATCAAAGTTGTTATTTGTAAGAAATTGCCTTAAATCGAATAGTTGAAAGTCCCATAACCATGATAAATCTGGGAGGACAAACCCAAAAACTTTAAATGGAAGCTTTCCAGTACTTTCATCCAATCAAATATTGTTATTTAACCTACCTTGCATGTTTGATGAGTGCAATGTCTCCCGTGCAGACGTCAGCTGTTATATAGCCATCTGTGCAATTAAACTTGGTTAAATCTGGTTGACAAACTGCTAGGAAATGTGGACGAAGTCTTCCGACCGAGTATTTAGCTATGTCTGTCACCAGCTGTACTACAGCAGCTCCATACAGAAATGGTAACAGAACATTGAACACAACACAAAAGTAAGTCTGTAAAACGTTCTGTTCCTGATTTTTGTTTGTTCGCTTATTTTTACAGTTTCTTAAAAAAGCAGCTTCAATTAAAATGAACTGAAATAAAAAGACAAAAGCTCAAGTACACTATCCACATGATTTAGACAACAATATTTTAAGTGTGATATTGAATCAAGATGTAAACTTTTTATTATTTATAAATTGTCAGTTCACACCAGTTTCCTGGGGTTTGAAAAGCATTGACCTATATTTATTTGAAAAGCATTTACATTTGTGTCTTTAGTCTTTTTGCTAGTTTTTTTTTGTATCGATGAGTTAATATAAGTTATTTACGGATATGAACGTAGATAACAAATTTATCCCCAGTCTTAGTCCAAATTGGCAATTTTTACAGAAATTCAGGTAAAGTGTAAGGTGAAAGCATTGTTTTCTTTTATTATTTTAAAAAGTTTTATTAAAATTGTGAAATTTGACATATTTTTTTACAGGGTGTAGTTGGTAGAAGCCTACAGGTAGTAAATTATAAGATGTTTTTAATCCAAAGACAAAGAAACTAGAATAAATCAAATTTAGTGCTCAATGTCGTAAGCAATATGTCATCGCCAGCGTGACGTCAACGTGGGTCATTTGCATAACTAGATCAGCAGTCACCTTCATTGACAACGTGTTAGCAAAGTGATGCTGGCCTTAGTGAATATCAGTTTTTCAAAAGTCAATAAAACCACATATTTAGTAATTACCTCATCAAAAGACGGTAATACAATACAAAACCTGTTCCCAACCTTTGACATTTGAACAACAGAACAATAATGTTTGTTTGCTGCACCCTGTTATAAATCACTCTTACTGATATATTATTATGATGGAAACCCAGAAAATTGGAAAAAATGTGGATTTACTTCACATGAGACAAACACTGCTGATATTTAAACAATCTGCCACTTAAATTGTTTAACGATGGACAATCAGTCTTAAAAGAGAAATAATTGAAGAATAGCCTACCTACATGTACAAGTTAGGGAAAGGAACGTATTTTTATTACGTGTCCTAGTGTTTAAAAACTGATAAAACTATAAAAATAAATAGGGAATGTGTCCATGGGACACAGATGATGCCCCCTCTTGCATTTAATGTTATAAAGGGACATAACTCAAAAAAACTGTAAAAGTGACACTACCCAAATTTGTACTTGATCTGAGTTTTGTGGTAATACTTAGCATTGTGTATAAGTTTCATAACATTTGGTTGAGGCAAACTAAAGAACGGAAACAAAAAATTCAGCAATTTTTCCATTTGTAAAAAGGCATAACTCTAGAACAATAAAAGTGACGCCACCAAAATTCAAAGTTAATCTGTATTTAGTGGTAATAAGCATTGTGTATAAGTTTCATAACATTTGGTTGAGGCTAACTTAAGTTAGAGAACGGAAACGAAAAATTCAGCAATGTAAAGGGGCATAACTCAAGAACGATTTAAGTGACGCCACCAAAATTCAAACTTGATCTGTGTTTTGTGGTAATAAGCATTGTGTATAAGTTACATAACATTTGGTTGAGGCAAACTAAAGTTAGAGAACGGGCACCAACTTTGGGATGTATGGACGTACGTACGGACGGACAAGGGTAAAACTTAATGCCCCCTCCGCTACGGCGGTGGCATAAAAAGAGACACATTTGTTAAACTTTTATTTAAGCAGGATGTCTGATATATTGAGCTCATTTCTGCTCCAATTTTCAAAATTTACACTAATAAATCTGACTTAATTATATTGTGATAACTGTCACACAATTTCAATTTTAAAGAATTTTGTTGTCTTATACATATTTGCTATTCTCCTAAATGTATATATTTGTTACGAAAATCTAATAAATTTTTATTAGTAATACATGTAATACTAGTATCAAAGCTCAAGTCCATCATGGAAAGCTCACCCATGTCCTCAAAATAAGCTTATACTTTGTAAAAAAAATATTGAATTCAAAAACAACATATTTTTCCAAGGTTTTTTTTGTTTAACAATTCTTAAACTTTAAATTTAGAACTTTAATCTTTTTGAGGGTAAGTGGATTAGACATTCAATACACTATCATATTCTTTAACCAAAAATAGACATATTGAAGGTTGGCGCCTGTTAAAACTTTTAAACCCACTGCATTGTATGCACCTGTCCTGAGTCAGGAGCCTGTTGTTCAGTGGTTGTCTTTTGTTGGTGTGGTTCATAAGTGTTTCTCTTTTCTCATTTTTTATATAGATTAGACCGTTGGTTTTCCTGTTTGAATTTTTTTACACAAGTCATTTTGGGGCCCTTTAGAGCTTCCTGTTCGGTGTTATCCAAGGCTCCGTATTAAAGGCTGCACTTTGACCTTTAATTGTTTACTTTTACAATTTGTGACTTGGATGGATAGTTGTCTCATTGGCACTCATACCACATCTTCTTATTTATATCTATAGCTATATTACCCTATTTCATGGACAGCTAAGACAGATGTGACAAATATCTGATGCATTTAACACTGGTTATGATTATAATCTCATCTTTAAAAAACATATATGATTCAAAAGTTTGAGATACTTATCATATTTGTAATCTAAATTTCTCGCCCTCATCTTATATTATGAAGCTTGAAGTGGTGACTAACCCCTACCACTCAGTATATAGTAAGTTTATTTCTCTTATAGAATTCAGAATGGAAACGGGGAATGTGTCAAAGAGACAACAACCCGACCAAAGAGCATATTTTCTGTTATCCTATTTTAAAATGCATAGTTGTCATGGTTGTCCAAAATATTTAATCAATACATATTCTATCAAACAAAATAAAGGCTGTTCTCCTTTCAGCTGTATATACATATTTATAATTTGAAATAATTACATGTACTTACCGATACAATGTTTAATGAGAAGCCGACACCATACAGGACAGGGGAAGGAATCGTACTGTCGTGGTGTGGGTACTTTATACTATCATCATCACAGAAGAAGCCTCGCTCAAATGGTTCCCATAATCTGTTTATCAATAATATGATCAACCCAACTGAAAAAAAATAAAAATGATTCAATATTAATTCTATTTCTACACGTTATAATTTATCAATTTGTAAAGAAGGACAAAATACATAGATGTAGATATGCTACAAGGGACATTTTATAGGTACTGACACTGTCAATAAAATTTTAGAAGGCAGTTGGAGCAGTCTTGACATCATATGTTTCTCAAAATTTGTGTTTTTCAATTAACTCAGTTTTTTACCAAAGTATTTGTCTAATTTTCACAAAAATTAAAAGGCATTCGGTACATGTTTCCAGGCAGGAATCTGAGGATTTGAGGTTAGTTGGGAATGACCCTTACAATTTTTTATGTGTTTTAGGCATAACAAAATGATATTTCTCCAATTTTTAGGGGATATGTACCCCATATAAACCCACTCTTGTGTCTATCAATTATTTCTAAATGAATTTTATTGGCTAAGGTATAGATCTATTCATTATTTTTTTAAAGACAAAATTCATGATTTTGTAATACATATTTTTTTACTGGCCAAATAAGACCTTAATGTACCTCAATAGGTTTTAAGAGGTTTATTCAACATGAAGCGAATATTTTTAGATTACAAGTATTAAAAAATACAATGAATAAATGTGGACTTTGAATTATAGTTAAAATGCAAAGTTCAAAATATTATTTTGATTTGAGTGGACTTGATATTACAGTTTTATCAAATGATTCAAAATTTTCATTTAGGTGGAAGGTTTTAATGCCATAAAATATAAACATGATAAATTGGTTTCGAAGACTTTCATTCTCAATCATATTGATTAAGGTCATCTTAGAAATAGGTTATAGGTTCATTGAAATTGATCACACAATCATTGATTGATAACTGTGTAAATTCACGTCAGTGCAAAAAGGTTATATATTGGAAAGAGTTAAATATATGTTAAAGGATGTTAATATATGACTTGGTACAGGCACAAACATATTGAATAGTGCCTGTACTAAGTCATATACATGTATATATTAACATGTCATTGTGGCGTAAACCAGTTTTACTCCCCCCCCCCCCTTTTTTTATGCCATTAAGTAAAACACAATTTTGGAATTTAGAATTCCCTTCCTACACATACCCCACTGTGTTCATTTTATTGGAATTAATAGACCAAAGGATTTTCTTTGAAGAGTCCAAGATTAATAAAAGTATTTTCATAAAAAAATAATTAAAAAATAATCATATTCAAATAATTTTTGCAATGATAGGTGATGACTACATGGACTAAGGGTCTGGTTGTGGTTTACTGAATAGAGTATTATAGGACCAAAATAATAATGTATAGGAAACAATGGGGTGCTAAATATAAAGAATAGAGAATAATAGGTGAACATTATAAAGAATAGAGATAAACTGCTTCAAAAATTTAAGAATATGCATTGTAACTAGAGGCTCTAAAGAGCCTTTGTATAGCTATCCTGCATCTTCAATAATGGCCACTTTTAATTAAAATCATCATTAAAGGGGAATAAGCCTATGAATAGTTAACTGACAATTTCATTCATGTTGATGTATCTGTAGATCTTATCCTGCTGATCATTTTTCCTTTCTAAAGTTTCCATATGTCTCTGTTGTAGTTTTCAAGATAAAAGGCAAACAAATTAAAAAAAAATAAAATTATCATTAAAGGGCAATAACTCCAATAACAAGTCAACTGAAGATTTTGGTCATTATGGCTTATTTGTAGATCTTGTCTCGCTGATCATTTTTGCTTATAAAGTTTCTATCTATCTATCTATCATAGTTTTCAAGATAATAGGAGAAAATCCAAAAATTGGGAAAAAAGGTCATTAAAGGACAATAAATCCAATAACGAGTAGACTAACAATTTCAGTTATGCTGACTTATTTGTAGATCTTGTCTTGCTGATCAATTTTGCTATTTAAAGTTTCTATCTATATATTATAGTTTTCAAGATAATAAGCAAAAATGCAAAAAATTGGGAAAAATTAAAGGCATAAAAGGGCAATAACTACAATAAAGTGTCGACTCAGACTCATTTATAAATCTTGTCTGTCTGTCTGTTATAATTTTTCAAGATATCAGGCAGAAATGTAAAAATTGGTAAAATTCATCATTTAAGGTAATTAACTCCAATGAACTGTTGTCTGACTGTCAGTCAGGGGTACTACTTGTACAAGTTATTTTTAATATACTGTGGATTAATTGGATTCGTTGGATACCAATTTTCGTGGATTTTGTGGGTACAGGCGAACCACAAAATTAAATGTACAACGAATAACAAATTTTCTATAGGCTTGTCTGCAGACTTTGGCAAAACCACGAAATCAAATATTCACGAACATGCAAGTTTTCCTGAATCCATGAAAATGGATACCCACGAAAATAAATGATAAAATAATTTACCTATACAAGTAAATAAAATACACTTGTCTAAGTATCTTACAAATAATAAATTATATAAGTAAATTTGTAAGATACTTATACAAGTGTATTTTATTTACTTGTATAGGTAAATTATTTTAATGGCTTAGTTATATCCCTTAGACAATCAGATTTTTTACTTACATGTATACAAGTAAAAAAGTCATACTAAAAAAATTACTATCTTCTTTTCTTGAATTTCTCAGAACTTCTTTGCTCTAATGGAATTTTGAATTGTCTGTCCTTTGCAGATGTCTTTACTTATCATTTAAGTGTAATTTCATGGACAATGAAAATTTCATTTGTCTGTTATCTTCATAAACTGTTAACACAGAGATATGTCTCACCTATTTGTTATTTTGATAATGCAAATGTTGAAATTAAAATAGCAATACTTTAACATGTAAGTTATGCAAATATTTAAAGTCAATGAACCATGACTGAAGGTACAGGGCTAAACAATCTCCATGGAAATGAGATGTGCCAATGCTAATACAACTGCAAACCAAATACCATTGACTTTTCATAAGTCGTTCCCTTTAAACAAACCTAAACACAAACATTAACTTGTAAACTATGTAAAAGTTTCAAAGTCAATGAACCATAATTAGAGGGTGGGGTTATATAATCTCCATGGAAACGAAACTTGCAAATCCCAATACATTTGCATACCGAATATCATTGACATAACATTAGCGGTTCATCTTAAACTGACCTAATTACAAACTAATAGATGTAAACTAAGCAAAAGTTTCAAAGTCAATAGACTGAGGGAAAAGGACCAAATATTCTCCATGGAAATGAGATGTGCTAATGCTTATACAACTGCATACCAATTATCATTGACCTACCACTAGTGGTTCCCCTTAAACTGACCTAATCACAAACTAATGCATGAAAACTAAGCAAAAGTTTCAAAGTCATTTGACCATGAATGAGGTGGTGGGGCCAAATAATCTACATGGTAATGAGATGTGCCAATGCTAATACAACTGCATACCAAATATTATTGACCTACCACTAGTGGTTCACCATGAACTAGACCTAATCACAAACTAATACATTGTTGACACCGCCGCCGACGCCGGAAACAGCATACCTATGTCTCGCTTTTTGACTCCATCAAGGCGAGACAAAAATTATGAGCTAACCAGAGAAAAAATGTTTAACATGTTTAAGGCATGTTTTTACTCCCAAAACTTACGAATTTTAGGGATTGTTAAAAAAGTACTTATATATACAAGTAAATTTTTTGAGAAAATTAAAGGGAGATTATTCAAACCTTATAAGAAAATATGAATATAACAAATTTACTTATATAAGTATATTATTATATACTTCTTCAAGTAAATAAAAATAACTTGTACAAGTAGTACCTTTGACTGACAGTTATGTTGTCAATAGACATAATGTAGATCTCGTCATTCTAAACTTTAGCATGAATGTCAGATTTTCTTTGTCAAGATAATAGGCAAAAATTCACTTTACCTCATGTTTTATTTTAGCCATGTCGACCATGTTTGTCAGCAGGCATCAGACACATTTTTTAAAACTATGTATCCCATTGATGATTCATGATTGTGGCCAAGTTTGTTTAAATTTGGCCCAGCATTTTCAGAGGAGATAATCTTTGTAAAAGTTAACAGAGGACAACGGACAAAGACGACAGACGATGCATGGGCGCCAAGTGATAGCAAAAGCTCATAATGGCCCTTCGGACCAGGTGAGCTAAATATGAAGATCCTTCCACCTAGACCCTCAGTTTAGAAAATGATGAGTCAATGTTGATTTTGAATAAGAACCCTGCTGTGGAAGTGTGGAAATATAGATTTCATCACTGCAACAAGTGTGTTATGATATTTCTCCACTTGAGACAGTTAAATTTTAATATTTAAAGTGCGAGGCTTGCCGAACTTTTTAAATAATTAAAATTTAACTGTCGAGAGTGGAGAAATATCGTAATACACGAGTTATAGTGGTGGAATCTGTTTCTCTAACGATTTTTATCCTTCCTTTCAAAAGATTTGCAGAAAGTTGTGCTCTTTATATGTGACATCATCAGGTATGGTGGCCTTTTTTCAGGACGTCACAATAGGAAATTAAATAAAAAATCAAGAAAATTTAACGTCATAATTAAATTTCTACCAATCATTTGCTGAGAACAGATATTTCACAAGTGACGAGAAATATTTTTCTCACACCGCTCAAGAAATGTGAAAATAGCACAAAAATTAGAGAAGTAAATAAAACAAGAGATCAAAATCAGCTCATCATACTCTGTATTCTATTTATAGTAACAGTATGCAATTGCAAGGTCAAGTAAACGGAAGAAACACTATTTTTAGAGGAAATACTTAACAATACTTAAGTTAATACTTTTTGCAGATGTACAAATTTTAGATAATTTAAAGCTTGTACAAAAGTTTTAAGATAGCTGTCTCTAATGGCAAGCAAGATGATGAATGTAATACTTCATGAAATAAAAAAAATATCTTAAAAGTTGTTAAATTTTAATAAAAAAAATCCTACTTAAACATTTGACTCACCTGCTCACCACATACACCAGAAATAACAATTTTCAGTTTTCATTAAACAAAATTTT